AGAAGTGTTCATTTGCTTTCAATTTATGTATAAAGGTAATTTTTAGTTAAGCCACCACATGGCATAAATCGCATCTGAATATGATCAAAAATTACGATTTTGTAGAATTTATGATTTTTTCTCATAAAGTTTACCAGCTTGATAAGTCTCAAATATTTTTTTCTCAAAATATACCTTGCGTGGAGTAGGTATTCACTACACAGATATTCATACAAACTGCAGTATTGCAATAAAGAAATTTCAAACATAGCACATTTTGGATAAATTCTTAGAAGCATATGTGCCAGTATAGTTGCAATAATATTACTGAGCTTCAAACACATTACACAAGAACCTTTACTCAACATGTAGACCAAGTTCGGTATAGAACGTACTTTTAAAATAAATTTTTTCACACACACCCAAACGACATCCCGGAAAGTTCCGACGGCAACCTTGCGACCAAACATTTTTTCTCTCCGAAATATCCTACCGTTTCACTGCTTTCAATACAGTTAATCAGCGCAATATTTTTCGAATGCATTTGAGATGGTCGCCAAAACGGCTGGGCGTTTAGCATGAAATCACCCTAACAGTGTGTCATGAACACAGAAAAAGGTTCTAATGCTTATTAAGCCCTTTATTTACCAAAAAATATACTGAAAGTGCCTCATCTGAGGCACTGTATAGTGCCGCTTTTTTCACAGTTCTAAGGGAACTAACTGCACGTGCTATTGTTGTTTACATGTGCAGCAGTAGCATCAATATGTAGTAGAACTTGCTGTTGGGATAGTTGGTGCATGTTTGCATTAAATATTAGTCAATTTTGCAGCCAAAATGACGACCACACAAACGAAGAAAACACATAAACGGAATGGGCACTCATTTGCAATTGTTGATTTCTTGAGGAAATAGGCTGATATAAACCCACTTTTTGTCAACGCTTGTGCAACCTACTCGGGCCGTCCCTTACCTAATCACGCTGTAGGACACATGATCGCTAGGTACCGTGCTTCCAGCTCATACATGATGAGTGAAGTTTTGCTAACGCAATTGATACCCCTTTTCTTTTGTGAAAGCCCATCAAAATGGCTCTTGATGTGAATCCACATGAAGTGACATGTACTCTTGAATGGGCACCGTCGTTATTCTTTGCCGTAAGGGCGTGTTCCCTCGCTCGATCATTGACGCAGCGCCTCGTCGTCTGGCTAACATGGGTCTTTCTGCACGACAGGGGTATTTTGTAAACCACTTCAGTGACAGACTTCGTGAATGGCCACGCATGCTTCTTTTTACAGCCTTTCAGCTGCTCAGCATGATTTTCAGCGATGCACCGGCGCAATTTTGCTAGTTTGTTAGGGGCACGAACACGATCAGTACTTCATGCCGGCTCGCCACCTTTTTAAGGTTGTACGTATGAATATATAGTATATTATGAATATAAGGTACAAACAGCTGCTAGTGAGCACCCGTCCTGTTCATGTGTTTTCTTTGTGCGGTCGTGGTTTTGACGTGAAATTGACTATTCAATTCAGGCATTCATGTCTATTCACAGCACATGTTTAATGTCTGTAGCAAAATATTACATGATATTTTCGTATTCATATTTGCATGTTCGAGAGAACAGCAGCCGTGCCAATTGTGTCAATTAGATACAATTTCCTAATTTTGCACAAAACCATTATGAAATGCCCAACCAGCCTCAATTATTTCTCAGTATTGTTAATTTTATCAAGAAACATAAAGTCCAGTATTCAACTTAAGTTTGCGCATCACCCTCCAATTGATTGATGTGTGCAGTTTATTGTCCTAAAGCCACCATTTGATTATGAGACGCTTTAGGGGAGGGCTCCAGAAATTTCGGCCGCCTGGGGTTCTTGTGCACCCAAATCTAAGGAAATGGGCCTACAGCATTTCCGCCTGCATGAAAAATGCAGCTGAGTACTTTGGCGTCTAAACCGTCGAGGAGGGGTCATGCCACTTTTTTTCTTTTCGCCACCCCCTTGAGCTCCTCCTTTACGAATATCTGGCATTTCTGGGTCGCCTGTCAAACAGTTGGACAAGCTCACCAAATGCTACTACGAGTTTTACACCCGTATTTTAGAACGTCCCTTCACTAAATGCTTCACCTTGACTTGAGAAAATTGATTCCAGTGCAGTCTCTAGGCAGAGCAAGTCACTCAATATCAGGGATAATCTGCTGCGATTCTCAAGAAACGCAGCGTCATTTTTAGACAAGCAGTGGCGCTGTGCTCCGCTAGTACAAGTGAAAAATGAGATTCGAGTCGAGGAGCATTCGTATATAGGGAGGATAGCATTGTTTGCACTGTGAGACAGTTCAAGAGTGCTTTTGTTGAAGTAGCTGCACTCTCGTGTATTTTGAATGAATTAGCGTATGTCAAATAATTTCTACATATACTTTTTTGTGTGTGTGATTCAGTATAGTTTGTTGTACTACTGTAAATTTGGAGCCCTGTAAATTAGGGGCTATGATACTCGGCTGCTGACCCCCTGGTCGTGGGATCGAATCATGGCTTCGGTGTCTGCACTTCCGATGGAGGCAGAAACGCTGTAGGCCCGTGTGCTCAAATTTGGGTGCACGTTAAAGAACCCCAGGTGTTCAAAATTTCCGGAGCCCTCCACTACGACGTTTCTCATAACCATATGGTGGTTTAGGGACGTTAAACTGCACATATCAATCAATGCTGTAAATTTGAAATTTCAAGCTGAAAAATGCTGTGTTTGTTTTTCCTGAAACCTGCTCCAAATTTAGATTTTCTCCCTAGAAAAGCAAGATATGATGCTTCAAAATATTGCTCCAGATGATAGCTTGGCTGCTCTACCTCTGCTAGCTGTAAGTGGTTACTCTTTCACCCTGCTTTTGTGTGCCCATTTTATGTTCTTTGATGTTGCATTGTTTCAGGGGGACATATTATGTGATATGCTTGATATTTTACATCTTTGAATCAATTATTCTGCGTGGTTAGTATCTAGTGACACTGTTAAGCTATTGTATTTTGCCTATTGTTTTCACTCCTGTATTATTGTTTCCCCAGTATTCTTAATGTCTGAACACACAAGGGTTATTGTGAAATGAAAATGCTATTTTAAGACTGTTTTGTCATTACATTCATTAGAATACTACTAGCCTTGCATAATACGCATAAGGCATGCCACAACACATGCAAACTGTGGCGTATCATTGTGGTAATTGTAGTGTGCATTGATATATTATTTCAGTATATTGGAGAAACAAGGCATGCTGCATTGCACTACTCTTCCTGCTGTTTGTATGCTTCACTGCACTGTGCTTTTGTGCTGCATTGAAGGATGTTAAAATTAGTTCTTCATTTTTAAGTACGAATAAAGGCTCTTTTGTTGTACTTTGATATGCATGCATTGGTCGTTAGAGTTCCATGCCGTACCATTGACGTCTGATTTCCGGTCTTCTTTTGTAGAAAATGGCATTCTGCTTTGCACAATTGAAAAAGGCTTTTGACTAAGGTACAATTTGTCTCTGAATCGTGTATGTTCTCTGTGCCTAATCAAATAAAGCTTGATTTCGTTTTGCACAATGGCATGACTTTGTGAACGTTGTGTTATGTGTGGCAGCTCATTTTGAGTGATGCCTTTGCATTAAGCTAGGATTACGTGTTATATGCCGTGCTTCATATATGCACCATAAAAGCTGTGCTAAGGCCAGGATTACCACACTGTGGCAGGAGCCACTACAATAGGACATCTGCACATGAAAGGTCTAGCTAAAGGGTAAGCTTTCACGTGCTTCCACAGGGGCTTACTGAAAAGGGGTAACTTTCGAATTATGGTATTTTTTGCATGGGTGTTGGGGCATTATTCAGCATGAACACCCCCACACCCTTTTTGCTGTTTGAGCAATTACACCCCTACACTACTTTTGTTTTTTAAGGGTGTTAGGGTGTCATAGCAATATTACACCCTTACGCCCTTAAGGTTACTTGGGTACATTCGCTTTTACACCCTCACACCCTTAAGGCCACTTGGGTGTACATTTGTCTTTACACCCGAGAAAATGTTTGTGCCATAGGGTGTAAATTCGGAAATCCGCCCCACGATATAGGTGTAGCCCTGCTTGATACACCCATTTCGTGGGGTGTTGGGGTGTGAGTTATAGACACTATAAAACACCTATATGGGTGTAATTTGGTTTACAGTGTGTTGCAAACCAATAAGGGCACGTTTCTTGAAGGAGATAGGATAAGATATATTTATCAAGAACGTATTTCGAAAATTTGGCGAGGGGAGATCATGACGCCCTTCCCCTATGCTATTTACGCATCTTATCATATTTGAATGATGAATCAACGTTACTGTTTTAGAATACGTGCGAGTAGACACGAGTGTAAACGTGAATACAGGTAGGGCTGTTAGTAATGCTAAAGATCAGTAGGTAGCAGTCAGAACCTACGTTTGGTTGGAAACTTGTGACACGCGTGCCGAAGGCATGCGTAAATTTCAATCTAGTCTTGTAAATCGAAAATCTAGATGGGAGCCGACAGATGGAAACAGCGTAGTGGGATAATCATAAGACGATCAGTGGAAGTGCCCCAGACTGGCTGGCCGACGTTTCGATAGGAGGACCTATTTCTTTTAAAAGGCACCGTGTCAACCTTGGCGTGTTAGTTTCAAAGGAGTTAGCGGTAAGCTATTCATCATTATTATTTGTCTCTTTATAGTTGTTGAATTTTCAAGCTCCTTTATATTGCGAAGTGTTGCGCGTTGTTTTCATTAACGTGCTGTAATCTGCTCATTGTGAACTGTCGATTTACGATGAATGATTGCATTGTTAGTTTTTCTTAAATAATTATTTTGTCTTTAATATTTACGTGCACTGTAGCATTTCGTATGAGTTGACTTATTTCACTGTAACCACCTTACTCAAAGCCTTCGGGGGTATTTTTCAACAATAAATCACTTCTTGCCGCCTGCTTCACATTACGTCGTTTTTCACAATGCGAGGGATCTGCCGGTTTTCTTTTCAGATTTCTGCTCCCGACATGGGAATCATGGAGCCCAGCCACTACCTCGTGGACTTGGGAGGACAGGAGCTGAGCGACATATTTAAGCCGGTAGTTGAGGCCCTGAAGGATATGGACGATAACCTCGACGAAGACGTGGTTGCGGCTTTCGAGGCTACGGCCAAAGGTGTTGCTAAGAGGATGTATGAAGTGAGTATGGGAGCCTCTTTATAATACTGCCTAGTGCTCACTGTAACGAAACTTCAGCGAGTGTTTTGTTTAGGTTTGAAAGCTACGTCGCAAAAAGCGTTAGATTTAACTCTCTTGCAGCTTTTGATCGGCCTGCAGCTCAGTTGTGGTTAGAAAGCGAAGCTGTGATGAAAAATAAGTACTTTCGGCATCTGTATTTGCATTCCCCAATAAAACTTCCAGGGTTGCCGCGTGAACATAACCATACGACGAGGTAAATAACGTGCTTCGTCAAAAAGACAAGATCCCGGGAATTAATTAGTGCTGTTGTCTGCATGTTGCTTAATGCTCAATTAATGCTATCACCTCAGGCTTGATGATCAACGAAGAGCACATATATAGGCAAATTGTGGTTTGCGGATATTTGCCCTGCTCAGCAAAGGGGGAGGTGATTTGAAACAAATAATTAAAGACTGAGTGTACAGTTCAGCCCTTTCTCGTGTGTAGCACGACATACATAGGTCGGCAAAACCTGTGGAGCCCACTCACTCAAGAAATAATTTGGCGCTTAACTTACTCTGGCTCAGACTCGCCAAACTTTTCGCGAGCCACACTCACGACAATTTTCTTCAATCGAACTCACTCGAACCCAAACTCGCCAAAATATTATTCACCCGCGGACTCACTCAAACTCATTACTCTATCTCAGTCCGAGTTAGTCGACTCACGAGTCCGTTAATCTAGAATTAGCTTTCTCGACCAAAGTTTCTATGCTCTTTGACACCAATGTCTAACGTAACCGGCGCTCTACTTGGCAGCCTCTGATATAGTATCATCAACTATGAGTTACGAGTGCTCGCAAACAAGTTAGGTCATTCTTTTTTTTTTTTTTGAAAAGATCTCTACATAAGATATACTTATCAAGAGCATCCCTAGAAAAAGTGGATGGGGGCGGACGTCGAGGCAACCTCTAAGTAGTTCACACCTCTGATCAATAATTATTGAAATTCTGTATGAACAAAACTGCATTCTAATACACGTGAATGGACGTCAGTGTAAACGTTAATCCAGGTTGGGCTGATAGTAGGGCTGAATGTGAGTAGGTATGACCGTAGGTCGGCAAAAGAACGTTGAACTCATTCTGACTCAATCAAGAAATATATCTCGCGCGTTTGTCTCACTCGGACTCAGGCTCACCAAACTTTTCTTGGGCCGATGCCACTCGGACTCGAAATCAGGAAAATTTTACTCAACTGGGCCCACTCGAACTCAGACTCGCCAAAAATATTACTCACCCGGACTACCTCAAAATCGTGGCTTGATTCGAGTCTGAGCGAGGATCGACTCGTGAACGAGTTCGCCGACCGACGTCAGCATATACAGCGCACGACTTTTCTCATGGTCTCGTCCGGCACGCACGTTAAGTTAAACCAAAGTCTTGTTCATTGGCCGTTATTCGGTTAATGCACTCAAAATGACAGTCTGGTGGGCCCATTAGTATGGTATAATTCAGTACAGTAGCGCGACGAAGCACACGGATGGTGACAGATCTAAGACGGGACGCGACGTGCGTTTTTTTTTTTTCGCGCTGCTGTTGTGAATTAAGGTCAGTGCGGACGGTCCTTTAATTAAAATAAGATAGCTTAGCTCTCTATTACGTTAAAATGAATACGTGGTTGGCACGTATTTTCAAAGACGGGGCTTGCAAACACGGACACAATTGAAGTCGGGACATCACAAACGCTTTTGATTGCGAAGCGCCGCAAGAGAGTGAGCACAGTGTTCGCAGACGACTAAAGCGATGCTATCTTTATCACTTAGAGCCGGCGAGTGACACGACCATATTGGCCGTCGGAGCTGCCATTCATCAAAAGAGTAATGTCGTCGGCGTAGAGCGAAAGCTTGATATCAGCGCCTTACTGTACGGACACAAGCATACGATGTGTCGAGGCTCGTTACGGACGAGGCACCGTTTACAGCGCGAGATCGCCTTATTTCACTTGATGACATTTGCACCAACTGCCGGTTAGAACGCTTAACCTTCCCGCCACTATCGCGCAAATACCCGAGCAGGTGCGAAATTCTGTGGCGACGGCTGTAGCAACACCGACTAAATTTCAAGGCCGAAGGGCTCCTGCAGTGACGTCAGAGGGTGGGGGCCCAGTTGTCTTACTGAGCATGCTCAGTAAGACTTTTTTTTCCACATCTTTGATTCGGCCCAATCTAGCCGCGGCAGCTGCGACAGCGGGAGCGTTGGTTCTCCTAAAACGTGAACGAAACACTGGCTTTCCGCCGCATTCGCGGCGTAACTGGGCCCCCACTCTCTGGCGTCACTGCAGCAGCCCTACGGCCTTGAAATTAGTGGTGGTGGTAGTGGTTAGAAGATGAGAAAAGGCACCTAATTTCTGCAACCCGGTCGGGAGCACGGCGCAGTGCCTTAAATTTAGTCGGTGTTGGCTGTAGACTCGCACCTTTCCTTCCTCTTACTTCCTACACCGCATTCATTTGTCCAGTTACCCTTCTCTCTCTTGCAAATTCTGCGCCTCTTCCACAACAGACTTGAACCACATCATGTGGCGCTGCCCTAAGAGCCCCCCCCCCCCCTCACTTTTTTTTTCCTGAAACGCCTATGTTCGTGAGAAGCAGTGGGAGGCTGCCTTGTGCAGCGCGAGGCCTGACCTTCACCATGCCATCCTGTTGTGGGCTGAGAGCGAGGACTATTTATTTCAAGTATAGCCCGCCCCCACATTACCCTCTGACCTATTTCCCTCTTATCTTTAACAAGGGGCAAATAAAATTGTTGGTTCATTCATCAGTTGGTGATCACAGTGCTGCCCATATGTGAATATAAGAAATGTAAAAAAAAACTCTTGTAATCACAACGATAAATTTATTTTACCCATAATAGCTATTTTGGTTTTCGTAGAAAAGAGAACGTGCTTATTTGAGCCAGGGAAACGATAAAGTTGAGTACCAGCTCCTGGTGCGCGGGTGGCCGTACGTGACGGTTCTGGACAGCACGGCCATGAAATGCTGTCTCCCAGTACACTGTCACGTACATACGTTCATAACAAATTTACGGATATAACGAAGCCACTTTTTTTTTTTGTGTCCGATCTGGCTTCGCTATAAAGAGCTTCAAGTTTGTCTCTAGCAATCTTGAAAATAGCATGCCCATTGCTTTGCAGCTTATAGAATACAGCAAAGATTTGGACTACACTGTGGCGCCGCGAATGATGGACACAGAGGCCTTTTCACAAGTGGATAACGACATGGATGGATTTAACGACTACCACTTTGTAAGTGTGCCATATATTGTTATATTGCAGTGCGCAATATAATGGATTAAGTTTATCAATAAATTATTTAGAACGAACGTTCGTTCAACGAGCGCACAGCCACGATTAAGTTTAATATGAATGTTTGGGTTTTACGTCCAAACGTGGATATGTTTATGGAGACGTCGCACTTCTAAGGACTCCGTACCATGTTTTTTTTTTTTTTACCGTTCGCGTAATTCTCAGCGCGCGGGCTTCTATAGCACCTTAGCCTAATGAATAACGCGTTGTTTTAACGCGACAGCGTTAAAGAGCTCGTTTTGCAGAAATTCCGGCGTTGGCGTCGTTGGTTCTGAGCGAAAAATGGAGCATATTTTGCGTGACCAAAACAACGTGAAAGACGCTTCTAAAGTAAATGTTAGAAAATTGTGGGTCTGAGTGGGGATCAAAACCGGATAGTTTGCGTGGCCAGCGGTTGTTCTACCACACAGCCACGCTTTTGCTTTTGAATGCAGTGAAAAATAACTTCCTCGGCTTAAAAATGCAGCGAAGGTAACTTTCATGATTTACAAATACACGCGTCCCGTATACATGCTTCACAATAGAACATGAAATATTGCCGTAATAATGCGTGGTACAAGCGTATACCTTGCCATCGGGCGTCAGAACGCGGTATTATCATGACGACTTAGTAGTTAGAAGCCAGTCATCCACTACAAAAGACACACGTACTGCACCTTTAAGGCCACGTAGTGGGTTTGTAGCAAGCAGAGGTCGGCAAAACGTGTGGCGCTCACTCAGATTCACTCGTTAAGTATATTTTGCCCCTTGCATTCACTCGAACTCGCACTGACCACTCGCAAAGCTTTTTTTCGACCGGACTCAGTCCGACTCAAACTCACCAAGACATTACTCACCCGAACTCACTCAGGCTCAGACTGACGGCTTGATTTGAGCGTGAGTGAGTCCTTGCGAGTTGACTCATGAGTCCGTTAGCCTTGAATTAACTTTTTTTTTAAATATGGTGTCTGTGTTGTTTAGCACCAACATCTCACGTAATCAATGCTCTCTTTGGCGCCGATTGATATATAGTACTTTCGAATACGAGTTATGAGTAAGGCCATTTTCTTGGAAGAGATGAAAGCATAAAATATATTTATCAAGAACGTCTGGAACAGGGTTGGCGAGGGGAATATGAAGGTACTCCGTACTTAGCGCCTCTAATCAATAAATATTTATTTGGTGTATGAAAGACACTGCTTTGAAATACGGGAGAGCAGTTGTGAGTCCCCGTAAGGGTGATAGTAATGATGAAGAGTATATAGATACAACCATAAGACGGCAAAATAACTCGCTCAGACTCACTGAAGAAATATATCTTGCCATTTGGACTCACTCGGACTTATACTCGTCAGAATTTTCCAGGGCCGAACTCACGCAGGTTCGCACTAAAATTTTCTTTAACCAGACTTATTAGGACTCAGATCCACCAAAATGTTACTGACCCGGTTCAGACTTACGGCTCGATCTGGGTCTGAGTGATTCCGAGTGAGTCTACTCACGAGTGAGTTTGGTGACCTATAGTAGCAAGTGTGAACACACTTCATTAAGTGTTCGAAGTACGCACTAAGAACAGAATGCCGCTGTCGCGTTCTACTTCGCCTGCATGCTTCGGTGCGCATGCGCGTCCCGTCATGTCGGGCGACCTCTCATGTCCCTGGGTGTCGCTTTCCTTGCTCCATCGAATTAGTGCTGTTATTTTACATAGCTAGCGGCTGTGGTGGGGCCGTCTCAAGTGCCAGGCGGGCTCAGATCGTTATTTTCACCGGTTGATTCTCATCAATAAGCATAGCTAACATCGCACAACCTCATGAAGCCAAGAACACAAAGTTACGTTTTCGCAGGCCAGCTTGCCTTGTCGGGTTAAGCCAAGTTAAACTTAAATGAGCCTATTTGAGTCGATGCTAGTGTGGCTGAAACTAATCAAACCTGATTGAGTACGGTATCACGTATAGTCAGGTGGAAGCAGGTTTAGTTAAGCCCATTCCGGCTTGATGCCTTCATGTTAAGCTAAGTTAAGTTTCGTGTACCCAGATCAGTCGAGATAAGTACAGCCACATCTAATTATTCATAGTTGATTGTGCTATCCTTCAGTTTAGCTGGGCAAAACTAGCTTGAATAAGGCATGCCCTAGCCCGGCGCTTGAACCGATCCCGTCGCAGACGGTATATACGTAAAAGAACGGAACAAATTTCAATGGAGAGCTACTCCCAGTTGTTTTGGATACAAGCGGTGACCCCATGGTCTGCACACTTATGCTCACGCCTGTACATATGCGGCCGAAGTTAGTGGGAGGTGTTATAGCTCTGACTTGCAACTGCATGTGGAACGTCAATTTATATTTCATCTGTCTTCCATCCTTTTTTAGATTCCTTTCGCCGAGGCCGTGAAAAACTTCGTTCCCGCAGCCGCAAACTTTAACCGCTTCCTTGTGCGGAGTCCAAATTACGTCGACCTGCTGAATCGGGCATTAAATTACTGCCCCGCTGGTGCAAAGTGCTACATTACAATGTAAGTAACTTGGCGTGTAACTGGCGCTCTTCCTTCCTTGCAGAAGATGCCATAGATGTTCCCAGTACACTTGTTTTTTGTGCATACGACTGACCGGTAAGGTTGTACTGACTGAATTGGCCTCCCTGGCTCTGGCCTATCTAGTCGCCGGCAACGACCACAGGCTTTCAACAAGATAATGGTTTGAGCAGCAAAAGCGTTTCTTCTGGCTGATCCAAAGGCGCATAGATCTATCTATCTATCTATCTATCTATCTATCTATCTATCTATCTATCTATCTATCTATCTATCTATCTATCTATCTATCTATCTATCTATCTATCTATCTATCTATCTGTCTGTCTGTCTGTCTGTCTGTCTGTCTGTCTGTCTGTCTGTCTGTCTGTCTGTCTGTCTGTCTGTCTGTCTGTCTGTCTGTCTGTCTGTCTGTCTGTCTGTCTGTCTGTCTGTCTGTCTGTCTGTCTGTCTGTCTATCTATCTATCTATCTATCTATCTATCTATCTATCTATCTATCTATCTATCTATCTATCTATCTATCTATCTATCTATCTATCTATCTATCTATCTGTCTGTCTGTCTGTCTGTCTGTCTGTCTGTCTGTCTGTCTGTCTGTCTGTCTGTCTGTCTGTCTGTCTGTCTGTCTGTCTGTCTGTCTGTCTGTCTGTCTGTCTGTCTGTCTGTCTGTCTGTCTGTCTGTCTGTCTGTCTGTCTGTCTGTCTGTCTGTCTGTCTGTCTGTCTGTCTGTCTGTCTGTCTGTCTGTCTGTCTGTCTGTCTGTCTGTCTGTCTGTCTGTCTGTCTGTCTGTCTGTCTGTCTGTCTGTCTGTCTGTCTGTCTGTCTGTCTGTCTGTCTGTCTGTCTGTCTGTCTGTCTGTCTGTCTGTCTGTCTGTCTGTCTGTCTGTCTGTCTGTCTGTCTGTCTGTCTGTCTGTCTGTCTGTCTGTCTGTCTGTCTGTCTGTCTGTCTGTCTGTCTGTCTGTCTGTCTGTCTGTCTGTCTGTCTGTCTGTCTGTCTGTCTGTCTGTCTGTCTGTCTGTCTGTCTGTCTGTCTGTCTGTCTGTCTGTCTGTCTGTCTGTCTGTCTGTCTGTCTGTCTGTCTGTCTGTCTGTCTGTCTGTCTGTCTGTCTGTCTGTCTGTCTGTCTGTCTGTCTGTCTGTCTGTCTGTCTGTCTGTCTGTCTGTCTGTCTGTCTGTCTGTCTGTCTGTCTGTCTGTCTGTCTGTCTGTCTGTCTGTCTTTGTAGTGGTAACACAACTTTCGTTATGTTGTGTTGGTACTCCTTATAGGGAACCGAAGCTCAAGTTTGCGGAGCGATGACAACGCCGCGCGTGGCTCTGGCGGCGAGCTCTGGAAAACTTGAAGTAGGCGCGGGAGATGGCGCAAGCGAGTCGGTGTGTTTCGCCGAAACGGGAGCGCGTGCAACACGCGCGGAACACGTTCTGCAGCTGTTCTGCAGGGGCAACTTTGGCGCCGTGCCGTCAGCTTGGCGTGCTTGGAAAGTTTCTTTTCCATGATGGTAGAAGCGCCCCACGAAAACGTTGGCGAGGTCCGAAGTATTGTTGTGTTGTGGGCTGCCACAACAGTGCAGACAACACCAAGGAATGCTCTCCACACGTAAAGCTGTGTCATTTTCCCAGCAAGTCAAAGGTGGTGAACACAGCTGCGTTCGCGAAAGATAGAGCAAGCATGACACGAAATCCAGAAAAAAAAAAAACTGAAAAACGGGGCGAGTATTTGAACTTGACTCGCTTGGGTAAAGCTCAGCTTGCTGCTTCACAGTGTAGTCAGCGGGTCATGCCCCCGCGGCACAAAAGACATTACTCAAAAACTTCTCGGACATTTTAATGCCATGACCGTATATTTTGAGTCTTTATTTATTTTTAGCGTGCCGCAAACGTTTGCACATGACAGTACGTGGCTGATACTGCTATAGATACCACATCAAAACAACAATTATATGGTTTTCATAAACGTCAATGCAGCACATCGATCGAGTACGCGGCTCTATGTCGGCCGAATGAGACTTACCTCGAAGCATATGTTGTACACGGTATTGTCCCGGATCTAAGAAATGCATTTCGCAGTGGCTCGGGCGTCCTCGTCTTCCGTCGTCTGCTCCACATCATAAACTTGACTAACGAGCTTTACTCTTGTTGTTAGATTCGCTTCTCAATCTTGCCTAGCTCATAGATCTTTATGAAGCCACACGGCAGACGGTACATTGTGATGTGACTCAAACGTACCACGCGCTCTTCGCACGAGCACACAAGTGAGCGGCAGCGAATTGGCGGGAAGGGAAAACGCGCAATATATATTCCCTATTTCTACTTTTCTGCCAAAGATGGCGCTGCCTGTCGAGAGTAGCAGTGCCACCATGCGTTGCTTTGGCTTCCTATACACACGGGAGATTCGACAATGTGACCCATAGAATGTACTTTTGTTTCTGTTGTTTTCACTTGCTCGGTCTATATTGCAACGCTCCTTTCTCAAGTTTACTTATCACTCCATTACACGTGTAAGTGCTGCCCTGCGCAACCACGCCAATTGACTAAAGAACCATCGAGATAACCCGATGCGATAACGCGCACAACGGGAACATTACATATTCTTTTGGAACTTACATTGCCGCTAGGGATGACGCTAGAATATTTGACGGCACGTGTATAAATGCCGAAGTGCGTCATCGCTTGTCCGTTGATCGACGGCCGATCGCTGCTATCTGTGTCGGTGTGTATTGCTGTAATCTGATTTTATACTTACCGGGCACAACTTCGGCCGAATAAATAGTTTCATCTTGGACGTACTGACCACTGTCTTTGTCAACGTCATGACTACGTGATAATATTTATCAGTTCGTGCGAAATTAAACCATCAGCAGGAAGCCTATAGCGCAGCGTCCTTGTCTTTTTTTTCTACGTCCTTGTCTATTGCGCGTACTCACACTTGATGCGTTCTGTACGGTACAGTAATGTACAGTGTCAATTTTTATGAAAGGGAACACGGGGGCACGTGGCCTGCACGCTCCAGCGGCTGCTGGCAGCGCGTGCAAGCGGGAGCGAGAGCAACCACACCCTCTTTTCGCGTCATCTCGTGGTGAGCAAAACAACCGTTCGTCGCTGATCAGGAACCAGCGGCAAGATTGTGACCCCCTCCCCCTTCAAGGCGATTGCGCGAGAGTCGGTAATCGCCTTGAAAATGGAGGGGTTGCAATCTTGCCGTTATATATCAGCAACGAACGGTTGTTTTGCTCACCGTGAGATGACGCGAGAAGAGACGGTGGTTGCCATTTCTCCCGTTTGAACGCGCTGCCAGCAGCCGCCGGAGCGCGCAGGCCATGCGTCGCAGTGTTCTCTTTCATAAACAATGACACTGTATGCACTCTCCTAGCCTATGGCTACACTTTCTGCAAATATGCACATTATCACATGCATATCATGACGTTAATTAGATTATGACAGCACTTATAGTAATCGTTTTGAGAAGTTACGTCTGACCTCGACATATGAGGCGTAACTTCTCGGAACGATTACTAATGCGTTCTGGCTAAGCGTAAACCGAGAATCGTGACTGTAGTCTTCCTGCGTGAAGTGATCGCCGCCATCGTGCGGGACTTGGCGTCGATCTAGCGCAGTTCGTTGCTGCGCTGCTGTCACTCCGTTCGCCGACTGCCTCGCACAGGGAGACAGTGTCGCAGCTTCAAAATTCATCCATATATTCGTTGGTATCCACAACACAGTTGCTGCTTTCTGTACTGTATATACAATAAAGCAATATCAGCGTGTTGTGGCTCGGGCGAGTTGGTTATTCATGAACTTAGCTTGTATTAGCGCGGCGCATATGAAAATGAAAGGGGAAAGATATTAGTGCCTACCTTCCTGGCCGTCTCTGTCGTATTTCCCTTTTCATTTTCGTATGTGCTGCGCTAGTACAAGCTGAGTTCCTGACATCATCGCCGGTCGCATAGCTCACGTAAAAAAAAAAAGGGGGGGGGGGGTTGCAACGCCGCCGGACGATGCTCGCGATCCGTCAAAGGTAAAGTCCCTGGTAATAGGGACTCTAGTAACAGAATCCTGAGTGTACAACGCAGCATATAATTCTTTTGTATTGCATCCCGCTTGTTGTTTTTCTTACGTCACCTGCCAATGCAACTTTCCGGGGTGTAATATAGACTGGAAACCAGATTGTTGAAAAACGCTACGATGTGTAGCGATGCTCGTTCCTAAACCGCTAGAACATATTACTCACTATGCGCGGAACGCTTAAACCGGTATGCAGATGCTGAAAGCTACAAACGCCGCCGGTTTTATGCGTTTGTAGAATATGGCCGAGACTGTATCACTGTAAGATAACCGTATCTGAGGAAGTTCAAAGTCGTCGTAAAACGTCGCTTCCAAACCAATAATGAGGAATCGACAACAGCCACATACACAGACTAGGTGACGTTTTAGGTGACGTCAGCGTAAGAAGAGTATAGACAAGCATGGACGATAATCGTGGCTAAGCGTCCATGATCGATAAGCTTCCCGAGGCTTTGCCTCGATAGGAGTCCATACAGGTTGCTTCTAAAACGATCATTTGCTGAGAAGCTTAAGCACTAATTTACTCTTATGTTTATATGTGGCTACTAATTATATGCATATCTGATTGATGTGCATAATTTACAAATGTATATATATTGTTTACGTATAATTTTTGTATGCATAATTGTGTATTATCATTATGCATATATGTCGCCCAATTGCAACCCCACCCCTTATGTAATACCCCCTTAAGGGGGCCCTTAAGGAAATAAAAAGTGAAGTGAAGTGAAGATAATGTGGTTCCACAATATCGTTTTAGGAGCAACATTTCATGACCCCCTTTAAGATGTCTTATTGTAAATCTTTCTTTTCCGTTTTATTCTTCCAATTGCAGGGACGAATTTTACGTGTTCATATTCTTAGACACAACAGTGAGGACTGGAGGCAACTACGTTGTGAAAGGGGTGATACCTGACGACGTGAGGCTGCTGTGGTGTTCCCGCTACATCGACTGGATGCTGCCGACCGCGATGGCTTCTTCTGCTGAAAATTACCTGCAGAAAACTTACTGGCCGTTTGGTCTCAAGAATCCCAAGGACCCCAAGAATCCGCATTCGGTAAGAAACGTCTATAAATGCGTCGGTTTAGCACCGATGTCGGTGGTGGGCAGAACTTACTGCTGGTGACTTCTAGGGCCTGTTTTGCAATAAGATATTATTTTATGGTCCACTTTTAATATCTCCATAGGCATAATACACCATGTTTCCAGTTTTCACTGGAAACCACAAATTGCTGGGTGAACGTGTCATGGCTGCTTTAAATGTGCGCATTCTTCATCTTATGAAGTCCACCCGATGAAAAGAAATTACGGAGGAACCTAGGCAATTTCGGTGACGTGTAAATAAGAGTGTTACTTGTTGTTGTTGTTAGTGCGGCTGCTTTTTTATTGAGTGTATAATCGACCAAATGAATGTGTCGACAAACAATCCTATAACTTCTGGGGTTTAGCATGTCAGAACAACGGTGTGATCATAATGGACGCCGTAGTAGAGCTCCAGAAATTTCGGCCAGATTTCATCCAAAAAAATTATTGGGTGATTCTGTTGTTTGAAATTGTAGAGTAATACTATTACACCATAAAATGAATCAAAAGTGGACAAAAAAAGAATCTTTTGCGTTTGTGTGATCTGGTTATGATGCTTTACTAAATAAACTACAGCGAAAAGTGTTCCTTCTAGATGCTTCTGTACGGGTAATCCTTGGAAGTCTTGCGATTCAATGGCGTATGATGCCGCTTAAGAAGACAAAGGTGTCTTATGTCGTGGTCCACAGAGACTTCAGTGACGTATTTCCGTCACGGAAATGACGTCGTAAAAGATGCGCATTATCAGATGGCAGAGGGAAAAATCGAAGAACGAATTCCGCTCACAGGAGTGGAACCCATGCATTTATCAGTCGACTACAACAGATGCCGGGCACGCTATCCACTGCGCCACGGTCACATACTCGGGAGGCTTTTCGAACCCACACTCGAGCTCTCAACTTCGAATTTGCGGTGACCACAAGTGATAAGACAAGCTAGCACTTTCCTGACTCTGCTGCTTGTGAAACGCGTGACCCATGGTCACGACTACCTCCTGCTCTGTTTGCGTTAGGCTTGTGTGATGAAGTACTCGCCGCTTGAATGGTGCCGCCAAAATGTGGTGACACGTCTCGCGTTCACGTACCTTTGCTTTGCAGGCTTTTACAGTCGGCATGCAGTTCACGCAGATGTTACTCGACGCCTTTGCCCACTCGTACGCTCTCTCCATTGCTTCCAGCGAGAAGTCTCGAGCAAACTTGTATACCAAGGTGAGTATAGGGAATGTTTGCCGAGCGCTTTGACGAGCGCGTCTGCCGTTACTGTGTTTGCAGGTAAGAACTCAAATACGTGGCATTTCTCGCTTAGATACCTTCAGATTTCTGAAACAATAAAAACAAATATTTTTCTTCTTATGTCGAATGCTATACCTGTACTAGTAATGGAGCAGCGGTGCGCTGTTTTCTCGGACCGTGCGTCATTACGTGGTACAGGTCTTCAGATTTCCGATTTCTAATGTCGATGAGGGCAGAATGACTTGGATGCGGAGTGCTTTTGGTTGTTCTGCTCACTTCCAATTGCAGTTAAAATCTCGACGAGCAATAAGTGGTGTGCTGAATCAGGCGCCATGCAACAGTCCCCCCCACCCCCGAGTCCCAGCCACTTAACCAAAAAATTTAGTTTGTGTAATGCAAACGCCAGAGTCAAATTTTAGGAACTGGCAACCTTCCTTGGTCAGCATGCATGTTTTGACGCCGCATACTAGTACGACAGTGGCAGCGACCTCACAACATGTTGCTATTTGGTTCAAAGGGAGGTTACAAGAAAATGGCTGAAAAGTACCGAAGTAGCCAAGACATTTATTTTCTACTGCGATCGGCCTAAAAGTAGCCGAATAAGCGCAGTGTGGCCAAGCCTGGCAACCGTGTCCCGCAAGTGGCTGTATTTCCGTCCACCGACCGTTCGAACGTTAATTCGATATCGTGTACCATTATGACTTGTTGCTATTGCATTCACTTCTTCGCCATTTCGGCGGAACTGGGGGTTTTTCAAAATTTAAAGAATAAGTTTCCTTCCCCATCAACTCTCCCCTTCCACACCAGATACGTAGCCGCATCGATTGTGGCAGCAGTAGCCGCACCTCAGCATCTGTAAACGCATCGTGGGCTGTATTCAGGTCAGGCGTAACCGGTAGCGGCGACTTTTTGATGTCGGATATTCCCTCTTTTTAGATGCTACAGTTGGATTACATGGCATTCTACCCGAACTCATCAGACAAGCCAAATCAGGACATGATTACTAAACTGAACTCGGTAAGTAAGCCTGCCTTTATTTACTATTGACTATGGGGTCTATCACACCAGCATGAAAGGGGATAATTTCGCAAGTACACCATCTGTATCACTGATGCAGTATAGGAACTATAGTTAAGGCTCTGATCACAGTGGTGCTAGCCACTTCTTCTCTTTTGATACTAATGTTGTTTGATGTTTGTTATGCTTTGAGCGGCGCGTGCCCGCCTAGTTTTTTTTAGGAGAAAACTGTTTTTCACTAAAGTGAGCTTGTTAGTACAGCCGTGTGTGCAAGTTCTCCTTTTTCATCCTCTATTCAGTTGGTCGTATACTCTCAAGGTGTGTCAAGCGACCCAAATAACAGCTCTTCTATTATCAGCCACAGCATAAGCAGGGCGCGCCATTGCAGTGGGGTGGGTAATGTCTTAGCGTATCGCTTTTATTTAAAAAGCTTAAGCGTCCGTCACTTTCTATGGTATTCTTGCACCTCGACTTTCAGAGCGCTGCTCTCAGAGGGAGGGAGAAACTTTATTAAATGTTTATACAGGGAGTAGGCGGAAGATGGCCCGGTCTGGGACGCTCCTCCCAACCACTAGGTCGGCTCCTCACTCACAAACCTACTGGAGACTGAGGCGACTCGGCCTCAGTTGACCAGGGCCTTTGGCTCGCCAGGACAAAACAGCCGAGCAGGGCTGCCTCCCAGTCTTTCCCCGTGGGATTTTGTTTTGGCGTGATGCGAGGGGTCGACTGGCATGCCCACACCATGCGGAAGATGCCCGAAGACGTGTCCGCCCAGTGCGAGCATTTTACTGCATAGGCAGAACTGAAATATTCTAAAACTATCAGGAACACCAGTGTTTTGATGTAAAGGGCAGGAGTAAGCGTTCTTCTGCCTTTATAAGGCGCTTACATGGTTTAGGCGAATCTGTATAGTTCAGTAATTTTTCAATATGTTAGGACGGACTTAAGTTCGGGATTCATTTCGGAAGCGTCTGAATATGTTATCTGGAGAGTGAACATGCGGGCAGCGGCATCTTCCGTTAAATTCGAGGCCTATATGAGTTGGAGCCCATAAGATTTTATAGGTTACGTGGGGGCTCCGACGTAATTGCTATTTTGTAAGATGCAGTATGCCAGGTGAGAGACGTAGCTGTGTATACTCTGGGACAACTTTCTGTGGTAATGAAGGGAAGGATATACGGAACCAAAGTGGCCGTGCGCCACCGCTGAAGAATGTAGTCCCACAAATGCGTCGGTGTTTTCCGCGTGAGGATAATAAAGAAACCAACATTGCTTTACTTCCTATACGGTGTGATGTTTATAAAGCGACACTGAACAAACCAAGAAGATATTAATATTTGTTCCATTTCGTGAAGCGTCATTTTGCGTTTGTGCACGTCTGAAAACGTCGCACATTTTAGGTGCCCCTCACATTCAAAATGGCGTCTCCGTTTTTTAGGTGAGTGCTTGTCGCTCTCCAGCTATTCTGACGACTCACTGAAGGAGCTTGTGTCGAATTTAACTTACGAATGGCTGTGTAAGCAGACGTAGCCAGTTCTGTGCAGTGGTACTATTCGAACACGGCCAGCATTCGAAAAGCGAGTCGAGCCGGACTATTTGGCGGAAGAGCACATGTGCTGTAGCTGCACCCCCGCATAGCTTACCCTTCATTGCCACAGAAAGTTGCCCCCGAGTGTAGAATATTTATGCTGGCCCCTTTCGAATTTGTAATGATGAGCGAGTCCCGGTCTGTGGCAGCTAGCGTGATTTCTTACGCATGTGTTGTTTACTGCGCTCTGAATGTGAGGCCATTCACCGCGACGTTTCGATAGACGACTGCGACTTTCCCTATATACCTGGCCTACGACGCATCGTAGGCCATTCGGGGAGGTTAGAAAGTATCACTGTTGCTTAATAGTTCCCTGGCCACGTTCCTCGCTTCATTTTAGTCAGGGCTGCCTCCAGGTCATGGTGTCGGTACGGTTGATGCAGCTCAGCGTTCTTGAAACCTGCATACGAGTATACATAGGCCCTTGGGTGTCATCTTGAACAAGAGATATTGATCGCGTAGTTTGTGTGCTGATTTTGAGGTGTCTCCGTCGAAGGCATAGATAGCCTGTTGAAGAAGTTTTTGTGTCACGGTTTGGCGTCGGATGAAGGCGCAAAAGAGACGCTAAGTAATCCGGCCGGACCTTTGTCTAGCAGCCGTCTTGGTCCATGCAATTCGAGTCGGTCAGTTGGGCTGCGTGCTCCGCTGCCCAGCTCACCGTTAAGTGATTCGGCAATTCATTTTTTCATTTTTTTCGAGTGTCTCCTTTTTTTGTTTTGCAGTAACGGGCTGCAATTATCGAGCTGCTCGTTGTTATTCACGGAGTATTGCGATTTCTTGCTATCGCATTCATTATTCGGTCCCTGACGCGTAATGGCGAACTTTCAAAACAAAAATGATATATAAATATTACACTATTCACAGGTCAACGTCATAATGAATGTCATAATGGGCATAATGTGTAATTGTATGGATGACTCTGGCGCTTTGGTGACACTGGAGTTTCAAGCTAGAACGCTTTACCCTTTACCAATATAGAGCGTCGGTAGTGGCATGAAACATTGTGCTGCATGAATTTTCACAATTATATGTTTAAAACAAGAAGCATATCGTCCCTCTTTTGATACGAGCTTTTTGTCATCGGAGTTTATTATTGCGAAATTATCGAAATATTTGGCCATTTGTATTCGAGCTATTCGTTTTGTTGTTTGAAATCCTCGCATTTTTGCACACGCTTACTTGTCTCGCACGATAGTTGATCGAGTGCGATCAAATAGCTTACTGCGTTTTTTGTGCGTGTTTTTCTCTCTACAAGGCGAGATAAGGGCGTGTAAATGGAAAGTGCGAAATACTGAAGTGCTAAAAGCTTACTGCTGACACTGACACCGTCCTGTTATGAAGAAATAAGTGGCGATGAGTAGATTGTTGTGCCCCGCCGCGGTGGTCTAGTGGCTAAGGTACTCGGCTGCTGACCCGCAGGGCGCGGGTTCAAATCCCGGCTGCGGCGGCTGCATTTCCGATGGAGGCGGAAATGTTGTAGGCCCGTGTACTCAGATTTGGGTGCACGTTAAAGAACCCCAGGTGGTCTAAATTTCCGGAGCCCTCCACTACGGCGTCTCTCATAATCATATAGTGGTTTTGGGACGTTAAACCCCACATATCAATCAATGAGTAGATTGCGCCTACACGAAGGGTAGTGAATACGAAGAAGGAACCACTCTCTCCTCTTCAAAGGCCAACTTCGGCGATTTTTCGACCATGTCAAGGCTATGGTGTTTCTATGCTCCTGAGACACTCTTGTCACGAGCCCAATAGCTGAAATTCTCGGGAAATCGTGAAAATAATTTTTAATAAGCAAAAATGTGCGATACCGAAACCGAACCGAGTGCCCTGTCTGCGTGTGGCGTACTATTTGGTAGAGCCGGAGGCCGTATACTGGTTCTGCCAGCGCGGAGTATGAAAACTGTGAAAGCCAGTCGAGCGAAGCACTGGCCAAACACCACAGAGGAAGATAGAAAGCATTCCCGTGCTATACCCGTGCCAAACACCGCCACCGTCACCTTGTGGAAAGCACAATAAACGCTGTATAGCGGCCAAAGTAGCGATGCCATCCGCTGCGTCACTTCCGTTGACATGCCAAACAGGACGTCACATAGACAGTGTTGCCGAAAATTCTGGCAAGAGAGGTGAGCTTTCCGAGGCAATCTTTAAAATTCATTTGCAAACGATCAGTGCATCACTCAAACCTGTGATTTGGCATAAAGGACTAAAATGTGAAAAGGAACATACCCAGCGAATTTCATTGAGATTCATTGACCTCGAAAAATCGCCGGAGTTGGCCTTAAAGCGCAGAGTGGCTTAGGAGCCCTTGAAAAAAAAAGAAACTTAGTCTTCAGTGCAACTGCTCTAGCACATCGCACATTCGCTTTCCATCGCCTCTCTTCCAGAAAATTGTTCCTAGCGACGAATTCAGCCTGGTCTCCTTCTTCGAAAACAGAAAGGAAATTTTTTCTAATTACTGGAAGAGTGCGGAGACAGATCTGAAAGACGGTTACATTCAACGGTGAGTTTTCCATTCTTTGCGGTGCAAGCTCAAAAGGGAGTTTGAACATGTCGCCCGCAAAGTCGCTGTTCCTAATGGATGAGCGCGAAAATTCGGAGAACGGGGAAACAGTATACGCATGATGATTTGCTTGTATCACTACAACCCGTCGTAATCTGGCGCGCCCAGCTGTAGAGAAGGAAAAAAAAAAATGTGGAGCTGACTAAGCCTCACTCATGAAATATGTTTTGCGCTCTCACTCGGACTTGGACTCGCCAAAATTTTACGGAGCGGGACTCACTCGGACTCAGGGAAACTTTTCTTCAACCGGACTCACTCAAGCTCGTCAAAACACAAATCACCCGGAATCACACACTCAGACACACAGCTCCATCTCAGTGAGTCGACTCACGAGTTCGCTAGCGTAGAATTAGCTTTCTCGATGTTACTGTCGACGCTCTTCAACACCAACACCTCCCGTAGTCCGGGTTTGCTCTTGGCGCTTTTTTGATTTATGAGTGGTCGCAAACCAGTAGGTTACTTTTTTTTTCTTAAATGAAATGACAACATAAGATGTATTTGCTATCATGAACTTCCCCATAAGAGTTGGCGGGAAGGAGGTCGAGGCATCCGCCTACGTCATTCGCGCCTATGTTAAGTAAATATTGAAATGATGTATGCGCGATACTGCTTTGGTGTACCTGTGAGTATAAACGCGAATCCGGTTAAGGCTGATAACACTGAAGACGAGTTGACAGGAGTCTGAAGGCACAGCTCGATCTTTCGGTGAGCACGTGAAAGGGGTCGTTTTTTCACCGATGATTGAACTCCGAAGCTCTTACAGGGGTTACGAACAGATTTTTTTTTTCAAGAAATCTTTGAACAGTCTCACTCAGTGTCGGAGTTTGTTGCTTCGCGAGTGAATTGCCGTGAGAACGTGTCGAACCCGTCACGAACGAGCGGAGTTTCGTCGCTCGCTTCTAGCGCTTCCTTTCTTCTCTCGTCCCGACGAGCGCGCGGCAAGCTACACAGGGAAGTGGGGCATTGAAGGGAAGTTACGTAAGTGTGCGTCATCACCTTTGCGCGGGCGTTATGAAACGCGGTCGCTCTCTCCCGTTATTTCCGTGCGCTGCGTGTGCTTCAATGTTTAATGTTTGAAGACTATGCACCACCGCGTGGTGGCGCTCCGTGGCGTGAAGTACATCTGATGCAAACGCCGCACTTGATTTCTGTCGGCTACTGGCCAATTAGTGGCGTAAAATCATGGTGAGGGAACACGGACCTTGCGAATAGTGTCCCCCTTGAGATTTATCTTCCGTACGCACCATGCGAATTCCTCGAGAGTTAGGGATAGCACACTTCTCGTAAAAGCAACTCTGAAATCTTAAGCCTTTCCAATGCGCAGAAAAGAAGTAAAAAAAATACACTGAGAGCTACTTGTCGTGTTAAGTTAGAAACGAACTTCGTCATGCTAAGTGCGTTAGCGCTATTGGTAGCTCAGGGTTGTTTTTCTTCACCTGTGTGATGCTCATGCTCGTTTTTTTTTCTTCTTCAAAACAATTAAGATTTTAAATATTGTACAGTTAAGAGTATCCTTGTACAATTAAGAGTAGAGGGGGTGTGCAAAGCTAGCCTCATAACACTGACATAAGAGAGAGGGGGGTGCTCCGAAGGAATTTTGCCACCCCAGAAGGGGAATCCAAGCCTGCGCGCGCCCATGAGCACAAGTAAGGGTTCCGGCTAATGCATGGCTGCTTGCGCTAACCACCTTATGCGACAAATTTATTTTATTCTATTCAATCCCGATTCCATTTTTTTACATACACAAGAAAATGGCGCAGACCCGAAAAGTGAAACACTGTTCACTTGACGGGAATGATGGCCTTCTTACAAGGCATACAACATGGCATGTATGCGATATAAAAAAAATGGCACTTATACGAAAAATACCACTCGATTATACGTTTTTGTTTTTATGTAAAATAAACGGAATTCGTAAACATGTAAAAAAATATCAAACCGCAATCTGTAAGCGAGAGAAAAAGAAATGAGCACAATATAGAAGTGCATATAAGAAAGGAGAAACGTGCAATTTTGCACTGGTATAAAGTATTGAGAAGACACAAAAACTGTCTGTTTTCTTTTACCGGTAGATTTGATAGCAATTTCATGTCAGGTCCAGTAGATTAGAAGTTTTGGAAGCCTGTTACAGAGCATCTGCTCGCTCATATGTAAACGTGCATATGGAATGGTTCAGTTTTTCATTATTCTGCCTACAATAGATCTGCTTTTTTTGTTCTTTTGGTTGGTAAAACCCAGGCGCGAGACGATCCGTAGCATTTCAGAAAGATCTAGCTCTATACGGTGACCTTTTTAAGAAAGGAGGAACTTGCACTTTTGTACTGAACGTCTCCTGCTTTAAGGGGGGGGGGGAGGGGGCTTCAGATATTCGAGTCACGGAGATCACGCATTGCTTAACTCTCAAGCAAATTAAATGTTTTGAAATATTAGGAGGTGTCCCTTCAGGGAAGAGTGTCCGCTTACAAGGAAAGGCCCTCCCAGCTTGAACACAAGAGGGAGGGAGAGAGGAGGTCAATACACACTCGACCCCCTCCTATTATTTACACGTGTATGCACAACAAGACAACAACCTGAAGTTACTGCCTTTCCCACGTTTATTTTTATTTTTTGTCTAGAGTTCTTTTCTCTTTGCAAGGAATACGCCACACGTGTAAAATTTACGCTTCAGTCTAAGTCTATTTCGTGTGTTTTGCAAGAGACGCAATCGAGGCTGTTGACGACAGATGACCAGCAAAGCTCCACAGTGGAATTCGATCAGTTTGTCAATCGTGAAGTCGTGTTTTCTTTTAGTGTCCAGGTTCCCCATGATGTACAGCGACGACGTCGGCTCCTACGACTACGGAACAAACCTGATGTGTACGTAGGCAGGAATTTGAAACCATATGCAACGTCTCTGTATATATGCTATATAGCTCATCTTGACGAGGTGAAAGAGTTCACGTTATCCTGGTTCCCGTCGAAGATGTGGCTGTGATGCACTTTGGGGTTGGCTTTACTCGGTGAATTGGTTCAGGAATCGGCAGGATGGAGTGGTGCTTGAAATCCGAAGTGGTCATGAACTATATATCAGCGCGACGTGCTCCGAGGTGCCCGTTATCATAAATTTGTTCCTCCGACTTTATGACGTTGCTTGATCACTGCATCAGTGTCGATTACGTCACCGGCTTCGCGTCGACGTCTTCTGCCCATACCCTCAATAATTGTAGAAAAGGGCATCGAGTTTTGTGACAACCACCGATTAAGTGGTCAACAATAGCGATTGGTGTATTTATTCCTCTACACGTCTTGCAATTTAGGCGTTGGAGATGAGCACAAAGGCCTCACATGTTCCTCTTTCCAATGTTTCGCAGCATTGCGCTCCCTCCTCGGATAAAAATCCTAGTAATAAGCCGTATTCATGCGGTGTGCTACTAAAAATGTTACCTGAAAAACTTCTGCGCTTTGTGACGTAGCGAGGGATGATAGTAGCATGATAATTGATGGTATAGCGTATACCGAGGACACGGACACACGAAGGCACATTAGAGACATCACATCATGCGGTGTCTTACATAAATGTGGTGTCTTAAATGTGATGCGGTGTCTTGAATTTACCTTTTTTTGTACGTATATCAAGAGATAAGCTCGAAGACTCGAGGTTGGGTCTCCGCGCGCGTGCGGCGAGTGTTTTTTTTTTTTTTTTTTTGTCGCATGCTGTCGTCACTTCACGTAACACAGGCACATCCGCCTGTGAAGCGAATTGAGCGTGCGCTTGCTTCAAGAAGTCTTCTTCCCGTTGTTCTTCGAGCGTCTTGTTCACGATATTGAGGGCGGAGCATATTGGGGACCCGGAATGTCGTATTCCGTCGCATGCTGTCGTCACTTGTCGTAACGCAGGAAATACCGCGTATGAAAACAGAAAAAGAAGGAAATGAGCGACAAATAGAAAGAGATGAAATAGGAGTAAATAGAAATAAAGAACAAAAACTGAAGAAATGGCTAAAGAGAAGAGAGAAGAAAGAAAACCGAAGACTTTCTTCAGACTTGGCTCCACTAGTGCGATGCTGCATTTTTGTCCATTTTTCGGTCATTTTAAACCGTCTTCCTTTGCGTCATAACTGCCGTGCTTCAGCTGGAAACGTGTTATTAATCGTATACATCTCCTGTCTTTATTTTCTGTTGATTTATTACTTGGTTTCTATGACGCTTATCAATTTTGTTTCGCAGTCATCCCCTTCGGAATGTTCAGACCATCGTTCTACAGGGACAGCACGGCCTAGTGAGTATTGCTTTTGCTTTGCAGTGCACTCGACACGAAAAAGGAGCAGGGGGTTGAAGCAGGAGGGCGAGTGTGGTTAACCAGCTGTGCAATAATAATAATAATAATAATAATAATAATAATAATAATAATAATAATAATAATAATAATAATAATAATATAATATAATAATAATAATAATATAATAAATAATAATAATGGGGAACTACGCCATATTCGGTTACTTAGGCTACGTCTATTATTGTGTTTTTAACCCTTGCTAAAAAAAGCTCCAGGACCATGAAATGTAAATCATTACATTTATGACATCCATATCATGATTTTCATGTTATGACTAGTCAAATATGTTCTTCATACAGTGATGTTATATCATACCAAGTTTGGTATCGATGCCGTCATCGAAACGGCCAGGAGAGCTAAAAGTCGTAGATGGCTAGATAGATACGCTCTAAGTCGCCGAAGTTCGCCAAGAAATGCTTCGCATTTAATAGCTAGGACACCTGGAATATATACATATTTTTCACTTCCGCCTTCTTTTCAGAATTTACCGATAAAAGCACGCCAGTCGGCTGAGGGGAGCACCCAATTATTATTATTATTATTATTATTATTATTATTATTATTATTATTATTATTATTATTATTATTATTATTATATTATGATTATTATTATTATTATTATTATTATTAATCTTTGTTGCTGATTTCCCAAGAAAGTATAGCACACATATCAGTCCCGTCAAAGCCACATATATAGCGCTTGAGCAGCAGTGCCTGACTGTAGTGTTTGCATTTCGACTATGCGAATCAAGGAAGCACTGCAGACCCGCAAAGAAACAACCCTCTTCTCACTTCACTGCAGCCTAAAAAAAAGATTAAGTGAACACTGACCGATATATACTGCAGCCGTACTACGCTGAGAGTCTTCGTTTTTTTTTTTTTCTGTTTCAGCATGGGGAATTACGCCGTATTCGGTTACTACGGCTCGAAGAACATCCTGAAAATGCTGAACAATGCCGGTGAGTTGGCATTGAGACGGTGGTACTACGTGTATACATAGGGGCGTCAGAGGGCCCCTAAACAACCTCTGAACACACAAAGGGCGAGGACGTTATTTTCTGCTGGCGTTTCCTTTTTCGACGCAGTTCACGATGCCATTAGTTTGTTCACGTGACGTTATGAGAAAATGAGCTCTCTATTCGTTCATAAACGAGATATATACGTTTTGTATTATCTTCTGTTCTACTTTGTCAAGCAGCTGCACTCTGCCTTGTTTCGCATTGCTATTGCGTATGATAAAGTATTCCACTTTGCGTACGTTTTTCGACTTCAAAAGCGGATGTGACGTCGTGACATTCAACACTCATCCCTGTCCTCAAGTACGGCGGCTTGTGGTCGCTTTTGGTGGCGTCTAGTCGCATGCAAGGAGGATTAACGTTTTTTTTATTCCTCCTTGGTCGTATATGTTGACTGATTCTTGCGGTAATTCAGTATGCCTGCATTCGCGCTCTTGTCGGTCACGCGAGTGCACTCTACAGCAAACGTTCAAGACCACACGAGTTCATGCTCTATACTGTCGTGTCGTGTTTTGCTCTGACAAGAGAAGCCAGATGCAGTAACTCCATATACAGCTATGTGTGCTGTTTGAGGCAGAATGACTTATGTCGTACGATTAATATATCAATGTGCCGCATTGAGTGTATGACTGCTAGTTTGACTGAATGAAAAGGCGGTTATCTTCAGAAAACACGTTTTTTTCTAAATATGTAAAATCACCGACGTTCTGAGCAAATTATCTTTTTTTGTTTTCATGCCAGGGAGCTACTCGAAGGCTGGATATAACTTCCCACTCATGTGGCCTGGCACTTACGCAGTGGGCAAGATGAACGCGCACTACAGATGTTTCAACCCTGCCAGAACGGTACGCTTAGCTTTTTATGTGTGTGTGGGAGGAGGAAGTGGAGAGGAAGGGGAAAACACATGATGTGCTCAGCCATGTGATAGTACTTTTATTCTCTTACAAAATAACCAATTCGGTCAGTTAAACTCCTTAACCTATCACTCTTTCTTTCATGTCCATTGTCATTCATTCTAGGAGTCCGGTCCCATACTGACAGCGCCATCGAGCATTGAACAAGATACAGAGGATATTTGGTAGTTGATAGCGCCTAAGTACTTGAAAGCTTGGTACACGAGGTCTAATATGTAAAGAAAACTGCACAAACGCGTTTCAAACGCGCAGCGCTGAGGCGGTGGCTAGTCAAGTCAAGGAGCATTTTTGGCACGCTAAAGATGGCGCATTCGAAACGTCCTTGTGCCGCATCGAAGGAGGTGGCTTACATGCCGCAAGAGATCTGGCCAGCCGCTGCCGCAGCTGATTTTGTTTGCTCAAAGCACGGCTGAAAAAAGCACGGTCATGGTGTGCAAGTGCGCTGGTCACGTGGATCATTTTGTATTTCGCAGCTTTTATTTGCAGATTGGAAAAACAGTATACGGGAGACTAACTATATGACGAAAAATTGGCAGATACCATGTACAGTGGGAATCGATTATGTGAAGCACGAATGAGGAAAATTGATATGACACTTTAAAACCAGCACAGCTTTACGAGGCGGACGTAAATTTGACGTACATGACTTCTATGTGATGATTATCATGTTTGAAAGTATAATTTAACTTCATCGTCTATTCATGCCCCGTGATACCAAAATTGGTATATGTCGAGCTAGGCAAAGGGTCGCCAGCACGCTATGAGTGTAGCATGTAGTCATCTTTTGCATGACACGCGTAGCATTATTATCATGTTTGGACGTGTCATATACCTTCGTCGTGCATTCACGTCACGTGATACTATACTTGGTATATGTGGAGCAAGCAGAACGGCCGCGAGCGTGTTATGAGCGTAGCATGTAGTCGTGTTTTACACGACGCGCGTATCATGATTATCACGTTTGGACGTGTCGTTTACCTTCGTCGTCCATTCACGTCAAGTGACGCCATATATGGTATATGTGAAGCTAGAAAAATGGCCGCGAGCGCATCGTGAGCGTCACGTTCTTACATGACACGCATCTCGTGATTATCATGTTTGCACCAGTCAGACCTTCATCATCCATTCGCGTCCCGTCGATTGATTGATTGATTGATTGATTTATATGTGGGGTTTAACGTACCATAACCGCCATATGATTATGAGAGACGCTGTAGTCGAGGACTCCGGAAATTTTAACCACCTGGTGTTCTTTAACGTGCACCCAAATCTGAGCACACTGGCCTACATTCGCGTCCCGTAATAACAAATTTCGTGTGCGGCAAGCTAGCGAAACGACTGCGAAAACACTGTAAGAGCATCATGTAGTCATGTTTTACATGACACGATGTCACGATTATCATGTTTGCACGTGTCATTTACTATCGTCGTCCGTTCGCGTCACGTAATGCCACATTTGGTATATGTGAAGCTAGTGAAACGGCCGCGGGCGCATCATGAGCGTGCATGTAGTCATGTTCTTACATGACACGCATGCCCCACCACGGTGGTCTATGGGCTAAGGTACTCGGTTGCTGACCCGCAGGTCGCGGGATCGAATCCCGGCTGCGGTGGCTGCATTTTCGATGGAGGCGAAAATGCTGCAGGCCCGTGTGCTCAGATTTTGGTTCACGTTAAAGAACCCAAGGTGGTCGAAATTTGCGGAGCCCTCCACTACGGTGTCTCTCATAATCATATGGTTTTGGGACGTTAAACCCCACATATAATTTACATGACACACATCTCATGATTGTCATGGTTGCACCAGTCATATACCTTCGTAATTCAGTGGCGTCACGTAACACCAAATTTGGCATGTGAAGCTAGCGAAACGGTCACGAGTGCTCCATGAGCGTGGCGTGTAGTCATGACTTACATGACACGCATGTCATGATTTCCACGTTAGGTTCTATATCACTTATGTTTGCCATGTAGTCATGGCACAGTTTTACATTATGTCGTGTGAATGAAATCACTGCAAGAGCAGCATGACCATGAAATTTAAATCATGACATTCACGATTTTCATGTTATGACTAGTCACTTATGTTCGTCATACACTCACGTTACTTCATACTAATTTTGGTATTGATACCGTTAACCAAACGGCCAGTAGAGATAAAAGTCGTAGGCGGCTACATAGATAGATACGCTCAATGTCGCCGAAGTTCGCTAAAAACAAATATCGTCTGCTGTGCGAAAGGTCAGCACTATGCAACCGATTTCATTCGCTGCCTCTAGCATTGTATTTCTTAACCTTTCCCTAAATATACCTGGAACACTCAGTATATATCCATATTTTTTCACTTCTTCCTTCTTTTCAGAATCTAACAGTAAAATCACGCCTGTTGGCCGAGGGAAACAACCCCATCTCACCCGGATTTCGGGTTCGTATTTTTTTCTCCAACTTAACTCGCCCTTCTCGCGAGGACCACAACTGTGACGAGCTGCGTTGTTACGTTCCTCACTTTGTTTGTCAATTGTTACTTTTGATGAACTCCGGGTTCGTCAAACTTATGGCACGTTCGGGGAGGGGGGGGGGTCATTTGGGCGTGCTTGTAACGTGTTTTCAAGCGAATTTCAGTGTTCTTAAAATGCCACCAGGTGACCAGCAGGTATGCAAGTCTTGTTTTTCCTTCTTTATCTATTGCTGGCCCGCTTATTTTATAGCAGTAATACTTAGTCTCTCTTTTGCAATTTTTTTAGCTTCCGGAGGGCTCTGAAACAAGCACCCGAATGCACCATTAGTTGGCTTACTCATGATTAGACTTCTATGGCATATTAGAACACCAAGGACGGTTAGCGCTAACTGTCACCAACGTTGTTTCCTGTGTATTTCACTGTTTCGTAGTTTGCGCTGTTCTGCCACGATGTTTATGAATGAACTGCAGCCCACCTAGAAACCTATGCACGTTAAACAGGTCCTACTAACAGGTATCGTTAAAGCAGGTCAAAAGAACTCTGGACAATCGCTGATTGGATCCTTTTGTTTGAGAACGTGTCTTAGCTAGCAACCGGCCATTCACGCCTATGCGGCCACACTTTTGGAGTGGTGGTATCTTGACGTACGGTTTTCACTCGCCAGCAGCGCCCCCGGGATTTCTCCCGGTGAAGGAAAAAAAAAGGGGGGGGGGGGTGATTTTGGCGTTGTGAGACCGCTGTGGAAGGGAGTGCAGCAGGCACTCTGCAGAAGCGCCGTTTCATTGCTTAAGCTGGAGAAAACCGCAGGAAACAGAATATCAAACTTTACAACATTAATGATACCGGTGCTAACGATGGTTGCCTCAGTGTTCTACAAAATTATCCTGTAACTAGCTTAATAAAGCCAAGGAGCTGTTCTGAAAAGCATTAGAAAATAAGTGCCAAATAAAATAAACCAAAGCGAGTTTCTCAATGGACTTGTTTGGCACATACTTATTTTTGCCTATACTTTGCCACTCATTGTAGTGGTGTAATCCTGCTGACGTGCCGACCGGCTGGTGGTCGCACTGTGCTGCTTTAAAAAAATTGTGAAGTTGAGCGATTTCTACGGCACATCACCTATTTTACTTTCTTTGAACTTCGCCAAACTATAGAGATAAAATTTATATAAATATATAAAAAGTATGTATGCACAGTTCAATGCTGAAAACTTTGTGCAATTCTCAGCCCACGTATATACTGCTTTCGCCTTTGTGACGCATTCGATTGTGTGTCTGTCTGCTAATTTATCTGAGCATATGGACCTTTCTTCTGAATTAAATTCAGAAGAAGGGACTATTCAGAATAATGTTCTCTGAATGAAATTCGCCTCTGTCTGGTCCCAACATGATTTTTATTGCGGGGGGAGGGGGGCAGGGGGAACCCTAGTAACTCTATGTCACAGATAATACGTGATAACCAAGTCGCTTCAATTTCTAGCGTTGAAATGCTAATGCGTTGCCAAAAAATATCTTCATTTATAGGTGGGTTGTTATAAGAGAAAATTCGTATGACACTTTGACACGCTTACTGCATAAAAAATAGACCACCAACTGCCAGACATCTTTTGTAACAACGTCGTGGCGTAAATCCAGGGGTATAGGAGCGAACTCGCTGCTCCGATCAGTGCCTTACTGATCGAGTATTATGAATTGCACGTTAATGAACCTGCGGTGGAGAATCTGCAGTGTTGCGATAGCTGAGAAGAGACAGAATTTAAGGGCACTCAAACTAGTTCAGGTAGCATGCCTTGTTCAGTTGAGGGATTTAGTGCCAAGGACACATATATGCGCAAAACCTGGTGCAAATTCGTATCAAAAAAAAAAAAAAAACAGGCGATATAAGTATAGGTGTGATGTTCTAAGATTTTATGTACGAGTGTAGGTCTGGTCGTGATCACAAGAACAATAAGAGAATCGTACCTAAGTCGAACCCGAAGGCGAAAGGCATCGTATTCATTTACTTCTCACTTGATGCATCATTCCTCCACTGTCCCGTTCCGAAAGCTATCTGCGCCTGACGTGATGTTGTGCATGGCCTCCGTGATCAGAGGCATTCCAGATTTTTCTCACTTTACCTCGGTTCTGCAATGCTAGCGTGACCAGCCCACGTTCGGCCAAGTGACAACGCGTCATGACGTGACGTCACGCCATGTGATGTCATAGTTAGCTCAATATTTCGTCAGTATGACGTCAAAATTTTTTTGCGATTTCGGACCATAGAGTTTCCTATAAATACACAATAGGGGTCTCTGGTGCTAGTGCATCTATAGGGGAACTGCAACGTACGGCGCTTCAGCCTGCTTGGGAATGGTGGGTAGTACACAGATTTGCCTAATGTTTGTTCTTTCTACTCTAGCTGTTTGGCTCCACGTGGCCTGAATCTGCCTTTGTCGCAACACAAAGTTCAGCGAAGGTTGGAACAGCTACGCTTCACCACTTCGACCTTTTTAGGCTCCGTAATTCAAATCGGCTTACGAAGTTCACAACGGTCCATTCTTTCATTCGAAACAAAACCGAAAGACAGCAATAAACAAGGCCGCAAGTGCGTTTGGAGCCCGCAAGCACGAATACAAGGGAAATCCGTGTACTACCCGTCATTCCCACGGTGGCTGAACGATCGCTGTACCAGATTCCCTTCTAGTCTGTTTTCAGGAAACTTTCTGTCTGGGGCTTTTTGGTGACGTCATTCGGTGACTTCATCACGTGATTTTTTGCCTCTCTCATGGTAACGCCGAGGCACGTTGACGGTCAGTTTGTGTGTTTGATGAGGCCTCTAAGACTCCTGCCTTAATTAGTGTTCGCTTAATTGCCCTTCTTCTAAAACACCGCAGTATTTCCGGAAGCAAGCGCTAATCAGAGCCCACCCACGCCCAGAGTACCGACTCGACGAGGACGCCAAGGCCGACATGGAGCAGATCTACCTTACAGCTGTGATGCGGGTGAGTGACGAATCCGCCTATGTGACGAATCTAGCGTCAAATAGCTTAACCCCTTGAGGCGCCAATTATTATGCACTCTCCGTGAATGCCTACATTTAGAACAACAGAACTTTAAGGCACACGTTATTACATTCCAATGAAGAAACTATACTGTTTGACTGACTTTACTAAATAATATTGTTACGGGAAGGAGACTGACTCAGAGGGGTAGTCACCGATGTATTTTCAGCCGGAACGGAACGAAGGTAGCCGGAACGGGGCCAGTAGCCGGAACGAAGGTCTATGGAGGAAAAATAGTGGGACCCATAGAGGCAATCAAGCGCATCACCTATTCGTGGCAGAGGGTAGACGTCTTTTTTGGTAATTTTGTTTAGGTGTCGATAATCCACGCAGAAACGCCATGCACCGTCTTTTTTGTGGACTAGCACTACAGGAGAAGCCCAAGGACTGCAGGATGGCTCAATGATGTCTTTGGCGAGCATTTTGTCGACCTCACTTTGGATGATGTGACGCTCGGCTGCCGACACCCGATATGGACGCCTATGAATAGGATGCTCATTACCAGTGTTTATGCGGTGGCTCCTACCGGTAGCTTTCCCCAACGGACGGCCGCTGATGTCAAAAACGTCGATGTAGGACAGCAGAACCCGGTGGAGCTCATCAGTCTGCTACGGCGTCAAGTTGGAAGCGATCATCGAAGTAATAGCGCTGTCGGAGCAAGTGGCAGATTGATGTTGAGCGTGGGGGTCAGAAGGGGCGGCCATCGCGAAAACATCTACCGCATTGTCTTCTAAGGTGCAAGGTAACGCCAAAGAGATCCCTTGTAGCAAAACTTGAGGTGACAAGCTAAAGTTGACAACTGGGAGGCACGTAGAGCTTCCTGCGACGGACAGAATGGTGTGCGGTAATGTAATGCCACGGCTTATGAGGACATCGGTGATAGGCGTCAGAACATAGTCCCCGTCGGGAACTGGTGGTATTGAGACGAGCTCTATGTAGGTCAGTGTTTGTGGAGGGAGGCGTGCGTGTCCCGTTGTGCAGAGGCGACTCGGCCGTTGTGTAAGAGGTTCTGTTGCGGGCAAGTGTAGACGGAGCGTACTGGTCGAACAGTCTATGAGGGCAGAATGCGCGGACAGGAAGTCGAGGCCTAAGATTACGTCGTGGGGGCATTTATCAAGGACGGTGAAGAGAACAACTGTGTGTCGATCGGCAATGCTCACACGAGCGGAGCACATTCCCACGATAGATGCTATTCCACCATCCGCAACACGGACGAACTGAGTGGTCGCAGGTGTGAGAACCTTCTTGAGCTTGCGGTGAAAATCACTCGTTATGACGGAAAGTTGGGCGCCGGTGTCGACAAGAGCAGTGACATATACGCCGTCTACTTGTACGTCTATGAGGTTCCGTTTTGTCGGTATCGTCAAAAGAGGATTTTCGGTCAGTCCGAGCGATGCAGCGCCACCTCCGGGGGCTGCAACGCTTAGTTTTCCGTCGGGGAACCTCGTGGGAAGGCGGGGGAAGATGGTCGGCGGGGCTGTGGAGAACGAGACTGGCGACGTTAGGGGGATGGAGAGCGGGAGTAGCGTTGTTCAGAAGCAGGTTCCTGGGAAAAATGGTCGCGGCTGGTCTCATGGCGATAGGCAGGACGTGCATAGAAGGGACGAGAGGACGGTTGTGCAGGAGGACCCCAGCGACTTCTGCAATGGCGAGAAATGTGCCCGATTCTGTGACACGAGAAGCATATCGGCTTGTCATTGTGTGTTCGCCATGCTGACGGATTACGGAACGTTGAGGGAGAGCCGGTGCGGGGAGGCGGTGAGATAGAGTGAATTCCCAAGCTGGCGATTTCCTGCCGGACGACTGCTTGAATGAGAGGCAACGTAATTGGCGGAGAGGGGTCGGGGGACGTTGGTCCCACCTTAGCTGGAGCAGCCGCTTCAAGCTCCCGCCTGACGATTCGCGTCAATTTGTCACAGGTGTCTGGTGGATGATATGTGTCGAGACACGAGGACGTCGCAGAGGTGTTCGGGAGGCGCTGGAACTGATGGGAGATGCGTCTGCTTTTAGCTTGTTGGAACCGGCGGCATTCTTGAATGATCGCATCAACAGATGACACATTGTTGAATACCAACAAGTTGAACGCATCGTCGGCGATACCCTTTAGGATATGCGCAACTTTTTCAGGTTCAGACATATTTTCGTCAGCTTGGCGGCATAGTGAAAGGACAGCCTGAATATAACCGATGTAGGGCTCCGTGGAAGATTGTGCGCGAGTCGACAACTCATTTTTCGCAGCTTCACGACGGCCAGAGATGTTGCCAAAAAGCTCACAGATTTTTGCCTTGAAGCTGTCCCAGCTTGTTATGTCATGCTCGTGGTTATCAAACCAAACACGAGAGGTTCCGTCGAGGTAAAAAATGACGTTTGCGAGCATAAGAGTGGGATCCCACCTGTAAGTGGCGCTGACGCGTTCGTAGAGGCGTAGCCACTGGTCGACGTCGGAACCCTCGCTGCCCGAGAACACGCCGGGGACTTTGAGCGCGGGAAGCGTCACGAAAGCTGTTGCGGGTGCTGGGTTGACAGGTTGGGCAGAAGGGGGAGCGACCGGAGAGGATGTAGCCGAGTCTTGGGTAGTCATGTTGTAAGCCGCGAGGGAGCGTCCGCTTCGGAGTTCCGTGGCGAGGACGGGGATCGCACAACTCCACCAAATATGTTACGGGAAGGAGACTGACTCAGAGGGGTAGTCACCGATGTATTTTCAGCCGGTTAGGCGAGCAGCGCCAGCCACACAGATTAGCTCGCGCCAGTCTATCTCCTTCGTCTTCTTCAGCTCCATGCACTGGCACGTAGCAATATTAATTAGCGCATATTTAGTTATTTACTCTGGAGTCAGTCATGTTCTATTTTTATACAAAGAAAAGAACATTTTAGGCTCAAAATATACGTGTAGCTTGTTTTTGGCTATATTAATTTTGAGCAAAGGAAATGAATACTCATTAGGTTAGCATTGGAACGTGACACTTCGACAAACCCGTCGAACATCGCAGTGCCTTCACCAGAGTAATCGGCTGTAGTCATACACAGCACATTTGGGTTAGTAGGTTTAATTGATCTTATGAATAATGGGTCTTACCCTCTCTTTCCCACTGGTCCGAACAAGCGAAAACAAGTTGAGTCCACAAATGTTCGCGCTTCGCATCAAAGGATTAGAATTCTGATACAAATTTTACACATCTTGAGCTCTAAACCAAATCACTAGTTTTGAGAACCATAGAAAGTGTATAGCTGTGCCTACTAATGCGTCGAATATATTTTTAATACCGCCACATGAAAAAGTGACTTTCGCTTTTGGTACCGAGGAGGCGGCTTCAAATTACATGTCGTTGCAGTGTGGCGTCGTGGGACGACAGCAAATCGCGACGTACCAGTGACAGACCTGCCATCTGCTCGTGATTCTCGTACACGACGAGTGGAATGGTCGTTCATTGACCCCGAAAGTGGTCTTTGTGATTTAGGCTTCGCGATTGTTGCCGAGTTCGCGAACTCAGTGGAACTGCGTTGACTGGTCGGAATGAATGTCCATTCAAGTAGCGCTCGCTTGCAAATGCTCTTTGCCGAAAACTTCCGAATCGAAGTAATATATTTCGTACGGGTTTTCCGACTCTGGCGTGCACAGAGCGTTAACACTGCATACCGAAGAAAACGAACGCCGATGTATCGAAAGCCCTCTTAACGCGCTCGGATTTAACTCGGTATGAATCGCGGAGCCTCTTCATTATGAAACTGGAACGTTCGGCATTACGCCAAACTGTGGCCGCCTCTGCAAAAAGGAACGCGTTATTTACGTGCGTCGCGAAGACTGCCGTTTTTGTGTGCGTCTTCGAACGCCGGATTTTATTCAGCGGGTGTCAGCCATCAGTGGCAGGTAACAAAATAAATATCGATACATAGCACACTGAAGTGCGAACTTATGATTCTTTGATGTTTACTAAGGGCAACCATTAGCAAAAGCACAGGCTGGTATTCGCCATATTAGCCAGGGTTATATATAAGCCTTTCAGTCCTCAAGTTAATTTTGTTCAATGTAAGCAACTGGCATCTACAATAATAGACTTTCTGCCAGGCCAGGCCAGGCAGAACAGCTCCAGTGCGTTACACGCCACAAATGACATTCTCGCGGGCCACAAGTCTGAACGAAAGGTTGTAAATAGTGTATAGTGTATGCGGGTGACTGGATGTGTTAAGTGTTTATCACTGAATATATCATATTCATCACCGGTACCTGAAGTTGTAAGTCGGGTGAAAAGCTAGGTAAACTTCTTCAGCCCTCCATTAAAATAACTTTCTCTTGCCAGGCCAGTATTTTGTATTTACAATTTGAGATGCACATGATCATGGTTGTAAAATAATTAAAATCTGCGCTTACATTTTTTCAATCAAAAATAATTACTCATTTAGCTCATTTGTCCATTAATTGTTTAGTATTTTGAAGAATAATAATAGTTTCTTATGTCAACATATTTTGATGGATGGCGTACAATTAGTAAACAGTAGCCAAAATTTATTTGGTATGCAAGACTAAATATCTTGCATCTGCAGGGCGCGAGAAGCTGCCTCATCGAATTGCGGAAACAGCGTGAGCGCTTCTGTACCGAATTTAGTCGATTGTAACGCGACCACGATTATAACGTGCGGGAGGACTTTTCACAGCGTCCGGGGAAGAAAAAAAGTACCTATTTCGATATCTGATTGTAACGCGAGGCTCGACTTCAGGTAGCTAAAATTGGGTGAAAACTCGCAATTGACAGAATATTATACTTTAAAATCATAAAATGTATAGAAGACAACTGAATATTGAGCCCATCATTACATTCGCGTAAATACGGTACTTTCTTGATTCACACGTCCTCTCCCTTTCCTGAGTGTGCTAGTTTGGCAACCTATGCGAGCAGATGCTAAATATGTGTTGTAAAACTTTTCTACTACAGTTGGTGGCTAACTTACCTACGAAACTGATAATTACAACTGGAATCACTTGTGCTGAAAAGGTGAAAGATGTAGAGCTTCTTACTTAACCTTAGAAAAGTGAGCTTATGCGTTGTCAGAAATTTTGAGTTAGCCTATTGTTCTACAAGGAAATTTGTTTACGTGCTCAAGGTCGGAAGAAGAAGAAAAAAAGACCAAGTGTTTCACATTCCATTCCCACGAGGTTTTACTGCCATTAAGACTGATATTCACCAACCGTTTGTCTCTGCTGGCGTCACAGAACAGGCAGAAAAAGTGGGGAAAGCAATTTGCTGCTGCTTTTGTTTGTTCACTCGTGGTTAACGATGTGCTTAGCAGCACTACGCCAACACAGTACAGCCGCTCTTTTGTTTCAAACTTACTTTCTCGCTCGTTGCAGACCTACTGCCGCTACAAAGGAATGAAGGCAGAGTGAGTACCTACCTTCCTTTACCATTCGGACGAGACTGCGTTTGAAATTGAATGTGTCGCATATTATCCCGTGCCTAGAAAGAAGAGATCGCTGCTATTGTCTTAATAATAATAATAATAATAATAATAATAATAATAATAATAATAATAATAATAATAATAATAATAATAATAATAATAATAATAATAATAATACCAATAATAATAATAATAATAATAATAATAATAATAATAATAATAATAATAATAATAATAATAATAATAATAATAATAATAATAATAAGTGGAGTTTAGTGTTCCAAAACCACCATTCGAGAGACCATAGCGGAGGGCTTCAACAATTTTGACCATCTGGTGTTCTCTAACGCGCACTGACATTGCACAGTGCCAGCGCCTCGAGGCGCTGGCAGTGCACAAGTCTCTCTGCCAATTCGCCTCCGTCAAAATGCTACTGCGGTAGCTGGGTTCGAACCGACGACCTTCGGGCCAGCAGCCGAGCACCCTATAGCCACTGATCCACCGAGGCGGACAATTGGCTCCTGCTCTTGAGTGACACAATATTATGACGCACATTAACGAGACGTGACGTTGCAAAGTAGAGCTGCGGATTGCATAGCAACGCTTATCTGTGTTTGGTTCGTGCACTGACACTTGCCTCTGCTCTCGCGCGTCTCTTCACGCAGCATAAACACAATGTTCCAGCACGACTTGTACTACCAGACCGCCTACTGCGCAGACGGTGGCAAAATGAAAATGGACCCAGCCAAGATGTGTTACATTTGGCACAGCACCAGGCGGAGCTACTGAGAGCGCGCTGCTCTTGGATCACTGCTCACACGCCAGCTCATTAAAGAAAAAGAAAGCTCCATGCTCACTGAACACAAGGCTTAATTACTTCTGCGCGCGCTGTACCTTATTTAGTATGCCTTAGCGAAGGCTTCCGTATTGCAGAAAGGCTAAGGGGCCACATTTGTAGTCTCTGGTCGGTCGGTATCGCTGATATGTACGCAGTCAGGATTAGCTAAAATCTTTCATTTACGAGAAATTATAGCGTAAGACGCCTGTTAGAAGGTGGGTCAAAGAAAAAGGTAAAAACAAATGACTCATCAGTAGAAGCATTCGAAAATGTTTTGGTATGACACCTACATCCTCAGCGTACAGTAATGAACAATGAAAGAGAGCAGTGAAATAGCTTTCAGAAGGTCATCGAAATTAAACGCGGGGAGGAACACAAATGCGTTTGTAACAACGAAGTTTCAAGCGGAAAGGTACTGCAAAGTACTGATCCTTGCCTGAGAAAATTGTTTCGTGTTCCTCACCACAGTACAAGAGTGAGCCATGCAATGCTCTTGTGGTGACAACTCCGCACAGTGTCTCCAAATTTCAAGCCGACAGTTTATCTATGAAAAAGTAATCCTGTTACGCTGCCACTTAACTCGGTCGTGCATGCTCTGATAAATTATTATTCCGGCTACAGCGGCTGTCTCTGAAAAGTGGTTTAGGAAAGCGTTTGAACGACCCCTGCGAACAACAAGTAACGCTAAATAAAGAAATAAGTGCTCATGCGTCGCGTGCCTTATCTTTGTCTTCATTTTGTAAGCTGAATGCTTCACGTTTCACAAACATGTTCAAGCAGTAAGCTTGGCCACGGCCACAGCGCCACGGCCACTGCATCGGAGTTTACTTCGAGCGCGTTTATCCAGCGACTGTGGCTTAGACTATATATACAAATAAAACAAGATTGTGACGGAGTTAAAAAAGACCAATTCGTTTACAGTTCCGTGTGCTTTAAAATACCTCTTCTACTTTAATATCCGTTTATTGGACACATTTTTAGTCTTTTCCTTGAGTTTCCCGAAGCCGTCTTCGTTAGATTGAGAGGCAAGCATTGCCAAGCAACTCTCTTTTTGGGGAATATGACAACTGACACTTGACTATCTTGACAACACACTGCATATAAATGCACGTAGTACACGTGTGTTCGAAATTTGCCTTTACCTTGCGATGAGACACTTGCCAAGGGTTTTTATGCGTGCCAGCCAGAGTGGGTAGATACTCGTGAACGGTGGACTCGGTGGCAAACTGCACTTGCTTTGCAAGAAACCCCCCACGTGTACGTGCTACATTACGGCAAGGCAGGCGTATACAGGTTTGCTTTTTTTTATTGATATGATATATAAGGAGATCCGGTGGCGCAATGGTAGCGTGTCTGACTCCAGGTTTGCTTTAATAAGTGAGCTGTGCTCTGGATGAGCGCGTGCCTCGTGCTACGATGATAGTGATGTGTAGTCAGCAGTATTGCATGGCTGAAGCAAGCAAGATCTAGGTATCCATAGACAGTTTTTTTAGGTAGGATGAAGGGGGGGGGCGTATGGGAGGGGCTGAAGACCTCGACTCTCCCAGGAAACTTTTCTTTACTTATTTTGGGCAAAAAAACCCTCCACCAGAATGTCGTGGGGATCCGGGCTCCTATGGCACCCCCTCCTCCGGGAGCCTGGCATGCCTGGCGACGTCAACCATGTGCATGTTAGCCAATGAGAAACCATACCTAGGCAATAATCGGGTTTATCTCGATTCCTACGTCACTGCGCGTGTCTGCGTCGGGTGTGGAGGACGCTTGAGCTTCGCTTTCTCTTTTGATGGCCAGGCTTCACTTCTCCGCTGGAACCTCGACCGTGCCACGAGAAAAGGAACGTCTCGACTCGCGACATTGGCCTTATTTGATTCATCCTCTGTATAAAATTGGCTTAATCAGCAACAGCGTCAACAGCCCGAGTTGACCATTAAGCCAGAGTTTCTCGTTATAGGGGGGCATTCAAACAAAAATAAAAGGCTGGTTTTCTTCAGCGTGCCCTGCACGCTTGTTAAAGGGACACTAATGTCAACCATTAGGTCAACGTTTACTGTTGAAATGGCGGTCCAAAAACCTCCTACTGTTACTTTTGTACCAAGGAAGGGCCTATTTTGAAATAAAATCACGTTTTAGTGCTCCACATCGGGTTAGCGCACTTCAAATTACCCGCCTCAAGAAGCGGACCGACCGGTCCGTCTCACGTCACTGTTGCCGTTCACACCGTTGCCCGGCTTTATTGCGCTAGTAACAGCAGACCGTGAGCAGAGGGAGCCACAGCAGCAAAAACGGCCATTGATCAATTTCCCTCCACTGGCTCCGAGATTGTAGACGCTGTGTTTCAACTGCACCCCACTAGATGGCACCACCTGTCCCGTGTAACCACGCGAAAATTGAATTTTTGAACCACTCGCGCAATTCCCCATAGTAACGTCCGGCGGTTCTTTCATGAATCAAACAGAAACGAACAAGCAGCATCTTATTGAATTTCTTGATGCACAGAAAGTTCTTTATTTAGTGTAGTTAGATAGATTACTAGTGATTAATTGTATGCGGTCCGTCTGATGTCATCGGGATCATTTTGAAAATGTCCTACTGTGGCGCTTGTGTTTTTGTGCATTTACCTTAATTTCTCGGTAAATAGGGCACTTTTGCTGATAAGTAGGGCACTGTTGTTGCTGTTGCTTGCTCTTTTGACAACGGAGCTACGCAGTGGACGCCTCCTTAAGTCTACTAGCATGGCTTCGGGTGAGGATACGGCTTCGTCACCTACCTTGGCAACGACAGCAACCTGGTACGTCGCCCCAACGCAACCCCGTGATCCCGGTACCTTTACTGGAGAGGACAACGCGAATGTGGACAAGTGGCTTAGTATGTACGAGCGCGTCAGCGAGCAATATGGCTGGGACCCAACCGTTATGCTTGCGAATGCCATTTTCTATCTTGACAAGACCCCTCGCATCTGGTTTGAGACTCATGAGCGCGAAATCACAAGCAGGGAAATGTTTAAACAACAGCTCCGCGACCTCTTTGACAATCCGTTTGGTGAACAGCTTGATGCCCGAAAGCAATTGGCCGTACGTACACAGACGTCCACTGAACCCTACTTGGCTTATATTCAAGACGTCTTAGCGTTGTGTCAAAGGGCCGATCCCAACATGACTAGGGCCGACAAGATTTCGCACGTTTTAAAAGGAATCGCCGACGATGCGTTCAGCCTGCTTGTATTTACGAACGTAACGACCATCGACGCCGTGATCAAAGAGTGCCGCCGTCTCGAGCAGGCGAAGAGTCGACGCATTTTGCAGCAGTTCCAGCGCCTACCCAACACCGCGGCAACGTCGTCTTGCGAAGGCACTTCTTGTCATCCGTCTACAACCGAAGACGTGACGCGCATCATCCGACGTGAACTCGAGGCCGCTTACCATGCTGCCAACAAACCGATGTTGCCTGACGCCTCAACGCCAGCTGTCTCCTTGATCCAGGCTGTTGTCCGCCAGGAATTCGCTAACCTGGGTATCCTGTCCACTGCACCCACCCTGGATAATACTGATCCCTCGATAGCTTCTGTGGACATGAGACGTCGCCATCCGTACTCTATTCGAACCAGAAACCCGTCTGAATGGCGAACAGCTGATGATAAGCCAATCTGATTCCGCTGTGGTCGCGCGGGACACATCGCTCGTTACTGCCGCAGCCAGTGGCCATCTATGTCTTCTGGCTCGTACCCAGCTCCTCCACCAAAATGCTACGTGGAAAATAACAGTAGTCAGTCCGCAGCCACAACGCAGCTCACCGACAACATCCACTTATTCACTCTCAGTCTGAGGCACCTTTCTTGGGTATGTCCCACTATGCCCTGTTTCAGTCAACCGAAATCACGTAACAATATTGTCGTTGTAGGTGTTGTCATACATGGAGCTTTCACTCTGGCGTAAATTGTTATTTGACTTTAGTGTCCCTTTAATGCGCACGTTTATGGAAGGATTGCTGCGTACTCGTCGCTATCCTCCAAGTGACGGCATTTGTATCAAGTTGAAGACCCACCTCAGGCAAAACGTTTACACCCAACAAAGTTTGTTGTGTGTAAAACAAGTTTCTGAGTCATGTGCGAGATGTTGCAACGCTATGGTTTGAGTAAGAATCAAACAAAAGTTTTCTGCGTTGCAAGCAGATTTTCTGCCACAAAGCCACGCTATTGCTTGAAACTAATTGGAGGAAGGAAAAAAAATGCGATACGAATATCGCGTTGTGGGAGGTAACGCGTGTAATATGGGGTGGAAGAAGCGTGGAACCCTTGCTGGCATCAAACAATTATCAGCACCACAATCATCATCATCATCATCGTCGTTGTCATCATCATCATCATCATCATCATCAGCAGCAGCAGCAGCAGCAGCAGCAAAAGTGACAGAAGCAGCAAAACTAGCAGCTGCGTATAGGTTTGCACGTAACCTTACGGACGCGTGGAGAGCTTTTCGCTGATTCGCAAAGGAAGGATAATGGCGTTGGTACTTCGTAACTGTACTTTCTATAGACGTTCTAGCATAGTTTGAAACAGCGCATGCTACTTTTACAGACGTTTGTTTTCGTGCCACATGGCGGACGCGTTTTCAGAGAACCAAACCCAGGCTATAGCAATAAAGAAGGCAATGCGCACAGGGCCTGATTACGCTATCGCACTTTACTCTTAATGGCCAAGCTCGAGCGACCTCCAAGTCTTTACAACGACATAATGTCAGCCTGTAAGGCTGCTAGGTGACGGCAAATTTACCTCGAGGCAGAAAAACAATGGCCGTAATCTTCGATTGTACTCCTTTAATATCAAGACAGTCATAAAAAATTCGTCCACTTCAATCAATAACTCGAGACTACATGTTTGATGAAAATCAGAAATCGACAATATGGACGAGTACTGATGCAATGCTGAAAAGAAAAACGATGAAAGAAGAACGAACGCGAGAACAAGGATTCGCGCACCTGCATCCAAGGATGCGTAATACTGATAGTGCGTCGTTTGTTGCGTGTATTCACTGGTAGAATTTGTGGGGCCCACTGCATAATATCGTTTAAACAAACCGATTTGGTCATTGCGTCCCCTGGAATACTCTGTCACTTTTACTGGGGCCCTCGGGCCAGCCATGATTTACAAGTATGTATGTTCCCTGCTCGACGAAAACATCTCACAGCGATTGCGGTTCTATTTCTATTGCATAAATTTGAAACGTAGCATAGCGCACTTCGCAACTCTTTCATCATCCATTCTGTAACTGCTCCCCTCGTTATCTTACTTACGCGTTACGTGGCCTGCCCAGTGTCTCCTTTCTTTATTTAACGCCCCGTAAAGTCAGTCGTTAACATTGATTACCCGAGCTGCAGTAAACAAGAACGGGCGGAGGTTGTTCGTGTCTATGATAATATTGTCACTTCGCAATTATCCGCAGCTGATCCGTGCGTGTCGCACACATACCGTGACAGCACGGCAGTGTCTTTCACCTGTAGGTGTCACACTGGGCAGACTACTACCCCCACTACTTTCTCGAATTTTTTTCTGCCATGAAATAAAGGGCACAAAACGACACTCGACTACATCTGCCTGCCCGGCTCCCACTTGAGACAAAGGGCGTGCAACCCTCTCCACTAAAGCAAGTTTCTGCCTACGCCACAGCAGCTTTGTGACCACCTCGGCGACAGCGGGAAATCCTGTTCGTATACTGTAGAAAGGGCTGCCGGAGTATTTATTTTATTTTTTTCCCTACTCGGGCGCATTCCTCGCCCCCGGCTTCTCGGCGGTCTTTTGTTCGGTTGCGTGTGCTGCGTTGTTTTCTTGTGCGCGTGAGCGATGCTAGTGATCGAATGCTTTTCCCCACTCTACTCTTACCTCTTCTCTTCTGTCTCTTTAATTCCCATCCCCCCTTCCCTGCGCTTAACTGTGGAGGTGCCCTCGTTTAAGAGAGGCAGTAACGGGACAGCGCTTTTTTCTTCCTTTTCCTCTTTCAAAGCCACTTGGGAGAACAATCGCTATATCATCACTGCGCAATGGCATACGGATGTCCCCAGTCAGTGCTAGAGTGATAATCGCAGTGTTTGTGACAAGAAAATATTGCGGGTTCCTACCCGGCTATCACTTTCTTTAGTTGTTGAATGTATAATGTACATGTACAGCCGCAGCCACGTCTGTGTAGAGCGCTCGAGCAGTCGGTGTTTGCTCTGCGGGTCGAAACCTTGAGGCAGTCTCGGGCTCTGACGCGGTGTATCAGGAGCATCCACGGCCTAGTTGTCAGGCTGACTACGTCAGAGCCCGATACTGCCCCAAGGTGTCGCTCCGCAGAGCGAAAACCGGCTGTTCGCGTGCTCTACACAGACGTGGCCATGGCAGTACATATTCAACTATGTTCCTTCCAGCTTTGTACCCCCCCCCCCTAGAACACGTGTTTCTTTAAACACAGCCATTCACTTCTTTTTGAAAAGTATTACTTTTCTTTTGTTGTGGTTGGTGTTTTTAGAACGTTGCGAACTTCGAACATTTGACCGTGTTTCACATTTTAAAGTGATGTCTTTCCGACAAAACACACGTTATTTTGTTCACATTCAGCTGCTCGCATTAAACCATGAAAGATAAAGGGTTATAATATAAAGTGGATTCTATTTTTACTCTAAAATACATTAAAGGGCCTGCGTTTCCTCGGTGATAAGCGTTATCTTCATCACGATTATATCGACCGATTGTCTGCACACCTGTATGTGATGATTGACAAGTCTAATGTTGTGACGAATGCTACCAGCACATGTAAGAAGACGTGATTGGAAAGAGATACTTTACCGCCAATATTAATGTTTTATCGCATATCCATTCATAATGTCGTTCCCAGACGGAAAAGGCTTGAATTTCGCTCACCGGCAGATGAAACACGACTGTACATTCTGCGCAATGTTGTTTTTATTTATTAAATTTTATTGTTATGCTAAGTACCAATTTCGATGTGGTACAGCCGTAGCTAAAAAAATGATGACCGACAACTTGTTGGCATATTTTCTTGTTTCAGTAATAAAAAGATGCTCGCAATAACTGAGCCTGTTAATTATGACCGATAACGACGTACACTTTATTTTGCAGTCGTCGAAAACTATACTTTCATTGAGGCTAGTTATGGTAGTTAATCAGGTGAGTCTATTGACTTGTATAGTGCAGCATGTTTAAACAATAAAGATGAACGTTTGTAAAAGCTGTTGTGCAGAACCGTGATGTGGATCGGTCCAACTCGCTGCTCAAAATTATGGTACGGTAAACGCCACTCTTGGTTTCAGAAACATGTTTCTGAAGCAGGGTAGAGGAGGATATCTACGAAAAAACAACGCTGAAAAAATTCTGTCGGCATGACAATGTTCGTGGGGCAGGTGGAAAAAGCAATCTTGACTACTGTAGACGCACGGTGATTAGCATGCTTTTTCCCGTTTTTTTTTGCCACATATCAACGGCGAATAAATATTCATAGAAGAAGTCCAGCGCGCCCGATATCCTTCGTTAACCCTATTTCTGCTGTTGTGGGGGCTCCTCGCATAATTGAGGGCCTACACACGATTCCACGTGATATAATAGCTGTGTAAGACAGCAATTAGTCAACGCTGTGGGCCTCGTGAACAGTCCGGAAGCTGTACCAGAGTTCTCCGATCATACGAGTTGCGAAATTCGACCGTATATGCTCCGTGTATGAAAATCCGAGCACGACACTGGTCAAAACAACGGAGGAGTGCCCACTGTAGCGTCAGCATTCGGCGGTGAATGAAACTGGCATTTTCGTTATAGTTATGAATTGCATAGAACCGCAAGCTTGATTAAGTGAGCGCTATTCTTAGTGCAATTTACTTTTTGCCACTTCTTGCAGGTAATACTGCGACCGCAGAGCCGCTCGAAATTTCTTGAAGATAGTTCTCCCAATTCTCCCAGCAGTAACTATCCTAATGACCACGAAGACCGCAGGGCTTAATGTTGTTGTTCTTAGGTGGCGCGTTGCTTTGTTAACCTCCTCAGATTTGCCCAAGGACGTGCACAGCTTCGAAGTTTTTCAACTAGTATGACAGAATAACTCTCTGGCTGTGTCGCACAATCAGCGCCACGGCTGGCGTCACTGGGCCTTGGGCTCGTCGTCTTCGTCGTTGGTCTGGGTGCCAGAGCTGCGCTTGGCCGGCGCCGGCTCCGACTTGCTGCGCGAGTGGTGCAGCGTGTACTGGCGGTACTCGGGCGGCAGCGCGCCCAGGATCTTCAGTTTTCCCGCCATGCTGTCCTGGCACCGTCACGCTGTACTCGGGCTCCCAAACCGAACCTGCGATAGGCAGTGGCCAAGGCAGTCAGTCGCGTAACGCATGTGAGCACGTCCCGAAACAGACAAAAAAAATGTTAGCCAGAGTTCTGTAGCATGAAGGTAAGAAGATTTCTTCGAAAGGAAGCTTCTGAAGCATCCCCTTTGTCAGGTGTACACAAATTCTTTTTTCTATTCAGTAAGTCTTCATCGACATTGCAGGCGTGAACAAAACCGATTATCGTAGAACACGTCCTGATTTCATGCAGGAAACAGTTAAACAGTGCCTCAGAGAACATAGGGCATTGCTACATCAGTGGCGTCTGTGAATACCGCTATAAAAATCCAGAATCTCCACGGAGTAGATGACGGCGAGGTGGGCGAGGCTACTAAAGGTTTTCGCTGATACCGCTCCGAGGAGCAGCATCCGGGTCCGAATTTTCGCTCTCGCATTCCGGGGTTCGCTTCTCGTCAAGCGCGTTTCGCTGCGGCTTCCTTGGCGCGCACCGTCTCGGGATCCGCCCGGCGCAGCCCTCGCTAAGCGACAGCCTCTCGAGCCACCAAGCGCAATTCGACACGTACGGCGACGATCCAGGAGAATGAGATTTAACGGGCACGCCCGCGCAGCCCGCGCAGCAGCCAATCGGAGATCAGCAGCACCTCCAACGCCATCTAGTGTCCACTCACACAAGTGCCATAGTGCACACATCTCTATGAGACAGCACCATCTACGAGAGGAGAAATGGCGATGACGACACAGAATGCGTACAGCGACATCTAGTATATCGTCACCCAGCTGCAGTTTGCATGCATCTCCATGGGACAGCACCATCCATTGTGTGATGAGAGATACGCTACTGGTTACGCCGTAGGGACGAGGGATTTCCCTAGACCATAAGGAGCTTCACCTTAAAACACCTGCCGAGCACTTGACAGAAGACCACAGCTATACTTGCCATGTAGCCAGTGCAACTATAACTCAGCTTGGAAAACAGTATTCGGAATGTCAAGCCGTGGCCATGCATCACCTGAACGCCACCGGAAAAACTTATTCCTCCTCCTCGGATTGAACGGCGCAGCCCACTTCGCTCATGAGGTGCACTTTCCAGGCGTCGTCGCCCGGTGCGAAGTTCTGGTGGCAGAGTGGACAGTGATTGGCTTGGTGGGGAGGCTTGGCCACTGCATTCGGATTAAGAAGGCACAAATCGCATTAGTTGGAAATAACAAAACCACATCATCAAGGTTTGAAGGAAAGAAGCGTACATTTAAAGTCTCGTTTTCTTTGATATGACAGACAGAGGCTTACCGGTCACGTGTTAGCTAAGCGGCTAAAGCGCCGCTACTGCTTAATTAAAGAAAGCAAGCTTCCCCCTGTTCGGTAAGTCAATGAGTACGCGAAAGTTACACAATACAAAGTCATGTAATGTCAGGTACAGTACTTGGCAGGATTTTGTAAAGTTACCCGGGACCGTTTACGGCTCCGGAAAGCGCCATCATATCAACAACTGCGTTGGTGTAAGGTGAGCTTCTGACAAGCGAGCGTGGTTGAGGATGAGGGCGGGGGTACATAGCTAATTATTGATTTCATGGATGGGTGGCTGTGAAGTTCAAACAACCTTTATGTATGTTCATTTGTATTTCTGCTTGTATACCAATACAAAATAAAGGAATTCCCTAGCCCGAGAGGAAAGGGAAACCAGCGACCTGCGGGGCCGCATCCGAGTACCTTAGCCACTAGACTACCGCGGTGGGGCGGCCCATCATTTTTCAAACACCGTACGCTGTTAGGGCGTGAGAAAAAGCGAAGGAGGGCTGATGAGCGTGGTAACGGTTTACCATCTTTCCACGTACCCTACACTAGAGGCATAGTATCTGGTACTACAAAAAACTAGCGCGAAAAGTTACTCATGCTCCAAAAAGAATAATGGCAGAAAATTTTATAGGGTTCGTTTCTTTGTTAGACCAGCCCCAATGAGAACCAGCAGATAATGAAGGTTTGGAACCTTAAATATACTGTTTCTTTAGTTTATTGTAATAATTGACATAAGATGTGAACAACGTACAATGTCTTGTCGCTGGCAGGGATTCAACCTGCAAGAGACGAGGATGAGTGCTTGTGCTTGTTTGTTGTGTTTTTTCTTTGCGTATTAATGAAAAGTATCAGATAATAAAGGTAGATAAGGCATAGGGGACATTAATTGCGTACTGTATTTGTGTGTAACTTTAGCGTTAGTTTCCTGTAGTAAGAATGTCAAGCCAACTAACCTTGCAACCAATGTTAAGCCTAAATCATATGGTCCAGTCCCTACATCTACATCGCTGTCTGCATTGCTGAGTAATTACGTGACCCGCGCGCTTTATTTATAAATAAAGCGCACTGTGCTTGGAAACCTGAGATGGGTGGAAGGGCTCATGGAAAGCCGGCGTGGACAATGTTGATCATCACAACGAGGAAAACTTATTAATTGAGGTAGAGTGCGATAGGAGTGGTTGTCTCTTAATTCGGGACATCAATGAAGTCTTTAGCGGTAGCTCGTGCAGTCCAAATAAATGCCCTGCAGAAACCTCGGACAGACCGTCCGTGCTACGCGCACGCGCGCCTTGTCTTCGTGGTTATACAATGTCAAGTTTCAGAGACGTCCTTGCTCACTTCTGCCTGCGCTGTTCATCAGGCCAACAGTGCGACTACAGATGCTCACAATGAATCATTCAGATCTGTTCATAATGTGTTTTCGCGTATTCAAACATCTGCACTGAATCCGCACACACAATTCCCTGTACGCTTACAACCTCTCGCGTCATTTAGAGCGCTTAAATCAACCCACCATTAGCTGGGCTACTTGTTTAAACTCTCTTAAAGGAGTGATCATAGAGATAAGAAAACAGAAGATGTTGGTCTCGTACATTAACTAGCACAGCATTCAAGGTGGACAGCGCAAGTGGCGCAAGTGATACGGCAAATGTTTGGAGGAGCACATAAAATCCACCCATTCAAGTGCATGTATCAAACACCAAGGTTTTTTTCAATGGCGCGCTGGCGGTATACAACTTACGGACACATGTTTTCAGCTTGACGTGGCCGTCAAAGCGGGTCTTCGCGATCGCCTCTTTGCACCGAACGCACAACCTGTATTGGCTGCGAGAGACGCACTCTTCGAGGAGGTGCCTCGTCAGCCCAGAGATTTCCACCACCTGTCGGGAAATTATTGTTATGAGTATACGCGATACAGCGTGCGATAACTTGTGAAAAGTTGGAGAATAGTCTTGCAGCACATTGTGAGCGTTGCCTTCAGAGGTGAGATAGAATGTGTACACATCGAAAACCATGGTAATGTAGAGTGCGCATGTGAGATCAACTTCTTTCTTGTTGAGTCTCCTTTGGCCATTGCTTCAAGCAGGTGCCTCTAAAGATTGCTGCATCTTACCTAGCTTGTTTTTTTTTTTTTCACCAGATATTTTTCCCGGATAGAGCTCGTATCGTTCATGACTGTCACTTGCACAAGTGTACTCTCTTTATTAACTCTCTAATCTCCCTTCATTATCATAAAGATAAATAGATAGCCTCTCATGACTACTGAAATATTGCGCGGCCACTGGCTTGTACTATACGAAGCATGTGCGATCGCTGAAGCTCCATTGTTACCAGCCCTCTCATTATCGCGTTCACTGGCGATACGATACAGTGCTCGTAGTATATCGAACACGGGGACAAACTCGCCTGCTTGCAGTTGTAGCACAGCATAAGCATGGGACACTCCGTCCAGTAGTGGTAGTTGAGAGTCTCCGCGTTGAACTTGTCGTTGGTTTCTTCACAGAATATGCACATCCTGCGAAATGCTTAAACATGTTTATGGAAGTAAAGAACTTCCATGAATGCAATGTACTTGTATAGAACTTATCATTCGTTTCCTGAGCCGAGCACCACCCGCGATACTTGTTTGCACCCGAAACATTGACTTTGGTGGTAGTGGTTAGAAGATGAGAAAATGCACCTAATTTCTGCAACCCGGTCGGGAGCACGGCGCAGTGCCTAGAAACATTGACTTTGCTCTCCTCTTCTCCAGTGTTTCCTTCTTCCTACCCCCTTCCCCAGTGCAGGACAGCCGCTACCGGGCTTTTAACCTCCCTTCCTTTCTTCTATTATTGTTCTATCTCCCCTCCCCCCCCCCCGCCCACACACAACTCGCAATATGCGCACATCGTAAACTAGCAAGCGCTGTGACTGTACACTTGGCGAAATTTCAAATGTAGAGCTCTGCAAATTAAAAGATCAGGGGCTAAGCTTCGCTGGTGTATTGCCAGTGTGCTAGATAGACTTTATATTGTGTACTTAGCCGAGAAGTAGTGAGGACAGTTATCTAAACTTGCAAGTGGCATGTTCACAATTGCGAGTATCATTTTCTACATTGTGTATCATCCTATGTCGTGCTTCTTGACCGTGCTATCAGCGTTCAAAAATGAAAAAAAAAAACGTCATTGGACAATAGTTTTCTATTGGTACACGAACTAATATTTCTCTTTTTTTTGTCATCCGAAATCACTTGCACAGCGGATAACAATACTGGATGTTCTGTAAGAAATCGACGATTACGACGTGCTGATAAGGGCTCAAATTCACGCATATACTCCTTGGTAGTAAGACTTCACTGCTACTAACTGGTCGTCTTGGTTAGCGTGCCCAACTCCAGAATTGTCCAGAACTTTCCCTTATAATGTACGAACAGTTCCAGTGCAAGGGATTTTCGTGAATTGGGCCTTAAAAGTGTTTAGTGTCTCTATAGTATGCTACTCAGCACAGGAGAAGTAAAGAGAAAGTTCCTCCACGCTGTGGGCGCAGTCAGCTTGATTCTGCTGGCAGTGATGAGTATAACTTGGTGTGCGTAAGAAAACGTTGATATGAGTGGCTCACTTATCCAAGTTTAGCGTGGATTGATCCTGCTGCGACGCCTTGGGCAACTCCTGTAGGGACCGGCTGGAGGGCGCGGCAACTTCCTTCACGAAATCCCGGCGGCCTGACCCCGAACTGGGGCTGTCGGCCGACGCTGACCGCTGCCGCCGTGGAGCTCGCTGGGCGCTACCGGGCTGAGCAAAAAAAAATTAACTCGAATTTTATTTCAACATTAAAGGAGACATCTCAGAAGTCACAACAGTTATGCTGTGGGGCGAAAGAAAAAAGCCATTAAGGATTGACTGAAGCTTTCGCACCATTAGACAACATAGCAACGGCAACAGCCATTACACAATACGGGTATAAAAAAAACATCACGTACGAGCACAATGCGAGAGTGCTGAGTCATACTTCATTGCAAGTTTACGGTAATATAGAAGCACTGAATGACATGGTAGTTCAGCTTAACATTTTGCTGAAGTATAGTTGGTACTTAACTCCTAGGGGAAAAAAAAAAAACCTAGACGCCTATAATGTAGCGAATTGGTCTAGTTGGAGCGTACTCCTAACGGCCAGCGCGAACAAAACAAAAGGTAGAACAGCGACAGCGTCGCGTACTTTCCTGTACCTTTTTTTATCTTGTTTGCGCTGACCTTCATCATCGTAGAGACTTAAGGAGTGGCGTAGCCAGAAATTTGTGAAGGGTGGGGCATGTCCTTTAATTATCCGACGTGGGGGCAGGAGTGCAAGTATCGTCGACTGTCAGCTTGTGCTCTGTATGCCATGGCAGAACGAAATTTCGTAAAGAGCACGTGCCCGATGTGCTGTAACCTTGCTACGCCACAACGTTTAGCTCTTAAACATCACCAGTTGAAAGAAGCAGCACTAGAGAATCTTTTCTAAAATAAAAATAAACGGAGTTGTCTCCCTTCTCGTGCCGTGGATACCACTTTTCGGTCGGTTATTAGTAGAAAATTAAAAGAAAAAAATCTTGCTTTACATGAACTGAAGTTCGAAAGCCCTCGTTCGAATGTCTCGGATGTATCGGGTACACCAGTACGATGAACGGGCACGATGTTGTACATCAGTAATTATAGCAAGCGAGATATCTTCAAGGAAGCGTTGCCGGACTTTTACTGGCAGTCGACAGACGTAAAGACATTATAGATTATTGTTGTAGACGCATAGTGAGCGCTTTACACAGCGTGGCCTGATGTTTTGATAAATAAACCTGTTTCTATCAAAATCACTTGACATCCTTAGCGCGTTAGTTTTAAAGGTGTACTGAAAGATACATTGCTTCTGAAATTTCTGCCCAAAGCTTAAAAAACTCCCTCTTTCTCTGTGTTATCCGCTAATAGTGTGTGTCGTTCGTGACAATGAAGCTTGAAAATATAGAGATAATATTCTTATGATGGACTATTCAATAATATGTACTCATTACAGCCCGCTCCTCTTTCATCTCGCTCTCGCCATCATTGCTCTCATTGCAAAGACCTCGCGTCTAGTCTTCGCCGTACTTTTTTTCTAAGCGTAGTATTATGCATAGCTACTCGATGCCTGTACCTCCTTGTCAATCTTCTCGAACTCTTCGAAGACCTTCTTGTATGTGAAGTTCCTGGAAGTCTTTGTGGACTCTGGAACGAGGCACTGGCGCACGGGCGTACCCAGCAGTCGGTACAGCGACAGCAGAATCTGTTCGGCCACCTCGCGCACTTGTAGTGACGGATGAGACAGCGCCCGGATGGCAAAGGCCATCATGTGCTCGAACAGTGGATCGCTGCAACAGGACGCATAGTTACCTCACGATGCGATAAAATAGCAATGCAAAGGAAGTCTATCGCCCTCTTTTTATTGAAGTCTGTCAAGCAACAAGTATCCAAAAAGAAATTTCTATTGGGACCTACACTTCGTCATCAGCGCAATTTTATGAACACTCTGAACAAGTCTTCACGTGAGACAAAACAAAAAAAGACTGTAAATAGATTTTGGGCATTCAAAATTATGTTTCACCAGCACCTTCATCTTAATTTTTAGCCCGTTTTATATACTCTCTTTCTATTTCTTCACCTTTTCGCACACTGAGTAGCAAATCAACAAATTCATTCAGCTTGACCTGTCAGCTTCTCTGTCATGATAAACCTCTCTCTCTCCCTCTCTCTTTCTCTCACGCAATGTATTATTTACAACCTCGAAACGACCCTGTTCCGACTATGGTTGCAATGACCAGTGTTGAGCAGCTTTTCAAAAGGTGCCAATAAGCAGCATGTGATTGAACACGACACAAAGCACGACGTCTCTTCCGCCATAATAATGGAGGTATGATTTTCTTCGTATGAACGCCACAGCACAGGAGCTACATAACTGACTAAATGGTACAGTGTCAGAACCATTAGGACGGCTTGCCGCTTAATTATTTCCTGAGACTATATAAAAGCAGTTGGCCGCATGAGCCTATCGTAAACGTACTATCGTTACGACCATACCGGCATTTTATCCCTCGTATAGCCCAATGGAACAAGTCGATGCGGACAAAAGGTTTCATTTCCAAGTACCTAGCGTCTTCGGCAAATTCATTCATGATGGTTTTAGTTGCTGTGATACTGTCACAGTGAAGCAACGTGGCAATATTGAGCCAGCAGCAAGTACCTGGAGAAACACACAAAAGCACAAGTATAATGCATAATGGCGAGCACTGTCGTTGGTCTCAAATATCTGAACGCCAAGCTATAGGTCGAGTTCTACAGATATTTATGCACGTGACATAAGTCACATCTATATTTCATCATAAGGCGTGTCCATTTCAAGTGACGGATGTATTTGCGTTATTAAGAACAGCGTTCTCGTAGCACGTGCAATTTGATCAAAGAAGACTGTTTCATAAACTACGTGACAATAGTCAAAACTGTTCTAAAGCGGTTAGCTCGTATAGCAGTGAGAATTTGGCAGGAAACTGTCGCTGTCAGAAAGGAATACAATGTGCGTGTCATCGCTTCTTTACAAACCCTCTTAATACCCTTTGCGCGTATACCAAGCAATCGCATATAAAATTTGGTTCGGAAGTACTTAGCGAAGTTTAAGCGAATCAAAACTGAAAACATCGGTCTTTTTTACAACCTTTTTAACGATCTTCTTTATGATATAGTTTATTATCGTTTTATAGACAGGATATTGTTAGTAAAATGTCGAACTCAGTTTACCTTTGGCTCAAAGGTGGAAACCTGGCGACAAGCTGCTCTACAAGCTCGCAACGACCCTGAGCGAGCCTCGGGTTTGTTGACTCGGGGAAAGGTCGGAGGATGATGTGGAGCATCGCTTGAACAACCTGCGTCGTGAAGAGGATTTCGCTTAGCGCAACACAAAGGACGTTAAGCTTGGAGAAAAAAATCAACAGGATGCGTGGCAATAACAACTCACCTAAATGGAACAAATGTTAAACCTCTCATCATCCTTCACTATTTCACCGAGCAGAGGAAATTTCATTTACACAGCGAAAGGGGCAGCATGAGAGTCAGTCGTTCACATTAAAAGCAAATTCAACCTTTCTGTACGAAAACCAAGCATCAACGAGGTCATCATGGCAGATGTTGCACGTTGGGTGATTGGGGCCATATTCGAAAGTGTCATTTCACTTCCTAAAGCATAGAAATATCTTTTTTTTTTGTTACCTTAACGTCCTCGTAGTCACCCATTTCCAGGAGAAAGTCGATAGCTACAGACTTCACTCTGGGGGCCTGGAAAAGGGACAGAAAAATGTTTTCTCAGGTGATGAAACCAAGATACGTACGCATAGTTCACCAAAGTATACTTCGAAAAATTATTGTTCAGACATTGTGCAGTCTTCATCAAACATAGCCGCATACATATATGTAGCATTGCGTGACATCCTTCGCTTAATGAGGACGCCAGGTGTGCATGCGTTTACTTCAAACATGCACTGCCTCATTGGCAGTCAAATCTATCGCTGCGAATTTGGACGCGCAGTGCACGGTAATCCGTGCGAAGACACGCTTTCACTGGTGTGCAATCTACATTTTCATTCATTTTTGTGGCTTTATTGCTCACTCGCCGTAAGTATATATAGACCGTTACAGCGTTCTCAAAAGAAGTAATTAAAATCCAAACGTACAGTGTAAATATCGAGTGGCGGTATCGCGGTATCTATACAGTACTACATGCTCAAAGCAACTGTCAGTACACACTGTTTCAGCGCACCTGAAACACCCACTAATGCATGAGCGTTTATTCACTATATAGCTTCAACTGAATGCTTGTACAAAAATGCGGCAAAACCAGGCTTGTGCACGGTGTTGCGAGTGAATTCACGACAACCTATATATGATCCTGCAACTTTACCAGATAAGCTCCCACAATATACCGCGCGTATTATCCAATCGTTATTGGAAATGACTTGACTAGTAGTTGAAGTTGCAGAGTCTTCCACTGCCGTCGTTCTTACGTGCCGCGTTTAAATCACGCTTAATTGTTTCTCATACGATGAGTTGAGTCAAGCCCTTTCAGTAACCGTACTTTACTAGCACGCTCTAGTGTCGAGAGAATGTACTCACGGTGTCGCCTGTGCGGTAGAGAATCCGCGGAACAGTCTTGTTTATAGCAACGGTCACGTCTCCTTTCGATATTCTGTAAGAAAGCCAAGTGTCAAAGCACACCTTCAACCGCAAGTATAGGCTTCGGCAAGCGCTGATTGCTTGCTGGCCCGCAGGTCGCGAGATCGAATCCCGCCTGCGGCGGGCATATTTTTGATGGAGGCGAAAATGCTAAGGCACGTGTGCCTAGATTTCGGCGCGCGTTAAAGAACCCCCGGTGGTCGAAATTTCCGAAGTCCTCAATTGCGACATTTCTCATAATGGGACGTTAAACCCCAATCGATTATTATTATTAATACTAGATGAGGATTGCTAGAACATGATTCTAACACAGTTTATGTTGCAGGCTGGTTGTTCTGGCTCACACTTTCGAGACGATACCTAATGTACAGGAGCCGTCAAAAGTTTTCATGCCACTATCCCATGCATTACTATGGTAGCGTGCCCTGGAAATTTCGGACGTCCCTAGTACATGTGTAAACAACATACAAAATAGAGTAAGCCACATCTGTTCCGTAGTTTGATTGGTAAAAGCATCAAAACATAATGCGAATGTGTGCATATGGTTTCAATATGGCTTCACTTCCGTTTTATTTTATTTTATGATTTATGCATTTGAAATAAAGACGAGACATTTTCGCTACACTATACTCGGTTTTGTTGTTCGGTGGCTTTATAATAATTAAGTTACGCTTCTGCAACATATGTGATCAACATTCTCTCTATTTTAGTATTTCCTCTAGTGAAGTATAGATGTTCGCCTGCAATAGGCACACTTCTTGCGTTATATTATGTCAGTAGAAAGGGGACAAAAGTAGAAAAAAGTTTGAATTTCTGTTTTTATTATCAAAGCCCGAAACATTTGAATCGAAGCAGCAGCTAAGTCGTCCACAATTTTCGAATCAAGAGCTTAGCGCATGTAGTGGGACATGTGATGAAGAGTGCAATAAATGGTAAGATAAAAAGCTTGAATAATATATACTTATGAAATCGTTTATATATAACCATTTCGTGGGTTTCACGTCCCAAAACCACCATATGATTACGAGAGACGCCGTAGTGGAGGACTCCGAAAATTTCGACCCATTGAGTACACGGGCCGGAAGCATTTTCGCCTCCATCGAAAATGTGGCCACCGCAGCTGGGATTCGATCACGTGACCCGCGGTTGAACGTTCAAGCACCACAACCACGGGCCACCGTGGCGGGTACGACATCGTTTTACTTCTTGTATTTTCATTGAAACAAGGAGTAACACTTACCGCTGGACTATTGTGAACCGCGTGAACAATGTCTGCATCAAATTCAGGGCCTGTATGAAACACCTGGAACAAAAAGAAAGATGAAAAAAAGACCAAGTCAGTTTAGAGTAAAACCACCAGCTGACAACAAAAGATACGCTGCTGCGGGGTCCAACGTTAAACTTTAATTCCCCTATTTAAAGGTAAAATCGCTGTTTTTTTTTTATAAACAACTTGTTACGACTGTCAAAGATCCTTGCTCACTGCCTTGCCTATTTAGAGCAGTGGCATAGCCAGGGGGTTATAGCACACCGAGATTTAGCTTTCCATACAGAGTGACTCATCTCTTCCTCAGTGCAGGCTACCCTATACTGGGCTCAACACTGTTACCTCACTGTCTTTCCTCTATCCTCCTCCTCCTCCTGCCGAGGCTGCTATTAGTTCAAGCTGTATGCTTACAGCTTTCTTGCTAGGGTGGCCTTCAACATTGTACTTGGTGCATGTCGTAGATAAAATTTGACTTGACTTGGCTTGACTTCTTATTTGGGCACAAGGACGGTCTCTCACCGAGAGCACCTTGTCGCGGGCCCCTCTCTGAAGCAGAAAAGTCACGGCCTTGAGCACGTCCTCGGCCGAGTGGCGACTGCGGCGCGAGTTGTAGCGCTCCAGGAACCGCTGCATTTCCTTGAAGGCCTCTTCTCGCTGAATGAAGTTCTTGGAGTACAGCTTCTGTACCTACGAACGCGCAGCAGAGAGAAAACGTGGGCATACCGCAAACGCGCAGTCGTTTGTTGTTGTTGTTGTTGTTATTATTATTATTATTATTATTATTATTATTATTATTATTATTATTATTATTATTATTATTATTATTGTTGTTGTTGTTGTTGTTATTGTTATTATTATTATTATTATTATTATTATTATTATTATTATTATTATTATTATTATTATTATTATTATTGTTGTTGTTGTTGTTGTTGTTGTTGTTGTTGTTGTTGTTGTTGTTGTTGTTGTTGTTGTTGTTGTTGTTGTTGTTGTTGTTTAGATATTTTCCGCCTGTGTCTGCCGGTCATCTAAATGTTAGAACCTGTTTTTAACGCAGTCCCCAGTCAGTGCTTGTTCAGTACAAAACGATAACTCCAATCACTTCCCTGCATTGTCCTTCAATACACAATCCTTTCTCGCATCACGTGATGGTGTACCCCAAATATCTTCATTTCGACTTACTTTCAGTAAACTTTGCTCGTAACGTAGCATTTAGCATAGCATTGTAAGAATTGTGCATTTTACGCTGCATAGCCGCATCGGTTTTTTGTCCCTATGAATAAGCACAGTCTGGCTGTCAGTAAAATACGAATCTGATCACTAGAGGATTTCGAAGTAGTATCGACCAGAGAAAACGTGTGATGCCTGTCCAATTAAATAACAGTTTTTTTTTTTCTTTAGTGGGAACCCGTCATCCGACTCCCTGCAGGTATCGGCCAGGCAAAAAATGTCAGCCAATGGTGAATTCGAAACACGCCAGGAATTAGTCAGCATTTCTTCAGTCAAATGATAATTCAAAATATTGTTTTATAAAAACTACTACTCTCTGGTTTCAAGTATGTGGTGCTGCAGAGCTGCGCTTACCAGCCGTAGTCCAAAGACTTCAATAGGAAGAGCAGCCTCTTGACGGTCCCTCAGTGACATCCGACCCAAGACCAGCTCTTTGCCGTCTTCTTCGCTTTCAACTCTAAAGCGAAAACCGTACGAATGAGAAAAGGGAAATGAAACGAGAGAGAGAGAATAAAATTTACTTGATGATAATAATATGTGGGGTTCAACGTCGCAAAACTACCATATGATTATGTGAGACGCCGTAGTGGAGGGCTCCGGAAATTTATCCACTTGGGGTTCTTTAACGTGCACCCAAATCTGAGCACACGGGCCTACAGCATTTCCGCCTTCATCGGAAATGCAGCCCCTGCAGCCGGGATTGACCTGTGGGTCAGCGGCCGGGTACCTTAGTCACTAGACCACCGTGGTGGGGCGAAATTTACTTGCATGATTAATGAGAAAGAGTGTCGCTTTCTTCACTCAAAACAAATGTCCCCCTCAGTCCAGACGGGCTTTGCCGAGCTCTCTATTTTTTTTTCTCAACAGTTTTCATTGTTCACATACTCCTGTTTGAGTCTGCTTTAGCGAAGCGGTCTTACTGGTGCCGTAAGTATGCTGAACGTTGTAAAGTGATAAAGCGGAGGAGAAATTGTTTATTTTTTAGGACACCCGTTTAATTGCCAATGAAAAAGACAAGACATGGCAATCCGAGCCACATTATAAAGAACTTCCCTCACTTAACAGCACTCCTCAATACAGTTAGTCAATGGCTTAAAAAGAGATTACCACGGTGTCTGTGAACGCGCAACATCACACGTAAGGAAAGTGTTGCTATCAATAAGGAGAATGTGTGCTTTCAAATAACTCTACTCTGTAGTTTTCTTCGTAAATGCTGAACCATTATTATCAATTACTAAGGTAACAGCAGGCCGCTTCACTCTAGAAAGTGATTGATTGTTATGTGGGGTTTAACGTCCCAAAACCACCATATGATTATGAGAGACGCCGTAGTGGAGGGCTCCGGAAATTTCGACCACCTGGGGTTCTTTAACGTGCACCCAAATCTGAGTACACGGGCCTACAACATTTCCGCCTCCATCGGAAATGCAGCCGCCACAGCCGGGATTCGAGCCCGCGACCTGCGGGTCAGCAGCCGAGTACCTTAGCCACTAGACCACCGCGGCGGGGCCACTCTAGAAAGTACAACTGCCCATTTGTTTCAATATTCGATAAGTGGCGTTCAACGGAGCACAGTGGCAAAATGAACGAGAATACGTGCATGCCTGCGATGAACGGTCTTGTACATCTGTCTTGTGCTAGGCTGTTTCGAGAACCAAACACTATAGGACGCCCGGTACAGGCACTTACAGACTCGGCGGTTGACGCTCGCGCGTTCGGGTTTTAAAAATGGACGGCAGTACTGCAGTTCACCCCGCCTTATGTAATGTGGAAGGCTTCTTGCTACGATCATAATCGTGAAGATTGTTTCTCTCGACGAAATAATATTTTTGTAAAAGTTACCACATAAGACAATTTGTGAATACGGGCTCCTGTTACCAGACAAGTGTTTCTCACACGAGGCGTGGTGTGTAGCGTGGACCAGCGGCCTTAGCGTACGTACTTGCGCGCTCCAGCCACGAGCCTGTTCTCGAGTGCGAGGTACGAGTTCTTGGGAGCCTTGGTTGCGGTCGGCCTGGGCGCCGACTGTTGCTGCTGTTGCTGCTGCTGGGACACCGCCCGCTGTTCGGTGGGCCCCGCGTTGCGAGCCGGCCCCGAACCTTCCAGTTGCGGGTCCATGCTCACGTGCAGGCCTTTGCCCACCTTCTCGGGAGGGGGCACAGGCCCTGCGACACGGTCACTTGATCAGACAAGTTCGATGGTAAAGAGTTTATAATTTCCTCTTTATACATTCATTTATTTGATTGCCCGCTTAAATACTTCGCAAGCAGGCCCGATGGCATTGCCTAGAAGAATCTTACGTGTAAACAATGACATGATTGAACTGTAGTAATCTTAACAGATGCTTTTTAGGTCAAATACTTGGATGCCTCATCAGACACAAAAATTGGCCGTCGGTTTCGGCACCTAAGCGAGTAATGCAAATATTATCGTCACGTTATGAAGTGCAGATCATCAACACCTTTGAAGTCATTACATGACATCGTTCTTTCGCCAAAGGAAGCAGCGTGAAACCGCGTTAGGGGCAAAAAGCATCAAAGGCGCGGGCGGAAGGGTGGCAGAACGAAGGGGCGGAGGGGGGGGTGATTCAATGCAATCGACTGAGGAGAGAAATACGACGACAAAGGTCGGAAATGCATAAGAGGCCTGCTTACTTTTTTAGTACGCCTGGGAAATGGCGAAAGCCAATGACGTCTGTCAAGGAAGTCATTGTCAGGGACTATCATGATGGTGCGACAGGTAAACAATTTAGCGCAGCTTGATGAACACATTATGATTAATTTATTTGTGTTCTCTGGTCTTTCATCTATGTTTAATAGCGCAGTTAATATGTGCTTGGACTTATTTTAATAAGTTTGGAATGATTAATCTGCTTCTTTACAAAAGGGTACAGTGTCACTGAGTAAGGCAACATGAGCACGGCTCGGCTCTCGTAATTGTTCGTGTATGTGACACGCGGTGTAAACGCATGTGCGAAAATACCAAAAACTCTATTTTTGTTTGCTTGTTTGTTTGTTTTTGGTCAACCTCAATGACCTACACGTATCGGTCACCGAGTTGGTGGTGAAATTGCCTGATATATTTGTGAAATCAAACTACCATATTTAGGCATTTCACTTCAGTATAATCAAGCTCATCACAATAAAAACTTGCCATTTGCGTAATCGTCTCGCCTACCTGAGCGGTAAGAAATACAACAGAAGGGCGAGGCATTGCGCAGTGTTATGTGGGGGAGAAAAGGGGGTCTCTGGCACATTCATAAAACGGCAAAGGCTCACAAAACTTTACGTAGCTTACACAATCACCACATCATTTCATATATAGGAAATAATACCATGCAGTAAGTGCTGATTCAGCAAGAACATACGAGCACTGCACTAACGCAATGCATCGACGTACCTGGAAGTGCTGAGTCCCGCTCAGGATTGTACTGAAATAGAAGGAGATCGGAACGTTAGAGAGATGCATAATGGGCGCGAGTTTGATATGCTGACCGTTTGTAGAGTGCTGTTACAGAGCAACGCTTTACTTTCCTAATATTTCCTGTGGGCGGGAAGTTGCCACCAAATAATTTTTATTTAATCTTCCGTATTGAGACACTTCGTAAAATTCGGTTAGCTCTAAGGAGAAAAAGGAGTATGTGTTACTTTTTTTTAGTAGTCTTGACTTATCAAGTATATGTCTACCCCCAAAGAGGCACGTTAACTCTATTCTCCGTCCCACGACTCTGACGAGAGTACAATGATTTCCAAAGAGAGTTCACGCGTCCCTTTAAAGGGAATCATACACGTGGTAGGCAAATAAGGACTGCCAAAAAGAGTGAAATAATTTATGTTTTCTTTCTTTTCTTTTTTTTTATTTTCTTACGGAGATTGTAGACACCGGACCTCGCTCGTGCCTTACCTGTTGCGTTGATGGTGTTTCTGTAACTTCCCACACACTCACTTCCTCAGAGATTTGTATTTAGGGGAAACGCTATGGATTCTAAGCCCTCGCTCTATGGACAGGGCTATGGTGAAACCAAATCTCATTAAGCGAGCTCGTCTCTTGACTTCGTCGACATTAAACCCATACGTTATGCTACTACACGCATAGGTTAGACCGTGACTGCTGACATAACATGCAGGACACATTAGCATGTGAAAGTTAAGGACTGTTCTCTCGTGCTATCCTTCTTAAGTGTGACCTTACATTCGGCCACACCCACAGAACGCGAGATAAACGGTTTTGACAGGTCGAACTTCCAGGTGAGGTAATTTTTTTAAGGCTAGCCTTAGATACCTTAGATGCATCATCAAATACGAACAATGATCACTGACAAAGGCGCCGTCAGCACAAGTAATACGAAAAGTCATGCGATGACGTCACCGTATGACGTTACTAAGATGTCACAGATCACCAAAAGTTGTGACGCCTTCATCACTTCCCTATTACGTCACACGACATTGTGACTTCGACGAAGGGGGCCAATCTCGGAAGCGCTGCAGAACGACGAGAGGTGCCGAACGTTTCTGATGCCTCGTCATCCTAGACAAACGCATAGCGGACCTTGCTACTGTTTTCTTCCTCGATCACCAGCGGTTGCAATACTGGCTGCCGGTACGCCCGCGGAAATGTATTCTGCCATAATTCATGTGAGATCATGTGAAAATGATCTCGCATGATCTCACAGCGCGCTCACCCCTTCCATCTCCATGAGCTCGGGCAGCCGCAGGTGTTCGTAGGCGTTCAGGCGGTACTCCTCGATGTGCTGCTTCTTCTGGCGCGCCCGGTCAAAATCCTCCATCTCGACGGCCATCTGCTTCTCGAATCACCATCTTGCCCAGCTTCTCGCCCACCTGGCAAAAAAGGAAGGCGTGTGCTTGCGTAACGGGACAGTCTTCATCAACAGAGATGTATGCTGTCACGTACTATAGATCAATTTCAGCTGTGCCACAGCCTTACAATCAGTGTACGTGTAATCGGAAGTCCAGGCGACACAAGAAGAAGAAGAGAAAGCAGAAGAGGTTGGCCTGGAAGTCATGTGTCTAGCATACTAGTCGTCACAAGGGTATACCGAAGTTGAAGGAGAGAAAGAGGAATAGGTGATACGCTGGCAGTTTACTATGGAGCACAATGAGTCACTTGTGCACACACTTCTCTGGGCGGGGACGCGCACCATACACAGAAGATTTTACATTACAGCATATGCTCTCAAGACGAGCATCTAATCCTGTCTTACTTAAAAGCCTCAATACGCACTTAAAACTACCTTCGGCGTGGTTTCCGTGCTTTCAAGCACCCGAACGGCGAACACCTGCGAACACTGTGCAACATCTCTTTTGCGAGTATACCATATCGACGCATAGCAACAGAAAACGCTCGGCGGTGACGAGCACTGGAAAGCAAGCATTGTCGTAATAGGTACAGTTTTCGCCATGACGTGTAACAGCACAGCTGAAACGACAAATATGCCAATTACGAAATGCTTCAGCAGAACTGGACTGTAATATAAGCTGAAGACGTTGAAGAAACTACTGCGTTCGTTACCAGTGCATAAGTTAACACGTTTAGCTGGGCTCATCATCCTCCTTCATCATTGGTTTTCTTTCCTTGTACATGTACATCCCTCGCAAAGGGCGCATATTCAGAGCTTAAAGGCGATGTTTTGCACTTGCTCTAATTAAAAACATTTCCTCTATCTTTTAGTTAAGTGCTATGTTCAGATATAATCTTTGCAGCAATAAACAAGGTATTTTTTTTTGCTGTTTACACCTATATAGAATATATCCATTTTTACAAGAGAATTCGCTATCAGTTACCTCATGAAGAAGCAAAAACAGACTTGATTTTCGTGCGTTCCAGATAAAAAATGAGTCCTTTAAGCTCGGGCTCATTTAACCTGCGATTGAACAGTTTCCTGTGTGAGTGGGAAAGATCACAATGCAAGTTGTTGTTCGCGCATGTTCTGACCAATATAGAAAAACAAAAATTTCAGGAATGTAAAACTTACAAGCAAGTGCCAACCACCAAAAGCGAAGCACGCAAGTATTGTTTTGATTCGCTGTCTTAAAGAAGATGGCAAACTTAAACGTAACACTAAACTTCTCACTTGTAGATAATGATCATGAGATGGGGTCGAAATAATGACTCATGTCATTTACAGAGCGTATACACAATATTATATAACGTAAACACAGATACGTTTTTACAATACAAAATTTGATGTCTCTCAAACTACTAAAAAAAAGCAACCTGCAGCATGCCTTTAGCAAAAGTGACTTATCAAACTCAAATAAAGCAAAAAAGCGGCAGGTGAAGTCCACCATCTCTTTTTTTTTTACTTTCCAATCAACGTTTTAATCTTGAAGACAAGTGTGTACTTGCCTTAAGCCAATAAAATTAGTTTCATTCCAATAATCAGCTTGCAGCGACAAAAATTAGATCCGGAAGGATGTGAAATTGCTCCGTTCAAATGCTACTAGTTTTCACGTATCTTCAACGGCCCGTAGGAAGTTTCACTTACGTCACTTTCACTTGGAAACAGTTGTGAATTGAATGTTAAGTGATAACAAAAAAAAAGTTGGGAGACCCTTAAGCTTCTCCTTTAACAGCTGAACGCGATAGTGATAGCCTTTCCCTAGTGCGTACTGAGTTCGAAATGGCTTGTGTCACTGAAGCTTTCGCATAAGGCTGCATTCTATGTGATGGGTAGCATGCTCTAAACCACGACCAATTGTTCGCGTGAAATCTTTTCGAGCTTGCTATGCACCCACTACATGTGCTTACGGGAAAAAAAGGCGCAATAACGTGCGTGCCTTTTGTAGTGAGTGGCCCGGTTTAAACAATGAAGTCATCATAATCCCATGTGGACACCCGATTACAATTCACGCTTGTACGACGCAATTATTACTGCGATATTACATGTTGCATTGTGAAGCATGTATACAGTATACGCGCGTGGTTTAAAGTATGCAAGTTACTTTCATTGTATTTCGAAACTGACACGTGGCTCTGTGGTAGAAAATCTGCTTGCCCCGCAAATGACCCAGGATTGATCCCCCACTCGCACCCAGTATTTCTTATTCGTTATTTTATTTATTTACACCGTTCTAGATTTTTCAGTCACGCATAAGATATAAAAGATATGGATTTTCCGCTCACAACCAACGACGCCACCGCCAACATCGTAATTTCTGCGAAACGAGCTCGTTAACGCTATCGCGTTAAATGGAATCAGGCTGCACGCTTCGCTGATCTATTCTCACCTTTTGAAGCTCCACGACAGCGTTCTTCAGTTTCTTTGCAAACACGAACCTTTCTTCTGCGATTGAACAAAGAAAGACAGGCGTGAGATTAGATTTGTACCGGGCGCGCATGAAGGCCTATTCAAATAAATGATGCGGCATATTTCGCTACAGCACGCATTAATTATTCGATCACAATCGTATAGGAAGCGAAAACTAACACAAGGAAGTGCCATTATCATGCTCGTAAATGTGGTGCACTTCACACGCTTTCGGTGAAAAAGTAGTTTTTATGAAGTGCATATATCGACTTTATTACATTATATGCGACAATTTTTATGCCTCACGTTGCACCACGAAATTTTCCTTCTAATTTTAGCTCGACAGGTGGTTTCGCTTGTGCTGACCCAAAACCTTGCGCTTAGATATCGGTTTCGCTTCACATCACAAATCTTGTAATAAAAACTGATTAAGCAAGAGGGTTAGCAACAGGGTTAGCAACACTGAGGTTGTATTCTGACATCACGCCCTTTCAGGGTTATTTTGATAAGATTGTAACACACACACACATCCCTTTAACAACATTTGTAGCAGTTATAAGTATCTCGTGTGAGGCTTTATACTCCCCGTCAATTCATGCTTCACTCATCGCGAAGCTGGCGACTCTTTGATAACGCAAGTCATGAAACTGCCCGATGAACCTTTGGCTGGATTGAGAAAGCTTCTGCGTGCGTTGATGCCATTTGTCATTGACAAGTTGTCATTGCTAACATCACTTACACCACGAGAATTAAGTGGTATTTGCGCTTTCAAACGACAGTATTACCGTCATGTGAGTATACAGGGTACCTTCGTTGAATCCACTGCTCAACACGCTTTGTTCGTTAAGTATACTGTTAGTTGACTTGTGAGCGGCTGTTAATCGTTAATCCAGCGTCAGAATTCGCTTGAATCGGTTCTTATAGATAATTCTGAAAAACAAGTCGCTAGATCCCATTCATTATGGGAATCAATTTCATGTGAAACAGTCATCGAGTAGCAGCCTTTGGAGCATTTTTTTTTGCATTTTTAGTGCACGACAAAAATTTTTTGCATTGGTTTGTTTGTGTGTGTGTCAGACGTTACACGATGTGTAGAGTTTACGCCAAGCGTTACGAGAAGAATTACCGTTGTTACGTGAACTTGGTTCATATAATGGGATTATTGGGCACATCGAGCACGCTGGGGGTCAAAGGGAGAGCTCCTGGTCCGCCTAACACTGTCACTCATATTACAGCACAGACGTGCAGCACAGACTTGCAGTACATACTTGTAGCACATACTTGTAGCACAGACGTGATTTCGTCGCGACGAAGTGCACGATGCGGTGCGATGATCTTCGCATTATAAGCAGTGGTTGTCGTAGCATTCGTGCAACGCTTAACTCTATTTTGCTTAGTCGCAGTAATAGATATGCAATGCTTATGGGATTGTTATATAGAGCGCATAGCGATCACTTTAACAGCGTTACCATGACATGACACCATTATAGGGTCATCTTGACACAGAATTTCAAGCAGTGGCGTGGCTTTGTGGTAGAATACTTGACATCATGCAAAAAAGCTGGCTTCGATTCCGGCTCTAGTCGTAAATAACGTCTCCTGTGCATGCCATGACTTGTGAATAGTGTTCATCGTATATTCGTGGCCTTTTGACGAATATTGGTATAGGCCAAGCTAAGAAGACTACTGCGAGAGCACCCAGACGTAGGCGTCTATATAGATAGATAGAAATAATCAAAGTTCGTTTGTTTTTCTAAGAAGCGCTTCGCGTTTAATATATTTTTCAGAGAAATAAATGATGTCCAAGGCATACACTGTACAGATGCAATAGTTCCGCCTCTCGTTCCAACATCCGAGCATGCAGCAACTAAAACAATGACTAGCCTCAAATCTGTGTAATTTTGTGCAAAGGGAGCTGTAGCTGATGTGGAAGTTTCAACACAGCCTGTCACGGGCTGATTTGCAAAGTTTTTGTTTTGTTTTGTTTTGATTTTCAGAAAAGATTTTCGCTTCTGGCCAGCCATCTTCGCTAATAGCAATTCTGGTATGAGAATTTTATGATCTTTTTTTTTTCCTCACTAAGAACCTGGTGCTACGAAGATTGAGTTGCGTCGAAATATCATTGAAAAATCAACTCCGGCCTCGCCTTTTGTCTCACATCAGAGCTACAGTCACGAGACCCGCGTTTTCTAAACCTCTGAACAGTTCAACTCATTTAATAATTTTATGAAATGACGTGCGCACACGTCATCGTTTTTGTTTCACCAGTCACCGTGGGAGTCGTCGGCTTTATAGCGCAGTTTCGCAAGCGCTGATGCATTAGGAAGAAAAACATTAAAAAAAAGCGAGAGAAAAGAAAGGAACGAAAAAAAAAAAGACGAGAAGGAAAATAAGAAAACAGCGGGAACCAGTGATCACCTTTTTGTATGCAGGACGCATCGTCACGCCATAAGCTACGGCGACGTCACGAAAGAAAAAAAAAACAATAGGAAGGAAGATTCGCTTTATCACTCCTGTTTATGAGAACACGTTGCGTTTCGCGAAGCGCACTGTATACGTGGTCCGTTGCGCCGATGCATGTGACAGCACAACTTGGAGAGTCGTTCGCTATGCTTGCCGCTTTCTTTGTTCGTTTTTTTTTCACATTAACCGTTGAACGTTCAAGTAAGCCGCACCCTTCATTGAGTGCCGTGTACAACGTCACGGAGGACATTATAATTCCTAGAGTCATTCTCGGAAGCAGTCAGCGAAAGTGAAGCGCAACGCAAGCAAAAACAAACATCGCCTCGTGATATGATATGCGAGTCAGCGACGCCAACGGGGAAGCCGTCAGCTTTTGTTCTTGCATTTAATGCTCTCGTGACGTCGTACAGCTATGGTAGCAGCATTCATTTTCGTATCTCCAGGCTGTATAGTCACGGGAATGGACGATAAAGAAACTTTCATACAAAATAGGCAGGACACGTGCCGTGAAAATCATCACACCGCGGGTGAAGGTGGCCTAATGATTTCGCAGGTTGCGGAAGAAAAAAACCTAGTTTTTTTGTTTGTTTTTTGCATACGTTCCTCTTGTGACCTCGTTCCAGTTTTCTTTCATTTGTTTTTAATTTTTTTGCCGGAAATTAGTGCTACGCGATTAGCATAAAAGCCTCGTTAGCTGGTCATTCCCTCGTCACGGGTGATTTTCCTCGCAGGTCCCCCTGTCGTGTACTAATACGAAGTAATAAAGGTGAGTCAAACAAAATGGCGCGTGTCACTGTTGGCAACGGCGATGGAAGCAAAAGAACATAATTCAGCTGGTACCGTAGAGTCATATCTGAGGCCCAAGCGGTTACGTGATGCCCAGCAGGGGACGCTGGCAACGCGTTCTATGTTAAAGTTAAGCGCACGTGTTCGCGCCCTTATTTTATAGCTTTGTGCTATTCAGCATTCCATCAAGTCACAATAATGTCGCCAGGTGATTTAGTGGACCAGAAGTACGTCATCACTAGGAAAATTGTTCGTGCTGTTGTTGGAAAAAAAAAGAGGAAAATATTTATTGAAAAAGAAGAGCACCAGTATTTTTTCTGCGTAACCTTCATCATTCTGTAAAAAAAAAAAAAAAAACCAGCAGTTGTTATAGTGATACAATTTTTCTTTAACAATGTTGATTATTTAAGCAATACCTTGAGAAGCTGCTTGTGCACATGCATGACGTTTGATAGCTTTTAAGATTGGCTTGTTTATACCTTAAGGGGTTGAATCACTTCTTCAAGGAATCACCGAATCACCCCACAGGCGAGAAATTGCGCCAACGCGCGCCATGACCTTGATCGTGCGTAGTGAAATACTTTCTGCTCTCTTCGTTGTAATTGCTGGCGGCTGCATTTCCGATGGAGGCGGAAATGTTGTAGGCCCGTGTGCTCAGATTTGGGCGCACGTTAAAGAACCCCAGGTGGTCAAAATTTCGGGAGCCCTCCACTACGGCGTCTCTCATAATCATATAGTGGTTTTGGGACGTTAAACCCCACAAATCAATCAATCGTTGTAATTGCTGTGCACGTTAGTGCGGCTACTGTGTCATCTTAACACAACTATGCTGTGCGGCGCCGGCACGGAGCCGCAACTAGTGTTAATGAGCGCATCTGACCCAAATGTGGCTCTTAATTTATTTCCGTTACTAGGAATCTATCTGCTGTGTGACGCTATAGACAGCATGTGCTGACATCTCCGGTAAGAGTGAACACAGGCATCTGTATGAAAACAGGGGGTCTAAAGAAAGTAACCTTGTGCCTCACGTACAAACTCTCTTTGTCGCTCATGACTGCAGCATTTGGTTGAGCTGTTCACAGTGGTGTCTGCTTTTTTGTAGAATGTGTTTCTTCACCAATCCCGTAGGGTGGCTCTGGACCTTTTTAAACTTACGATTATCTGCTCCGACTCAACAAAGAAACGGCAATATTAAGTGAAAAAAAAAGTGAAAACCTTGCCTTCTCTATATGAGGCAATAATTCGCAGGTTTTAGGTAATTTTTCTTGCTGTTGCGTGCACTTTGCAAACCAATACCAATATAATGATTTATTACCATTATAATACCAATATAATAATACCAATATAATGAACACGCCGAGCGTGTTCTACTGTAGGCTGTACACTATAACAATCTTATAGCGTCCACCCGCTTTTCTGGGTGTCTCGACACCGGGGATCGAATCCATATAGCGTAGCGCTCTGCGTCGTTCACTAAAGGTTTTTCGTAACAATATGTTCAGACAATGCAATGTCATTTGCCTGCGGCAGAGCTGGCACTCCTGGCACAGTGCTCACCGGCAATGGCGTCCCTCTTCTTGGCCTCGAGCTTTCGCAGTATCTGCGCCACCTCGGTATCCACGTACATGTCGAAGGCTAGGTCGTCCATGGGCGAAATCTCCTCGTTCCTGCGGTGGACCATAGGGTGTACATAGGTATAGCACATAGAAAGCATAGTTGGAACTGAAGGCCAAGCATTTTACGACTTATTGGTGGATTGGATGAGAAAGGTGTGTGTGAACGAGTGTGAATCTGGGAGATGGGTTAATATGCGCAGAAGGGCGACGGACTCTACAAAGTTTGGTGTGGAAAAGGAAATTGTTGAAAATATCCAGAATGATGACTGCCCGCATGCACCTTTGCAATACCTCGCTTTTTCAGGAAAACCCGTCATAGCACGCAAATAATAGTCTTCTTGAAAGACATTTGTTTGATGAAAACGCAGGGGGCAGGTACCAGTAACATTAAACGACGCTCTCTGACTCAGCAGTAGCTATATGCTAAACGTGAACTTGAAGCTAGCCCGATCCTTCCAACGGCGTTTGAAGCTTATTGGACCACCTACAGCCAGTTTCTGACATACCTAAACTGAAGTAGTTTTTTGTTGTTGTTGTTGTGCTGCGCAATGTTAACGTAGAAAATTTTCGCTCATGGCAAAAGGTAACAAAAAATGGATAGTGACAAATTTTTACTTCCTTGAAAAAAGTACCAGAATGTGGGAACAATCTAAGGGAGACGCAAGAGGTTTAGAAGTTTCAGAATGTCATTTTCGCAGCCACAAACAGAATTTACTGTGCTGCATGGTGATGAGTGCATTACACCGTTGATAGCGCGCTGTCCTCTTTCTATAGTCCTGCTTGTCATGGTCGGTAGGTTAAATGTCACAGATTTATAACTGCTTCTGCCCATTTGTTGTAATTACGGGAGAGAGCTAGGCTTACAACAGACTCACAATGAGCAGCTTAAAATGCTAGCTACGTAAAACCTGCGTGATAACTTCAAGCCCACTGTCAGGTTAATGTATGGAACGCCAAATTCATGCGAACCATGTCTTGTAAGAAAGTTCATAAAAAAATAGACGAAAGAAAGTGGTATAACGAAAGCATGACCCAATTTCGAGGTGCAGAACAAGCTAATTAAAAATAAATAAAAGAAACTATTGTTGTTAAGTCCTAATAATAACGCAATCAGTTTTTGTAGTTATTAAAATTCGCAAACGTAAGAACATGGCTCTACATTGTATGTGGATGTCGCAACGAGGTGATTGCTTCTGCCTTTGAATGTACTCAAGACCACAGAGTCACATACAAAAAAAAAATAGAGAGTCCCGCTTTGTCGATTTAAAACCGATCTTTCCGCGCTCAATGCTTTGTTAATCGTCCATGAAAAGCGAATGGTCCGTAAACTAAGCGTGCAATCGCGTCGAACAGTGACGAACGCCGACGTGCGTGGTTTCTCTCATCGCTGGGCGTGGTAGCGTTATTGCGCTCTTCAACAAAAAACCTATTAGACAGTGCAATCGGAAAGTATCAGTACAAAAGTACCAAGCACGGCTCCGTCGATTTCAACCACACAGCGGTCACCGAGTTCTTTGCGGTGTTTCAACATGCCTGCGTTGACGCGAGACAAGTACAGCCAGCAGGGAGGAACGTCACGAAACCAGAGTTCAATTGACCCATGGGACTTTCGCGTCTACAACGGCACTGTCATTTACAGCGTGGCGGACATTTCGGGCCTTGCATGAAACCTGACTGCGTCAGGGCGGACGTCCATCAAACTACTCAGGTGCACGAAAAACAAAGCATACTTTTGTGTGGCAGGAGACATTCCGTGACGCAGCAACGTGAGAACGTGATGGTTGCACAAGAGATACCGAAGATGAGGTGATAGAATCTTTCGCAACGGTTGGAACCTGAGGTGTGAAGATAGCAATGTTTTGTGCGTGGACGGCTGCAACCGGTTAATGAAATGAACTGTCACCGTATTACGCATTAAGTGCGACGTGACGTGCGGTAATGCCAAGGCCTCGCAGTGGTCCCTTTGCCCTTCGCACATGCGATAGTGCGCTAGCTTAGTTCTCATAAAAAATGCAGTGACCTCAGTCAGGTGCATGCATTGTTGTCAAGCCCCTATGAGCGTTGCCGCGAACAGCGATAGATACGAGCTGTATTAATATGGTAAGCCGCGCACAGGCCACAGCTATCACGCACCTGCATTATAACATGTAACATTTCAAAAAGGTTAACGTATTTTCTACTCACCTCTTGATGATGGTTTGCCACGTGGTTTTCTTTTCCACGCAAATGCAGCGCGCAGCATTGAGAGCGAGACAAGAGAAAACGGCAGGCTTCGTTGCATGAAACAACACTTTTGATCCTCCCCCGCTGCGAACAGCTTACTTTGTTCGACAAAATGCACCAGTCACAGCGAGAATATGCTCAGTTTACTACTATAGTTGTAGAGGGTGGTAATGTGTACATGAACTACACCAGCAAGCTTCATTCTTGGGCTGTATCGTAAGTTGCATCCATCGGCACTTCCGTTACAAGTTAAAGCACGCGTTAACCTTTTGGCTGGAACCAATGTCAAACGAGGCAAATAGCACTGAGTGAAGCTTCCCTACTATTTATTTTTTGATACTGCCTACAGATCCAGAGTGCAGAAGGACAAATGTTCAAGATTACAGTTGCCGTTTTATATTTACTCAGTTGGAAATGCAGTGGCCTAGGTACATAAAACGACACCACGCAATGTGGGAAATTGGGAGCAGTGCAGAGGCTGGTGAAATCGACTAAGATGTTCCCGAGAAACTCAACTCAGCTACGTAAAGCGTATGATTTAATGATTCTTGCGTCGTGCATCGGAAACTATTGATACGAGCGCCATTTTTCGAATTTGTCAGCCTTGCGCTATGAATGAAGAACAGAGTCTGCTCACCTCGTCTTCTTCAGAGCCGTCTAATCCTTGCACGTCGTCGCCGATTACGTTTAACGCAACGATTCCAACCTGCACACAAAAAAAACAAAAAACAAAAAAATAAGCAAAAGCAGCCTAGATGTGCGTCCCACTTACACTCCGACAACAATATAGTTATATATCTACAAATAAAGTCAACGTGATTTTTTAAAGGGTGTCATAGTACGTAACTCTAAGAAATGATCGAGTAAAAAGGGTGTCTTTTTGTCGCACAACGATAATCGTCACCTGTCTTGCGTTCCTTTCCTCACATTATGGAGCTTTAGAATACCGTTTGTAAGCACTGCGGGCGTTGCGGGCGTTGCGGGCGTTGCGGGCGTAGCGGGCGCCATATGAGTTTTAGAATAGCGTTTGCCCGACCATAGCCCAGCTGCGAACCGCAACGCACGATCGCAGCGACACCATGGCCTCGAAACCAGCGCTTGCGGACCACATGCGGGCCGCCATTACCGCACCGCCATTTCGGATTTTCTGCGTGCGGTCCGCAAACGCGAACGCCGACTCGCGTTACGACGCATGCGAAGTGGCAGTGACCGCACCGCAAGGGCTCGCGGTTCGCTATTCTAAAACTCCCTATTATCGCCACACGCCCGGCACTTTGAGGTCACGAACGAGATGGGCGCTATCAGCGTGACATAACATTCTCGATAGGAAAGTGGCCAGTGCCGAGTTTTCAAGAAAGGAAGCGCAAGCCGCATGACGATTATTGTTGTGAGACAAAAAGGCGCCATTTTTACTTGATAATTTTTTTAGAGTGCGTGGCAAGTTAGGGCTCACAGAAGGAGAGTCAAATTACTCTTTCTTTCTTTTCCTCAAAGTGTAGTTGATTTAGGATCACTTTACGGCACTTGATCCTGTTGTTTTTTTCTTGGTAGGGACAACGCATAGTTGCAAACACGCCTCATTGCTACGATCTAGAGCGTACAGATTGCACACTTGGATTACACGAGATTCCGTTGGAAAGGCCCGAGGAAGTGTTTGAAATAACGATAGTATATCTGGCTTCACTTGCGTTTATCGATGTGTCGATGCAACGGCTCTTTTGCATATACCATTTCACATCTGAACAAAGCTGCCACCAACTGCACCAGAAATCAAGTCTAAGATGTGTCTCGCTACAAAATAATAATATAATAATAATCGTCTCTATTTTTTACGTACAGAGGGGGGAAGAAACCCCGGACCAAGAGCTACAAAGCTGTAGCTTGAGTGCGGCTGAGGCAAAAAAAAAAAATACTCTCATGTAACATACATGTCAGAAGAAACTAAAAACACAGTCCACAATAAAAAAAATTGCACAAAGTAGTGTAACGTCACACACAACACATAAAGAAATGAATAGAACTATAAAAATAACAACAAAAAACGTACTCTACTAGAAAACATACAAGCTAGCAAAAGATCTATACATATGCGACTTACAAAATATTTTTTATGTTCTTCGAATTTTAGTGTGAGTAGGCGACAATCCTGTTTTTCATATTTGTTGAAAATTGTTGGTAGAAGAAACTTGGAGGCTTGATTTCCGTAGCCAGTTTTCGTATAGGAAAGGGTCCACCTTTAGGCACTTGTACAGACAGCTTTATGTTTCAAGGTAATGTTTGCTAAATATATCAAGGGACTCTATTACGACAGGTGGTGAAAATCTGAAACAGTGCAATAGCCGACGTTCAGAAGTAGTCGCAACAAGGATAATATATTATATTTAAGAAAGAACTCTCTAGTGTAGTGTCTCGAATGATTTACATGTACCTGGTTGTAGACGTTGTACTTGTTCACGTGATTTGCGTGTATCAAAAACTTCACGAAGTCTCCAATGGCGTCCACCAGCACGGACTTTAGCTCCCGCGACTTGTACTCCGAGTGCAGGTTGTCCGCCAGTGAAACTTCTCTGTAAAAATGCAGGAAAAAGCACACAGTGGGAAAATCAATTGATATGATTGATATATGGATTGATTGATTGATTGATTGATTGATTGATTGATTGATTGATATGTGGGGTTTAACGTCCCAAAACCACTATATGATTATGAGAGACGCCGTAGTGGAGGGCTCCGGAAATTTAGACCACCTGGGGTTCTTTAACGTGCACCCAAATCTGAGCACACGGGCCTACAACATTTCCGCCTCCATCGGAAATGCAGCCGCCGCAGCCGGGATTCGAACCCACGCCCTGCGGGTCAGCAGCCGAGTACCTTAGCCACTAGACCACCGCGGCGGGGCGATTGATATATGGAGTTTAACGTCCCAAAACCACCATATGATTATGAGAGACGCCATTGTGGAGGGCTCCGGAAATTTCGACCACCTGGGGTTCTTTAACGTGCACCCAAATCTGAGCACGCGGGCCTACAACATTTCCGCCTTTATCGGAAATGCAGCCGCCGCAGCCGGGATTCGAACCCGCGACGTGCGGGTCAGCAGCCGGGTACCTTAGCCACTATAGACCACCGCGGCGGGGCACATAGTGGGAAAAGAAGCCGGTTCAAAAGATGTGGCATCGTCAAACCCGACTGTACCGAACTTAGGTAAATCAATTCATCACGTAAATCGAATTGTTTTCGAACACTGTGATACTTTAACGTCAATGCGTAAGAAAATTTGCTGCTACGTCGGACAGATATAGCCGGAACACTGATATATTGAACACCAGGTGAACACAACGGGAAGTTGGATTTACCTCTATAGAGGGGACCTTTCCGCAGGTGTCTGGGAAAGCCAGGGATGAGATTAGTAGGGTGCCGTGCGGTGCACGTAGAAACTACCGCCTGCTCTCGCGTAATTTCTTCCATGCTTCCTCGACGTTCTCACATAGAAAAAGGGCAGCGCGAAAACTCGGGAAAAAAGAAGGACAGTAGAGACTTTTTTCCGAGTTTTTCTCGAGTTTTTCCCAAGTTTTTTCGAGTTTTTGCGCTGCCCTTTTTATGTGAGAACTATGAACCAACTAGCCCAAACCAAAGTACTTCATCGACGTCCCACCCGTCAGTTAGTATTAAGGTGAAAGACTTACATGGCTCATTAAACGGGACATTTGACCATTCCGCGTCGTCGTTAATGTGTGTTGCGAAAAATCTCCATCACAAAATGAGATTACCTTATCACGTCATCATAATATAAAAAAGTTGCGAAACGTCAACATCACGTGACAACTTTTTGGCGTGACATCATGTGACGTAACGCCACACGACGCCATTTTGGCGTCCTCTTTTGAACGAGGAAACAAAACCGGAGAACGCGCGGCCCCAAGAGAAGAAAATAAAGATGGCGCCTGGCAGTGACACGTGAAGCCGCGGCTCGTGTTCACTGCTCCGTTTTCTATTACACGTCTACCGAGAAAAAAATTCACAGCATATCCACGGAGTGAATGATGATGAGTGGGGCGAAGCGTCCGTCCGTCCACCAGTCCTTGCTTCCGTCCGTCCGTGCTTCCATCGGACGGGCGGATGCATGAACGAACAGACGGACGGAAGCACGGACGGAAGCGTTCCGTCGGACGAGCGGAAGCATTCCGTCGGATGGGCGAATACTTGAACGAACAGATGGACGGTACCACGGACGGAAGCATTCCGTCGGGCGGGCGTATGCATGAACGAACAGATGGACGGTACCACGGACGGAAGCATTCCGTCGGACGGGCGAATGCATGAACGGACAGACGGACGGAAGCACAGACGGAAGCATTCCACTGGACGGGCGGGTGCATGAACGAACAAATAAACGGAAGCATTCCGTCGGACGGGCGAATGCATGAACCAACAGACAGACGGAAGCACGGACGGAAGCATTCCGCCAGACGGGCGGATGCATGAACGAACAGATGGACGGAAGCACGGACAGCGTATTCCGTCGGACGGGTGAATGCATGAACGAACAGACAGACGGAAGCACGGACGGAAGCATTCTGTCGGATGGGCGGTTGCACGAACGAACAGAGGGACGGAAGCATGGACGGAAGTAATTCCGTGCGTCGGGCGGATGCATGAACAGACAGACGGACGGCGGCACGGACGGAAGCATTCCGTTGGACGGGCGGATGCATGAATGGACAGATGAACGGAAGCACAGACGGAAGCACGGACGAACATACGGACGGGCACATGGTAGAGTGCTATGGTGGTAGGGTAGCGGAACAAGCGTGTAAATGGTATTAGAATTGCCAAGTTACTTGTGGACGTAGTCATCGAGTTCTGAGTTGCTTTCTTTCCCGATGAAAAACTTTTCTGCGCACCCTCACATGTCGTTTTGTGGCAGCATTGCTTAGCGTGGCCGGTAAGCTTAATTTTGTTAGAAACCGAAGATTAATTGCGTTACTGTTATTGTCCGTACAGAGAAAGAATGACTAATGGTCCTTCCATTTCTTTTTTGTTACTTGGTTTATTTTTTTTCATTTTAGGCTCAAAAAGCATACATGTGAATTTTTGAAAGTGCCAAGCGTTTCATTTGTACTTTTCGGCTCGTCATGTTCACTACAACGACTAAGTGGCTAGCATAAAACAAAATTAAGTACGATAATTCATGAAAGGGCAAAAATATACACTATTCTATAGATCATGGTCTGCGCTCAAGCGAGGATGTCACTGCCGTTCAGAAGTCATTTGTTTGTTCTTACTTTCATCTCTTATTCAGCAAGGAATGGGTGGTCCCACCTAATCAGCACGCTGAGCAGACTAATTAATTTTGCGGCAACAGTTCTCGTTTAATCTTTCGCTGCACAATAACAAGAAAGAGCACCAGCGAATAGTCTAGTAAGCGTTACTGTCTAGTCATCTCCAACGTACTTATCGTGCGAGCATTTCTTTTTTACGGACAATTTAAGAGCAGGCGTTATCATCATCAGCAGCGTGGGAGACAAAGGTCAGCCACCCCTGGGGAGAAGGGGGGCGGAGGGGAAGGTAGGAAGTCGAAGTCGACAAGAAGGAAACACGAAAGCCCAAACAGCGTAAAGCAAAATGACAGGATAAAGGAGCGTACAGCACCAAAATGAGAGGCCAAAATCCGAGCGATGACGCACCCGAAGCAACGTCGAACAAAAAAAGCAATAAAATTAAAGATCACGTCCGGTCAGCTCGAGACTACCAGCAGGGTCACGTAACGCGTACGCTGGAAAAAAAATCACGGCTATGCTGCCGATCACTCTTCCTCTCTTATTCCCCCCCCCCTGTTTTTCCCTTCCCCGTAGTCCCTGTGATGCTTCCTTTCCTCCCTCAACTGACGGGGGAGCGGAGGTCAATGACCCCCGGCTCTGCCAGCCGCGGGTCCACCGGAGGGCCCGTGCCTAATCGCAAATGTGCCACCGCATTCACCGCGCTTGCGGAACCGCGACTTAACCGCCGGTGCACTCGCGGCGGCGCGATGTGCGTCGCTGCAAAGGAGGCGCTGTGGCCTGCCTAATCGTGCGTGGCCAACGCGCAACCACGCTAAAGTGCGTCCCTTTATTATTGACGAGTAGTTACGGTAAGAATCGCTTGAACAACTTCTACTAGGCGTATGCTACACTTTCGAGCGTCGCAAGTAACATTAGGGGTACAAAGTAAAAAACAAAAAAGCTCTTGTCCAGCGAAAAAGGATTTTGCAACGGGGATACTGCTTTCACTATTTTAGGGGCGAAGTTCTTTATAGCGGCACCTGTTCGTCCCTCGTAACCGTTGTAGTATGTAACAAGTATAACATTTTGACCTCCAAGGTGGTGCCGGCGCAAGATTTCCCTGTGCGTTGTTCAGCAACGAAAAATAGTGCTCAATGTACATGCCAATGGCTGCTAATGGGGAATGAGGGACAGGAGCATTCGGCTTTTAGTTAACGCGCATGCTGCGATCCCCTTTAGCAGCCATTGGCATGTACATTGAGCACTATCTGACAAGGAAGGGTTGCTACGTTATACTCGCTGGGTGTAACCTCCTTAGTTTTAGAAAGGTTTAGCGAGCGTTGAGCCGTAGTGCCATGAATACAATGAACTTGTATATACCATGAATGAACTCGAGGTGGTTAAAGGTGGGAAGTAGATACGAAGCGCAAGCCGTAAGAAAGTAAAAGCCGAATTCTCCATGTATCTCATTTTCCATTAGCAGCCATTGACATGTACATTGAGCACTATCTGACAGGAAAAGGTTGCTACGTTATACTCGCTGGGCGAAACCTCCTTGGTTTTAGAAAGGTTTAGCGAGCGTTGGGTCGCAGTGCCATGAATACCGTGAACTAGGATATACCATGAACTCGAGGTGGTTAAAGGTGGGAAGTAGACCCGAAGCGCAAGCCGTAGGAAAGTGTGCGTGTGCCACCCCTCATTTAGTCCTTGGAATGTCCGGTGGGTGGCGGTGTTTCTATATGCGGAATATGTGATGAAAAGATGCGAGATGGTGGTACTTGGAGTGTTGAATAGATGGACGAACGGACACACAGACAGATGCATGGATTGATGTATGAACGGACGCACGAACAGACGCACGCACGGACGGGCGGATGGACGCGTGGACGGTCACACAGACGGATGCATGGACGGACGGAAGCAAGAACAAATGGACGGACGAATGCTTCGCCCCACTCTCCATGATTCACTCCGTGGATATGCTGCCAATTTTTTTAGTGTTAGTGAGCGTGCGCTGGGTTATCTATTGGAAGGGGGGGGGGGGGGCAAGTTTTACCATTGCTTTCCCCTTCCACCTTTTTGGTCAAGTCCGAAAAAAAATCAACCTTCAGCATAGATGCAGAAATGAAAATGAAGGGATGACACACAGTCGCAACGAAAAAAAAAAAAATGGCACATGTCAAGGTGTCCGGTCGCCGGAGCAGCGAAATTGCGACACGCGGCTCTGTTTTTCCTGAGCAAGCCAAGCACGCTGATACCGGATGTGGCGGCTGCATTTCCGATGGAGGCGGAAATATTGCAGGCCTGTGTACTGAGATTTGGGCGCACGTTTAGGAATCCCAGGTGGTCGACATTTCCGGAGCCTTCCACTAGGGCGTCTCTCATAATCATATGCTGGTTTTGGGACGTTTAACCCCACATATCAAATCAATCAAGCAAGCAAGCTGATATCGAGAGTGCCAAGCACATGCCATTTTCCAAAGCAGGGGTGACCGTCAGAATGTATCCCAACAAGCAGCTTTTTCGGGATAACTAAAGATAAAGATACGATTGCATCGCAACTCCATCGAAAAAAAGAAATAATTCATGTGCGTAGTCACATCTGTTTCAAGCGTTCGTGGCAAATGTGGCTTCATTAACAGCAAAATGGGTTGCTTTCAGCCGGTCCGCCGGTCACCCCTGCTTTGAAAAAATGGGATATGCTTAGCAATCACGCCATTGGCATGCTCGTGAGCTACTGCACCACGTGCCGCAATTTTGCAGCTTCGGCGACTATTCACTTGCGCTAATCTTTTTCCGTTTAGACTGTACTTTTCGCAACGGCCTACTATCGGTATCTGGCTTTCCGAGGTTGAAGTTCGCAACCATAAGCAAAGGTATGAAGCAGAACTGGCTCGCCCTCCACGTGATTTAAAGGGGCGGCCAACATAATGCAAAAAGTAGCAAATATAGTGCATTTACTTACACACGAATGATTAGGGTTGAACGTCACAAAACCACCATATGATTATGAGAGACGCCGATAGCGGAGGGCTCCAAAAATTTTGACCACTTGGGGTTGTTTAACGTGCACCTAAATCTAAGTAAACGGGCTTCAATGACTCTCGCCTCCATTGGAAATGCGGCCGGAATTCAATTTCGCGACCTGCGGGTCAGCAAACAATCATTCATTTTCCTTTTCATATATTGTTTGAGTATACCCACAAACATCGGTAATATTCACGAACTACTTCGTACCGAATATTTAAACTGAACTTGCAAGCTTAGATTGAAAGAGTTCTGTTTATTAGGCAAATTCGAAATTTATACATGGAATGGTAGCACTAGTAGACATGTACGAAAGGAAAGGACACTGACCCACATACGTTCTGCATGTCAGTGTGTCTACCTTTAGTCCGTGTCCACTAGTGCTGCCCATCCAAGATTGACTAAAAATTCGCTCTTTATAAGTCATGGAAATATGCGCTTTCCGGAAACCGCGATAGACATCTGTATAGCATAGCTTCCTTCATCACGGCAGATTCCCTTCGTGCCACATGGAAGCCGAGGAACATACATGGTATACTATGTATACATATATGGACAATAGCGACTGGAATGTGACCTAGGGTAGGGTGCCCACCTGCGCCACTAGTGGGTAGTATAGGTCTGACATAAAAGACATTCTTTATTGTGAGGTAGAAGAGAATAATGCCTAAGCCCGCACCATAAGAATATAGCAGGCGCACATAGAACAGAGAGTGTGAGAAGGGCTAGGGTGTCCAGCTGCACCACTGCAGATTACAATAGGATTGGGCATGTTAATGCAATGTGGTTAAAGGGGCCCTGCAACACTTTTTGAGCATGGTCAGGAAACGCTGCCTATCGGTAGTAGGGGCTCCCGAGAGCACGCAAGTTAAATGTTATAGCCAATCACGCGACCTGAATTCATGAAAAGTTATCAGTCAGCTAAAAACTGTTTTCTTTCGAAAAATGACGGAAGATGCTTAAAAATCACTCGTAAAAGGCCATCTATCAGCCATTGGCTCATTTGAACATTGCGCGCTTGGTCGTTACTGGGATCGCCGCGGGAGGCCGCGACTTGGCCACGCGTGCGCGCGCGATCACACTGAAGAAGCCGCGCATTCGAAGAAAAAAAAAGTGCTCAAGGTCACGAGGTGTGCGTGACGTATATTCTTTGTCCCTGCCATCTCTACCTGCTTAGCTTGCAGCGCTTTCGTCGGGACGAAAGAAGATAGAATGCAATTGCAGCATGCGACAAATCTTTGTAAATCCACTCACACTGGACGTATTTTTAAAATTTTTGTGGCCATGAATTCGTGAGGCAATAAGCTTTTCCAGTGAATTCATTCCACCATTACTTGAAAAGGTGTTTCAGGGCCCCTTTAAGAGTACGTATCAGCGCAAACAAGATGGAACAGTATAGACAACCCAAGTCTCTGAACCTTAATGCAGCACTCTATGTCCTCTTTTCTGTCCCCTCTTGTCGGTGACGCCAGATACACACCCTCACTAAGGACATTACTTGAAATAGTTTTGATAGCGTAACTAAAAGTTATAAATAAAAAGAACACTTGATGTGGCCGAGAACCTGTTATTCTTTACAAATGCGAACAAGCTGAAGAGTATTTCGGGTGGCATGTTGCTGTACGTGTAAAATATGACAGTTACAAAACGAATCTTATCTTCCAACAATGCATATCCACTGTCTCAAGCTTTCTGGGTATAGAGTAACGACAAGGTGAGGTGGCGTGCTTTCTTTCTGTTTTTTTCTTAAAGTGGCGTCGGTAATGCGTTACCTCATTTTATATAGCTTTATGTGTTACCTTTACTTGAATTTAACGATGAAGCCATTGTTACTACCTATCTAACGTACAAAACCGCACGTGCAATACCTGCTCCTACTGCTGTCAATATGCTTTATCCGCAAAATGCTGCACTGCATGGCAAGGCTAGTGCTTAAATAACTGCGCCACGATCAAACGTCACCTTGTGCTTGAAAGCATCAGCTAAGACTTGCTTAATGACTATAGCATTCAAGCGTGATTATGTGATATTATCTGAAGTTCATATGCCCTGCCATTTGCACGTACATATCCTGTGTCTTGAGTTACGGGTAAATGATGGGGAAATTATGTGCACAGGCATGCTCACGAGGGGGGCAGGGGGACGCCCCCCCCCCCCCCTTCTAGGTACTATAGGTACCTAGGTGGAGGGCGCAAAGAGAGGAGGGGTGCAAAGCCAGCTTCATACGGTGACATAATATGGAGAGGGCCCTCAGACTCAGCGGGGAGAGGGGAGTCAGCCGGATACTTCAAAATAATTGACCTTTGGCCGATTTGGTGCTTTGACATAGAAACCATCTTGAAAGCAAAACTAAACATGACACACAAGAAGAAACAGACGAGAACAGGAGCACACTCGTTGGTAGTATACTCCTGTTCTCGTCTGTTTCTTCTTGTGTGTCGTGTTTAGTTGCGCTCTCAAGATGGTTTCTATGTCAGTCTGATACAATTACTTAAAAGGGTGCGAAAGCTGCGACAAACCTACCCCCCCCCCCCCCCCGAGGAGGAACCCAGTGCCCACCTATAGGATTATGTGCATTGACATATTTCGATCTCTACTGTGGTACACCTTAGGATGAGTGCGCTAGAACTCCTAGTATCTCGCCCTAATGCTATATTATAATCGCTAAGTGAGAATCTCGTCATTAGAAAAATCGATGATGAAACATATGGGTTTATTTGACATCAGGCGAGATCGCTTTACAACATCAACCACCAAGCTGATGCAACCGCGTTTAAGTAACTCACGAAAGTAAGCTTCAGTGGTAACGACCCACAAAACGATACGCGTGAAAATGACCGTGGAGTCCTATTCGTTTACGACCGTGTCTATAAAACCAATCGTGTCATGCGTGACGTACACGTTCTTGCTCGTAGCTAACCTCTAATGACCTAGATAGATAATTATAATGACAACATTCGCAGTAGTAGCATACCGGATCCCTGCATCTGGTTAAGCGCGATGTCTTCCTGTTTTCTCTCCCTCTTCGCAGTGGGCACTCATAAACGTCCCGTCACATGACTTACGCTCGTCGACCAGTGGCGAACGAGGGAATCGCTTACGTATATTTCTGTTTGGCCTGTTTATTTGTTGTGTTTTTTTAATAAATAAATAAATAAATAAATGTGCGAGCTACTGCGCGAAGCTTGAGGCGCTGCCAGTCACGTCTAACCTTTCAATTATTAAAATCAGTGACTTAATTGAGACCGGTTACTGAAACCTGTCACTTTTTCACGTCTGAAGGATGACAACGTAAATTCAAAATAAATTTTCCAGTTAAAATTCACTTGGCGTCGGATTTTGTATAGCGCTCTTGTTTAGAGAAGATCGGACACTGACGCTGCCGTTGTTCGCTATATACTCATTCGGTGCGCCTTATTTACAGCCACCACAATCGACATCTACGTGGGCAACGTCCCCAAAGGACTCGACGTGGCTCTCTACAACGCCCGCTGGACTCATTTAGGGTGAGTGCGGCGCACGTCACGCTCCAACACGCCGACGGCGGCGCGCGCGTTCCTTGCGCGGTGGCGGCGCACTGCCCGTCCATCCGTCCAACCCCTTCCTCCTATAAGCCGCGGTTACAACGTGCGGCTACAAAACGTGCTGTCCACGCACGTGATTCATTACTTACGTTCCTGCGCAGGCCTATGGTGGATGCTTTAGGCAGTCTGTTCCCGTATTTACAGCTCGTTAACGAGCTGTAAATACGGGAACAGACTGCCTAAAGCATCCACCATAGGCCTGCGCAGGAACGTAAGTAATGAATCACGTGCGTGGACAGCACGTTTTGTAGCCGCACGTTGTAACCGCGGCTTATAGGAGGAAGGGGTTGGACGGATGGACGGGCAGTGCGCCGCCACCGCGCAAGGAACGCGCGCGCCGCCGTCGGCGTGTTGGAGCGTGACGTGCGCCGCACTCACCCTAAATGAGTCCAGCGGGCGTTGTAGAGAGCCACGTCGAGTCCTTTGGGGACGTTGCCCACGTAGATGTCGATTGTGGTGGCTGTAAATAAGGCGCACCGAATGAGTATATAGCGAACAACGGCAGCGTCAGTGTCCGATCTTCTCTAAACAAGAGCGCTATACAAAATCCGACGCCAAGTGAATTTTAACTGGAAAATTTATTTTGATTTACGTTGTCATCCTTCAGACGTGAAAAAGTGACAGGTTTCAGTAACCGGTCTCAATTAAGTCACTGATTTTAATAATTGAAAGGTTAGACGTGACTGGCAGCGCCTCAAGCTTCGCGCAGTAGCTCGCACATTTATTTATTTATTTATTTATTTATTTATTTATTTATTTATTTATTCATTCATTTATTTATTTATTTTTGTATCTTGATTCATGTCTACCTGTGTAATGTGGCAAACCATCGCAAGTGGGGTTGATTTAACCTGCCCTAACTCCTTCGATTTCCCCTTTCCTCACTTCATGTTGAAAACAGTACACCCCTCAACGACTAAAACACGCGCCGCACCTGCTTAATACTGTAGTCTCTAAAATGTCCTCGAAGATAAACGCCCACAAAGCTTAATGGAGAGTTCTTCGAACCATCGGTTCGACATTGGATGTGCTACAGAAACAAGACGTCTAGAATGAAGTAAGTCACGAAGATGCACAAGCAAGCTACAAAAAACCTTACCAACATGAAACTTACCAAAAACCTTACCAACAAAATATCAACATTAACGGGCGTGTTTATTGCACTCATGTGGAATGAGTGCAATAAACACACCCGTTAATGTTGATATTTGCTTCGTACATTACCGTCAGCCGCTGTCAAACAATACCATGGTAGTTCCTTGTGCTTAATTTATATTCCGAAGGGCTAAAATCTGTGGCAGATCGCACGACGGATTTCAATAGCAAGCGCTGCTAGCCATTGACCGGTTTAGTGAGTGCATATCCAGCGCTATGATTGCCTCGCATATGTTCTTAGATGATTGACATCTGGAATCATACACAAATATTTCTGCGTAATGGCTGTGTGGTCAAAAGTGTGACCTGTTGCACGGCCACTCGATCTCCCCCGGTAGATATCAAGCCGCCATGCCTGTTGATAATGGGCATCCTCAATCTAATTTGTCCCTCTCTAATTGCTCTTATCGACTAGTTTTCCACATTGCAACGCTGTAATGGTGTGGCTTCACTGATGGGTTGGTTGTTTCATGCTATTTGGAGGAATAGCAGTGCGAAATGGCGGCGCAATGAAATCGAAAGAGACATCGTCTTTCTTCTATGACGCGTATACTATATACTCACGCCGTTTTCGCTCTGATATGATGGCTCCTACACATTTATGTCTGTTAGGATTCATCTGAAATCCATAATTTGAATCGTCAACAGCCGAAACAATTCTGTCGTCGTCCCACGCGCTGCGACGTTCAATATTTAACAAGAAAAATAGAAATGAAATGTTAGGCGACCTACTCTTGACTTAGGTGTCTGGTAGTATCTCGCACCTCAGCGTTCATGTGCTCAGGTGTACTGCTCGGGCTAACAGAGTGCATCGTCGCACTGCCGAAGCGGATCCCGAAGGCCACGTAAAAATAAACACGGAGTTGAGGTTTGCTCCGCCAGATGCCGCAACGATCTCAGCTGCTAACAATAAAACCTTCTTTTATTTAACTCGCTCATTCAGTTTTCATCGACTATCCCGAAAGCTATAGATGTGCCTTGAGTAAACTTATGCACCAATATGATATGTATTCGATATAGCTCCTAACTTGATCCAGAACCATTGATTTCATACTAGTTCTATTTTTAGAAGACTCTGAGTGTTCGGAAAACCGGAAGTAAATGCTTCCATCGGAAGTGTTTGAAAGGGAGACAAAAGTGTCTTTCGCTGCTGGTGCCGCTAATAAGAGAAGGTACGAAGTTAACGTTTTCAATCCAGTCACATAAAAGTGCGCTTGAATTGTTGTCACTCGTCGTCAAACGCTGGACGGTGACAGATAACTTACCTATGCAGTACTGGTGGGAAAGGATCTGGATGCGACAGATGCGGCATTTTGTCTCCAGCTGTATAACAATCTCTTGTGGGTATGTTGAGTACCTGCGGGGGACAAACAAAGCGGTTTTTTGGGAACGCGAGTCACTGAAGAAGGCTTAGGAATGTCGACAGCACAATGGAAGAATAAGGCACACAGAAAAGGCTCGACAGTGACCGTCTTAGTACAAATTTAATTTAAACATGTCATGCGCACGCAGTGCCTATACATGACCACCTGAGAGTTCGCCATGTCGAATTCACCGTAAAGGCGTATGCACAATAGACACAATGCACATTCAAACTATACATCTTTTTCTTTACTTTTATGCTGATAAGCTTATAATCACGTATTCTGCGATCGAAGTGTATAAAAATTGAATACATGGCGTAATTTGCTTGTTCTTCGTTGTATACACGTCTTAATTTTTCTTGTTAGCAAGCGATGCTTCTAAGGATTGTAAGACATCAAACATACTAATTATTTTATCATGTTGCCTAATAGAAAAAAAATGTAAGCACATCTGCATCCCTAGCCACAGGCTATTTAGTTGACATTAATTAGGTGAGTGTCTGTTTAATTTATTAAATTGCATGTTTTGACTTAATAATATGTCAAAACTGTTTCTAGCTGGCATCGTGATTGGGCGTCATGATTAACGGCTCTTACACAGCATTCCTTCTATTTCGAATAATTCTAAACCTTGGCACGCGTAGCGGTTACGAGAAAATGTGGTAATTGCCTTAATTTTCTTCTCTTCGTTTTCCTCAGTTATCTCGTCATGACCACCTGCCAAAGCGTCGTAGACCGCTTACTTCGCTGCTTGTAATACAAATCTATAATTTCATTTGTAACTCTGACATGAGCGTCAGTCATGTTCCACTGGCCAGATGACGTCGACACGTTTGTTGAATATACTTTCACTTAAGTGGTTTCTTGCGCATGGTCATTTTCTTTGTATTTTTTCTTTAACATACGCGTATACACTGTCGATGTACTTCCTGCCCAAATCTCAAACATGAGCGTGGCAAGGAAGGAAGGAAGGAAGGAAGGATTTGATTTGATTGATTGATTGATTGATATCTGGGGTTTAACGTCCCAAAACCACCATATGATTATGAGAGACGCCGTAGTGGAGGGCTCCGGAAATTTAGACCACCTGGGGTTCTTTAACGTGCACCCAAATCTGAGCACACGGGCCTACAACATTTCCGCCTCCATCGGAAATGCAGCCGCCGCAGCCGGGATTTGAACCCGCGCCCTGCGGGTCAGCAGCCGAGTACCTTAGCCACTAGACCACCGCGGCGGGGCGGAAGGAAGGAAGGAAGGAAGGAAGGAAGGAAGGAAGGAAGGAAGGAAGGAAGGAAGGAAGGAAGGAAGGAAGGAAGGAAGGAAGGAAGGAAGGAAGGAAGGAAGGAAGGAAGGAACAGGAAGGAAAGTAAAGGCAGGGTTGTTAACCAGTCTGCAAGCACTGGTGTGCTACCCTACACAGGGGAAAGGGGTGCGGGAGCTTTAAAGATGGAGAAAGAGAGAAAGAAGAGAGCACGTACACAAGGTAATCAGACAGTGCACACAAGTAGCGCAGCCACAGACTTTTCCGAGGGGGAGGGGGCCGAAGGGTTTAACCATGTATGTTCATGCTTGCATCTTGATGTACGTGTTTGATATTCACAAGCGAAGTTTTAAAATATCAGAAGTTGCCGCATCCCTGGGGATCGAAGTTATGCGAAGCATATGGAGCGAGGGTGACTGTGGCCTATAGGTTATTCATTTAGCGAAACGTTACGAAATGATGCTAAAGATGTGTGGAAATGTTGTACGCAGAGACAGATGTTGAACGGTCGCCTACATCTTATACAACTAGTTGTTTACAGTGGCGCAACGATGCCAACCACAACGTGGGTATTACCATAGTCATTCAATGGCGCGATATATTCAGTAGCAAAACTATTGAAGGACTATGGTGTTACCAACACCAGAAGTGGTAAGCTTATCTGTATCGCTTATGCTTGTTCTTAGGGTGGTAGCCCTTTGACTTCAGTGGATAGCGCTTACGCACACAATAAATACTAAGCCGACGTGACGCCTACATCTTAGAAATACATGTGGAATATTTATAAAATTAGTTTGCCAGCACTGCCACCACAACTGAACTTTCACCAACATTACTCTTGCATAGGGTCATTTTCCAAAAATGTTCCTCAATCTGGCGGGGCTATGTGGTAGAATATTTGATTGCCACTCAGAATGCTTGGGTTTGATACCTGCTGGGACCATAATATCTGTTATTTACATTCGTCGGGTCTACGCTACAGATTTCAGTATTTCTTAACGCTCTCGCATTTAAGTTAACAATGTCTGTTCTCACCGTTCCTGTGTATTACGAACTGTCAATCACCTGTGGTGAATAGCAATATGCCACGGCCCCTCGTATACGGGTATGTGCCCCGCGTATCTGAAGGAAAGGTTTTGACGATGTACACGACGGGATTTTCATGTTGATCATGTGACGACCAGCCAGACATATTCGTCGAACCCTCTTGCCCTCCCATATTAATTTTGCTCAAGCCCAAGCGAAGGAGGTGATGGGATAGTACCCTGACGTAGGTGGCTATATAGATAGATAGATAGATAGATAGATAGATAGATAGATAGATAGATAGATAGATAGATAGATAGATAGATAGATAGATAGATAGATAGATAGATAGATAGATAGATAGATAGATAGATAGATAGATAGATAGATAGATAGATAGATAGATAGATAGATAGATAGATAGATAGATAGATAGATAGATAGATAGATAGATAGATAGATAGATAGATAGATAGATAGATAGATAGATAGATAGATAGATAGATAGATAGATGCGCTCTTAGTGCCTGCGGTTTGTTAAGAAATGCTTAGCATTTAATAAAATCCAAGGAGTGGCTTGATCCCCCCTCCCCTTTCGTCACGCTACGTTAGTGATGCTAATGCGATCTTCAGCGCACAAGGCTAAAAGGAAGTCGGTGTAACTGCAAGAATTTGTAAAGATGACATGTTTGTTTTTGTGTTCTTTTATGGCTTTTGACAAGTATACGAGCACAGAAAAAGTGGTGTAAATGAAACTGCATATGAATATTTCATCTCATAAAAAAGTCGACTTCTATGACTACCGGACTTCTCAAACTTAATCTTCGCTATTTTATTAACGAATGCTTTCGAACAATGCTAAGGAATTTACAGCGATGTAGTACCTCTTTCACAACAAAACGTTGCAGTGCGTGCTATGCCCTGGTCGTCTTGTATTCGCCCGTTAACGCGATAACGTTAAAGGGTTCGTTTTGCTGAGATGCGGGCATCGGTGTCGGCATGGGCGTAGTTGGTTGTGAGCGAAAAATCGTCATCTTGTGTGTGACCGAAAAATCGAGAAAGACGCAAACAATATAAATTAAAAAAAATTTCCTGGTTCGAGTAAGAATCAAGCCCAGGCTGTTTTTGCGTGGCAAGCAGGTGTTCTACCACCTTATATATATATATATATATATATATATTATATATATATATATATATATATATATATATATATATATATATATATATATATATATATATATATATATATATATATATATATATATATATATATATATATATATATATATATATATATATATATATATATATATATATATATATATATGAGATATAACAGACAGTAATGCCAAGGAATGTACAGGGGAAGTTATTAACATTAATGGAATGTAAATAAGAAGAAAGAAAAGTGGATGAAAAAATTACCAACTGTAAGCAGGAATCGAACCTACGACCTTCGAATTCGAAGGTCGTAGGTTCGATTCCTGCTTACAGTTGGTAATTTTTTCATCCACTTTTCTTTCTTCTTATTTACATTCCATTAATGTTAATAACTTCCCCTGTACATTCCTTGGCATTACTGTCTGTTATATCTCATTATTATTGTGTTAAAAACACGGAAAAACGAGCCCTTAGGTATACACTTCTTTCCCTTATTTCATTGAACGAGGGTCTCGTACTGGCAGACTTGGTGTGTTTAGGTTGTATAAGAGGGACAATTAATCAGCTGCCCGCTCATAATAAGTTCACGTGCTACGTGACGCCAAACATGCGCATAAGAGTGTTTTCACACTCGTTGTTTGGCTTATAGATGGCGCTGACTGTCGCTCCTACTTCTAAATTCACAGATAAACCCAAAAAAGTGGATGGAGGGAGTGCCGCTGTAATAGCTCAGTGGTTAGAGCATCGAACGCGTAATTCGAAGGTCGTAGGTTCGATTCCTGCTTACAGTTGGTAATTTTTTCATCCACTTTTCTTTCTTCTTATTTACATTCCATTAATGTTAATAACTTCCCCTGTACATTCCTTGGCATTACTGTCTGTTATATCTCATTATTATTGTGTTAAAAACACGGAAAAACGAGCCCTTAGGTATACACTTCTTTCCCTTATATATATATATATATATATATATATATACACGGCTTCGCCGAAGTTTGCTGATAGAAATTTGCTAATAACTACTTACATGTGCTGTAAACCATTGTGACCGTTTGTATTTAAGAGCCTTCCTACTATATCTTTTCGTGAAACCCTTTTTCCAGCGTGGTGTAGCCTATTATATTCCTAGCACTCCGCCCGCCATCTTTTTATTACTCTAATAAGGCTTCCTCTCTCCTTACAGTGCATCGGCAAAATAATGTTGCAAGAACAATTGCAGGGTTTTGAAGTACGAATCCGAAGCGGGGACGCTCATAGAACGACGATGATAGTGTTACGGGGATTACAAATACACGGAAGAGAGAAACGAGTGTATTTGCAATATTTACAGGTAGGTGTGACACCCCAGGGCTGCTAGGATCTCGCGCGCCGAATCCGCTTCTTCTTCATCGATGCGTCTACGATGGCGGAGCCATGCCCACTACCTCGTAACAATATTCTAACTCCTTTATAACCATTCGTCGTTCTTTTTCCATCCTTACCTTTCTATCACCTTCCCCCTTCCCAGTGCAGGGTAGCAAGCCGGAATTTTTTTTCTGGTTAACCACTCTGCATTTCGCTTCACCATTTCCTGTCTCTCTATAGCACCTTAAGTTTTGAACACATAAATTTCTACGAGATCTAACGCAGTGGGTGACATCACATACACAGAGCTAACGAAATAAAGGATACCGCATTTGAATCAACTCAGTGAGTCCTATTAACCTATTATAGTTGTATCTTTATAAACCAATCTCTTACAGCGTCGACACAAAGTGGTTTGGAAGGATGCCATACAGGTAGTCCATCCAGTATAAGCTTCATGTGGTTACCACACAATACATTACGGAATACTGAGCGTGCACCATCGCCTTTGCAGTCAGCGTGACTGCACGTCTACATGTTTACAATGCAAAACAGGGTCGGCGAAGTCGTTATGCGTCCAAGACGTTATGCGAGTGGTTTCTAGTCGTAGAAACAAATGGAATACGGCACGAAAAAGCTATAACGACCTGTTTCAGCACACAACCGTGAAGCAAACGAAGGGAGTACGCCGTGCATGGCTGTAGCGCTCGTGCATGTACTACGAGTTTCCTTTCTTTAAAATAAAGCATTTTTGTTGAACCGTAAAATAGTTTAACTTCCGCCACTTTGGTTTATTTAACCACCTTGCGAGTTTCCGCAGAACTCATTTGCTTTACAATAGTTCGTAGAAGCACTGTCATTCTGTCAATATTTTCTGACTACTTTTTATAAGTGGGTGCTCTCTATAGGACCCATGGGCATTGCCGTGAAGCTGCAGCAACGCGGGGATGTAGTGCGGGCAAACGCCCCGAAAACGGCGGCATCAGTGGCGTAGCAGGTGGTTTTTTTGGAAAGTTTAACCAAATGCAGAAAAAACAGACATAAGTAGTGATCGGGATAAACTTATCTTACCTCCCCCCTCCCCCCCCAAAAAAAAATTTGATTACGCCCCTGCGTGGCATCGTCATCGTAATCATTTTCAACTTATGCCATGTGCTCCACAGGACGATGGCATCTCCTGTGTGAGCTGGTTCCGTTTTGTTTCAGCAAACTCATTAATCTAGTCACAAACGACGTCATACATCCAATAAGATGTCTTTCAAGGAGTTAACATATTTTTGCCAATCTATGTGAGCCGACAACAAATGCGATGTTTAGTTTGTTTATAATTTTATGCACGCATAGACGCGAGTTTTATCACACCCCCAGACCTTCGTGAAACTAAATTGCTAGCATTAGTAAAAAATTCAAAATCAACATGTTTTTGCTGCATCGCTTCATACTAAGCCATCAACATTTCGTATTGCATTCCATATTTTCTGCTTCAGCTTGTTTCAAGTTGCCTATATTTATTTATTTATTTATTTATTTATTTATTTATTTATTTATTTATTTACAGAGTACCTACATCGCCATATAGGCATTACGTCGGGGGAGAACAAGAAACAGTCAGTACAAAAAAATTCATAGCAAAATACATAAAAATAAAACTAAAAAGAACCACCACCACATTTATCAGAACATAATAATGCATCACAAAATACATTCTCATACACACAGACCATACATAATGCAAGAAGAATTTCACAGCATAGGAAAAAATAAATCATTATTTGTTATATTGACCAAGTCGTCACTTAAGCTGTTCCACTCTCTTGTTGTTTTTGGAAGAATGAATGAGGGAAGAATTTGCTATAGGTATTGTTTCTAATGGCTTAATTGGTCAATATAACGAGCTCAGACAGCAAAGTGACTCGGTGCGTTTGCGAAACAACTAAACGTGAGCCGCTGGAATCGGCGTAGCTGTCTCACTTTTTGGAGAGCCATCCCTTGACGGTCGGTCCGTGCAGGTTCAGTTCAGAGGCGGGGAAGTTTTCGTCCTCGGCGCTAACTTGGACCACGCTGAAGTTGATCTTGCGCGGCATCGCTGCGATGCAACCGCAATGACAGCTCTCTTTCACTTTTTCTCTCTACAAAGCCCACCGCCGCTACGACGACAAGGCCTCCGTCGCGCGCACTGCGTCGACACCGAGTTGCACGTAGTCCCCACGTTCACTGGTCGCGCTGCCGCTGGCAGGCATTCCTGTGGCGCGCGCTGGAAGTCCTGTCTCGACACTGGCGGCGCGCGCTGTCCCCCACCAGATGGCGCATGCCGTCACCCCGATTCAAAGGGGAGGCCTTCGATCATCATCATCATCATCACACAGAAAGCCCCGGTGCGCCGCTGCGGCCCGAAACTGCAGCAACGCGCGCGCGGACACTGGCCCTCGCCGTCTGTAGTGGGCCACACACTTTCTATCTCTTTCTCTCTTCCACCAGGTTGACGGTTGCCAGGGTATCGTAGTTACTCTTCCGTTTTGCTCCCACAGAAACCCCTTCCTTTCCACCGCTCGGCCAGTCTCCCTCAGCTGCCCCTAGCGACGGCGCATAGGCGACCGCTCTCAGGCGTGCCCTGTTTCTTTTATGCGCCCTCACGATGCATTCCTGTCGTTTTGTTCGCTGAAAGTGATTGTGTAACGAAAAACGGATTAGTTTAGAAATTTTAAATTTTTTTTTTCGTGCGCTCAATTTGACTGACAGGTTTAAGGCGCACTATGTAGTTGTGGAGTAGCATGTTCCGATTTACTTTGAGCTTTTTTTTTTCTCTTTAAAGTTCTTACTTTCCAACGCTCGGTCGCCTCTAAGCGACTTTCGCGAGCTTTTTTTTTATTTCTTCATTTGCGTTCCATATAGCTACTGTTGGAGACAGTTTTGATTGATATGAGTGGTTTAACGTCCCAAAACCATCATATGATTATGAGAGACGCCGTAGTGGAGGGCTCCGGAAATTCCGACCACCTGGGGTTCTTTAACGTGCACCCAAATCTGAGCACACGGGCCTACAACATTTCCGTCTCGACCGGAAATGCAGCCGCGGCAGCTGGGATTCGATCCCGTGACCTCCGGGTCAGCAGCCGAGTACGTTAGCCACTAGACCACCGCGGCGGGGCTGTTGGAGACAGTTTTCAACCGACCACTGCAGTTTAGAAACTTTCAATAAGCTAGCAACGTACGCGACTCTTGCTGTACTTTATTACAACGTATATTTCTCCCAAAAGAGCACTCATTATAGCACTTATTTAGGGTCAAGTTAAAGGACTACATATTGTAAAGCTCCATGATGACCATTTGCGTAACCAGAGGCGATTTGTTGGGGAATGTGGGGGCACACGCCCTTCGAAATATTTCAACATTGCATACGTTTATATACAGGGAACTATTAGAAACGAACGCACGAACACGCATAGACCTTGTTGAATTCCCCCTCTCACAACCGAAAAAAACTCTGGCTATACACTTACAATGAATTCAGTCATCATCGTCATCATCACCAGCCTGACTACGTCCACTGAAGGACAAAGGCCTCTCCCATGTTCCGCCAGTTAACCCGGTCCTGTGCTTGCTGCTGCCAATTTATACCCGCAAACTTCTTTATCTCATCTTCCCACCTAACCCTCTGTCTCCCCCTAACTCGCTTGCCTTCTCTGGGAATCCAGTTAGTTACCCTTAATGACCAGCGGTTATCCTGTCTACGCGCTACATGCCCGGCCCATGTCCATTTCCTCTCCTTGATTTCAACTATGATATCCTCAACCTCAGTTTGTTCCCTAATACACTTTGCTCTCTTCTTGTCTCTTAAAGTTACACATATCATTTTCTTTTCCATTGCTCGCTGCGTCGTCTTCAATTTAAGCTGAGCCCTCTTTGTAAGTCTCCAGGTTTCTGCTCCATAGCTAAGTACCGGCAAGATGCAACTGTTTATATATATATATATATATATATATATATATATATATATATATAAACAATGAAGTGCTAACATAGGACCCGGAAGTAAAAGTTAAAAAAAATCAAGCACGTAGGAAAAATTGTTTTGTAAAGGACTGACGTTTCGGCCGCGGGACCGGGATTCCGACGAAGGCCAGTCCCGCGGCCGAAACGTCAGTCCTTTACAAAACAATTTTTCCTACGTGCTTGATTTTTTTGAACTATATATATATATATATATATATATATATATATATATATATATATAATATATATATATATATATATATATATATATATATATATATATATATATATATATATATATATATATATATACCTCCCTCTTGAAGGATAGTGGCAATCTGCCTGTCATGATTATAGAGTGCTTGCCAAATGTGCTCCACTCCATTCCTATTCTTCTAGTTACTTCAATCTCGTGGTTCGGCACCGCAGTTATTACATGTTAAGTAGACACAGTCTTTTACAATTTCAAGTGCACCATTACCTATCTCGAAACGCTGTTCTCTTCCGATGTTGTTGTACATTACTTTCGTTTTCTGTAGACTAATTTTAAGACCTACTTTTCTGCTCTGCTTGTCTAACTCCGTAATCATGATTTGCAATTCGTTCCGTAAGTTACTCAGTAATGCAATTTCATCGGCGAAGCGCAGGTTACTAAGGTACTCTTCATTAACTTTTATGCCTTGCTGTTCCCACTCTAGGCCTCTGAAAACCTCCTGTAAGCACGCGGTAAGTAGTCTTGAGGAGACTGTATCCCCCGGCCTTACACCCTACTAGTATGGTATTCTGTTGCTTTCTTTATGAAGCACTATGGTAGCAGTTGATCCCCTGTAGATTTCTTCCAGGATGCTTATATATGCTTCATCGACGCACTGATTCCGCAGTTTCTGCATGACTGCTGATATTTCGACTGAATCAAACGCCTTCTCGTAATCTATGAAGGCTATTTAGTGGTCGGCTATATTCTGAGCATTTTTTTAATACCTGTTTGATAGTATGAATGTGGTCGATTGTTTAGTAGCCAATCCAAAATACTGCTTGTTCCTTTGGTTGGTTGAATTCTAATGTTGTCTTAATTCTGTTAGCAATTACCTTTGTAAATAGCTTGTATACTGCGGACAGAAAGCTTATCCATTGGCAATGAATTCAGTGGCTACCCTTATATGTAAGCCCAGAAAAAACTTATTTTAATAGTAATTTTATTATTCCTATGTATAATATTCCTTCATACGTCTGCCTATAATATGTTCCTTCGTCCCCGTCATCTATCTATCTATCTATCTATCTATCTATCTATCTATCTATCTATCTATCTATCTATCTATCTATCTATCTATCTATCTATCTATCTATCTATCTATCTATCTATCTATCTATCTATCTATCTAGCTATCTATCTATCTATCTATCTATCTATCTATCTATCTATCTATCTATCTATCTATCTATCTATCTATCTATCTATCTATCTATCTATCTATCTATCTATCTATCTATCTGATTACGTCGCATGTTTCATGTGGCTTTATGAAGTAGCTGCTCCCTTGCATGGTATCTACTGACGACATATGGAGTTCTGCCCTGCAAGCGACCAGTGTTCCGGGGTTGGTGCCATAACTTACCCCCGTAGGCGCTCTCCCCGAGGCCGTATACTTGCATCGTTTGGTTCGAATACACCCCGAACGAAGCATTCACTTACCGTTCCGCGGGTGCTGGCACGCACGCTATAGGATCAAATTATGCGTATCGTGCAGCTCGTCACCCATGTTTTCCCCTCTTTAATGACGGCTGCGTGATCTGACTTCCGTGTATTCCATTTGTTTTTTTTTCTTTATTCCTGGGGTGAGGCTGTTCTTTTCACACACGAGTTAGCATCTGGCTCGACGCTGGTCAACTAAGTGCTTCCGCGCAGTCCAGGCGACGCGCCTTCTCGGCGCATCGTCCATCACGAGGCGTGTGGCAATCGTCGCGCATGTGCGGCTGGGCGAAGCGAGAATTGACGACATTGTTGGATTATACGACCACGCCGTTCAGTGTACACCGTTGCGCAACTCGTTCTTCGCAAAGAAAACTACATATCGGAGCCTACGTATATATCTGCTCGTACTGATCACCCCCTTAAAGTGCGCGAGTTCGCTACCAGAATTAACCTTTTTAAATATTCATTTTTTTCCACGATCAATTGAGCAATGGAACAAACTACCTCATGAAATTGTAGCCGCGCCCAGGGAAACATTCGCCACTGCGCTGGAACATCATATTTTATCGTAGCCTGAGCACACATTAAAGTTGCCTACACTTTCGCTTCATCTCTCTAGCGATCTACGCTTCAGCTTTTTTTTTCTCTGCTGTACCTTCACACACGTCAATGTTTATTACGTGTCACCATTGGATGCTTTATTATGTATCTGTATTTCTTTTATGTTCAACTCAGTGTTAATGGACTGTCGCCTTTCTGCATTTCGAAATCGTTATCTCCCCCCTACACTAATGCCCCTCGCGGGCGCTGTGGGTACTGTAAATAAATAAATAATAAATAAACGAATTGGAAAATTGTGTCGAAGTAATCAGCTTTGCAAACTCGGTTGAATGAAAACGTTAATTTGAAGGAATACCGTGTGGCGGTAACCAAATGCTGATATCGTTATCCATTCTAGTAAACGAAATTTTCAGGCTAGAATTTAAGGCCCGGAAATGAGTCCTTGAACTTTGCTTGTGCAAAAAAAATCTTTTTGGGTTAAATATAGCGCTGTGGGGTGTATTATCTGCTTTTTAAGTCGTGTTCGGTCCATTTTATAAAAAACCGCAAGTTTTGAGCGAGAACCCAAACAATTTGAAACTGTCTACTGTTGATCCTTTTTGTATTCTTATACAAAAACGCTATCTTTTTTTGCTATTTTTACGTAAAAAGCACCCTATTAAAAGTGAAATACATATTGTCTTCCATATCTTCAATCGACCGATAAACCAATTGGTATCTGCATTTTTAAACTGCACCACGGGTTGTGGCAGACACCGTAGCCAAAAAATGCGTCCTAATTTTGACCATCCGAATTTCTTAAACGACCTCATAAATCTTAAAGCACTTCTGAGC